TTTCATTTAATTATCTTTCGATACTACTTTACAAACTCAATTTCTAAAATATATAAATTTATATTACAATATATTTAGTTGCATTATTGTGGAAATTGATTTTTAAATATAATATTAATATTGTATTGCTTACAATATTTAAATTGGATTATTGAACGCGAGTTTTTTGCGCAATAGTAATAATTATGCTCAATTAGTATGTATTTTTTTAGAATATGTTTTTTTGCATACTATGATAACTTAATGCCATTTATAAATGATTTATTGTGGATCTATTATATTGGATTTATTGTCTGAGTGCATAAAAACAAAAATGAAAGTAAATCGACGTGAGCTCAATTATTCGAAATGGTAACATCTTGCAGTCATTTTTAACATTTCGAACAATCATTTTTAAGGTCACTTAAACATCTTTGAGCGTTTAATTTATAAGTCACGCTTTTCATAGTTTTTATTCTGTATACACATCTAGCAAAAACAACAATCGATCAAATAACCAAATAAATAATAACATTTTATATACAAAAATCATTCAAAATCGAAAGAAATTGTATTTTTATTGAAGTTATATATTTATAAAATGGGACAAATTAATAAATATTATTCAGAAAATATTAATGCATTTTCACAAAGGCACTAAAATGATATGTACAGTAGTTAAGTTTGTTTTTCTTTAATAATCTACAACAATTAGCAAGATTTTTCTATGTGAAGGTTTCCTTTTACCAAATAATATATTGTTTATTTCAAAGATCGTGTTTGTACTCCGTCAAAAAACAAATAAAAAACGTGTCCCATATTATAATTATTATTTGGGTTCAAAAGCAGCGCACATCCTGGAAAAGCAAAATTCATGTTAATTAACTCGTCTCACCTGTTTCAGACAAACAAAAAAATAATTTAAAATCAATTAGTTAAAGATCACCGTAGATTACGAAGTACATCTGCTAGTTTATTTGTTTGCAAATATTATTTAACTTTTTCGCATATTTGCGTAACGTATCCGTGCCGCGATTTTTACATTAGCCGTCGCTCCACTGGTCGAGGATAGAATTGGAGAGTTGGCTACGATGATGATGATGATGAAGACGATGATTGCTTCGCGCGATGATCTCACGTAGCGTAATGGTTGCATTCTCGTGCTAATCAAAAGCAGTCCTCCTTCCAAGGTTAATTTTATTATGAAGGAAAAAACACAGCACAATAATTTAATAATGATGATATTGAAAGAGTGTGAAAATAAGCAATAAGGCTCAAACAAACATACTCGCACAGTTAATTATTTCTAATTGTGACACGAATTTGTAATGAGTAGTTTTTGTTGGATCTTACTCTTTAAGATTATTTATTAACATGAGACCTAAATCCTGGACATTATTCATTAATTGTTAGATAGATAAATAGTAAGTAAATTGGAAATAACTGGAAATTAAGTTTATAGGAAACGAATGTTTTAGTTATTCTTTGTGGAATGAGGTAAAATAAATAATTATTATTATATTATTTTTAACCTATGTGAACCTTTTGTTGTGTCCAACCTTTATTATAGTATAAGAGACCTCCACAAAATCTCCTAGTCTATACACTTTCAGCTTCATAGTTTTTAAATGATCTACAATTATCAAATGCTCGAAAATCTTGAATAAGATTATATAAATTCGGACCGAATAGCTTCGGTTGATACCTATTTGGCCTAAATAAACACATATTTATAAATATGCAAGCAATAATATTTGTTTGATTAATATAGAAACTACACCCGAAAAGACGCTTATGAAAACATAAATAAAATAAAAACAAATTGAGGTTATTAAGTATTGTAGATAATAGATAATTTTAGAATGTAAATAATAATACAATTTAATTTTAATATTATAAATAATGCATTTCGGTATAATTTTTTATATTAAAATTATGATTGGTAAATTGGGACAAAATCGGGACAAATAACGGGAAGCGGAACAAATTGTTAAATATCTGGACTGTCGCGCCAAAAGCGGAAACGTATTAATTAAAATAAATAAACAGAATCTTTATTAAATTTCCAATAGATTATTTCAACGTTTCCCAAACTGAAAGATTTTGAATTTCAACATCAAGAAATATATTGAAAAACATGTCACTTTGTTAATAAAAAAATTAATAAATTAATTACTTCGAAGGACACATAGAAAAGTATAATCCTTATCGTCTCGAAATATAGACGACTCTTTATTTTTATCGTACCAAAACACAAAAAGTCGTATGTATTCTGTAGGTATGTGTAATATTCCCACAATTAATGAACATTGCATTTTTGTACTTAGAGATTTCAAATGCCAATTTAATTGCATCCATACACATACACTAGACTCACGGAGGATGAAGAGACTCTCCATTTCATTGCAGGCATTTAAATAATGTCCAGCTTGCAATTACAGAGAGAAGAGAAACTTATCGAAACCATAAAAGACGATTAAAGAAAATCGACAATAAAGTAAAAAAAATCACACGTTTGATGTAATGAAGTTTGGTGAACACGAAAATTAAAAAAATATATGTCCAAGAAGAAAAAAATGCATGGATCTAAATGTAAATATAATATAAATCCAGTTTGATTCAAGTTACGTAAAATCGCGTACTTTCAATGCAAGTTGACATTTAATTGAATAATAATTAAGCCAAAAATGATGATCAAGTTTTACGAAGAAAAGTAATCATCAATCGAGACGTTCTCTTCTGTGAAATATCAAAAGTAGAAAAAAGAAGAACCATTAGCAATGCAATTATGCACGTAATCGAGTTTGTTTTTCTTGTCGGAGAAAACGTGTCAAATTAATAATTCATCAAAAATCAAGATAAAAACATCCAGTTCCGTATGTGTATATATATTTATGTATATAAATATAAATGTTTGTGTGTATGGTTAGAACGAAATGCCATTACACAACGTACGTGGAAAAGTAAATAAAAAAAATATTGGAAGTAATTTTCACACACGCGTTCGTTCTCTAGCATACATCTTGAGGATTGAAAAATAAAAACATAATGAAGCAATCGGTAAGAACGTGAAGCATCGTCTTTTTGCTTTAGAAACCTCGTGAGATCTGGGTAATAATAATTAAATACAATACATTGAAATCCTTCTAATTATCGATAGACAATGTATTATTACATTTGGATAAATCACAGAGTCAACGACATTCCATACGAACTATTCGTACGATTATGGACAAACAGATTTATTTTCAACTGGCAAAGAAAAGTTGTGAAACATCAATAGTGAAAATACATTCGGAGATCATCATTGGCTATTCCTAATCTATTTATTAATATTTCTTATGCAAAAAAAAAATAAGAGGAAACCTTGAACGCCTCGATCGATCATCGATTACCAATCGTCCTTTTTAAGATGCGAGAGAGAAAAACGAACCGTTGCAATTATTTATAACCAACATCCGTTTACTCATAACGGTTATTTAATTTACCTAATTCTTTTTCAAATTGATTTAGAATACATTTTTTTTACAATTCTATTAATAATATGACATTGGCGTTGTCTGTTTTGCAACCCTTCTTAAAATGTAGTTAATTATTTTAAAAATAATATAATTAAATTATAAATCGAATAGTGCTCGAAGAATGCGGGTAATCCGTTTTGCCAATATCCCGTTTAAAAATTGATTAATAGAGAACATTAAAACCGTATAAAATTTCTATACTTATTGCTGTTAAAATAATAATTGACAGAGAAAGACCAAACTTTTCATGCAAATGAAATTTATACGAAAACAAAATGTTAAAGTTTCATATATTGTATGTACTATGATTACATTAAATAATTACTTTGTTTTTATATTTAAAAATAAGCTAACTTTAAAACAATACAAGTATACATATTTTTCTATTGAATTATAATAACCATAAATTAAATTAAAAAAAAAAACTGAAATGTTCTGTTATGTTAAATATAAATTTTGATTATTAATTATGTATAAATCTTGCACAATTGAAAATTATAGATGTATAAATATATAAACATGAATTAAGTCATTATAATATAAAGAACCCATGTTGTTAGGAAATGTTTACGATACTCTTTAGTGTTTTTGTTTAAAACGAATTTAAATTTGTTTCTAATTATATTGAAATTTATAAATGCTATTATACCATGGAACAATAATATTATTATATTATTGAACTTTTAAATTTTCGAAATTATATAACATTTTATTAATTAAACAGTTAATCTTATGCATAAAATGCAACATAGCATAAAATTTAAAAAAATGTGATACTAGACATGACTAAAAAACTTGCAAACCAAACTCGAACGAAAGTATTGGAAATTCCATTGGCCTACTCTTAGTCACAAAAAAAATATGTTTACCAAGAATTATATTAAAATTAATTTAAATCCGATAATAGACAAAATTCTTAAAAATTTAATTATTTTTGAGATGTCTTGTCTTGTAGCAATATTTGTTTAAATTTGTGCATGGTTTAAATTTAATAAAAACTTTATATGGAAAATATGGGTGTAAAATTATAGTTTATTATTTACATAATTTACTGAAAAAATAATGGCATCAATAAACAATTAATATATATATATGATTTATTAGATTCTGTGTGTATTTGTTTGGCCTTTAAAATAGAATACTTCATGGACTAGACCAAATGTCATCTATATTATAAAAATACAAAGATTATGATAATACTTTGATATAAAATAAAAAATACCTTAAAATATGCGAATCTTCTTTTTCAAATGTTAAACCTCCGAAATCGAATCAAGGTTGTGCTGCTTTTATCGTACCAGAGTACGAATCGATGAAAATTTTAATTGAATGTTCACATTATTGAGACATAACGTAAATAAATGCAAACATATAGTCGATTAATAACGTTAATTAATATAGATGTAAATAGAAGTAATAAAAATAAAGTCTAACATCCTTACAGAGGAATAAAAAGTGGATTATCGTCGACGACGACAATGTCGGATTCCCTACCCAAAAACAACACAAATCCAATCGCCGTACTTTTCGTAAGCCTATAAATATAACTCTCACTCTCGACTCGACAGATTTCAGTGTGTGTGCAAGAGACGAGCCGCAAGGTAAGAAAAGAAGCCTTCGACTGTTGAATATAGAAAAGTCAAACAATCTCAGTGCTAATCGTTTCGGACAACGCCTGGCCTTTCAATATAATCCTAACAAACATAGAGTCAACAACGAAAAGTGAAACCACATCATACAACGAACGCATTCGATTCTATTCATATTTATCATCAATCAGACCAAAAACCCGTAACTAATGCTTATTAAAATATTTTCAAAATAATTATATCAAACCATTTTTTGTAATTTGACATTTACAAACATAATTGTAGGATTATTCACGGTGAGTCAATAGAATTTGGAATCGTTTTCGATTAATTATAAAAATAAATATTTTATAATATAATGTAATTTTCTTTAAAATTTTTATATTTTCTAACTAAGCAAAGTAACTTAAAATTAATTTATTAATATTTTGTAGATATTTGTATTTTAGTAATAATAATAATATTTATTGCAATAATAAGAAATACAAAATAAAACCTTAATACAACAAAAATAAAAAAAAATAAAGGGGGCGACCATAGGTCTTTCTAACCTTTCATATTATTAAATTATGAATTTAGTTGAATACATCATCACACATATAATTTTGAATATTATCAGAATATTGTTATCAATTCCATAAGTTTATACATATTAACCAACTGAATCGAATCCAACGATTATTACAAACAATTACTTAAATTTACTGGTATGTTTATCATACAAACGTTATTGTTATATGAAGTTAATGAATCATCTATTTAAAGCATTAAAATACATCTCACATTATTAATTTGGTATTTATTCTAAATTCTATTTATGTATATGAAACTGTCATCTTATATAAAAAAAATAGTAATCAAGAAAACGTGCTCATGCAATAATAAACAATTAAGTTTTTTTATTTCTAAATTTGTATCTCTTAAATTATTAATGATAAACATATAATTCTGAATACAAGATTTGTAATATTTGCCGATTCATTTCTTCGTCATGTCACTTATATACGAAGTTAAAAGTGGAAACAGTGAGTTTTCAGTATTTACGTAAAACGACATTTTTGATGACCTATTATGCATCACCGTCCTCCTTTTCTTTCTCGGCGAAAAGACGTTATTTTGTGTGTATTTATTACGTATCTGTTCTTCTTGAACTCCAACAGTGGCGCAATATGCACACTTGTTTTGATAGTTAAATTTACGACAGTAAATTACAGATTGCGCAATGTATGGCTCTCAACAACCATTGCATATTATCTTTACCATTGTTATTATTATATTCGTGATTAATTAGTGTTTCAAAAAAATAACATCAGGTTTCAATAAAAATCAACGTAAATTTGTAAATGTTTAATAATTGTTGATAATTTTAATTTCCTTCTAGAAAGAATTGAAGGAAATAAAACAGTTATTGTTGTTGATGTGTCTGCTTACGTGAGATTCTAGCTGGTCTTATGGGAAGTTTATAATAACTGGGACAATATGCAAATCACAATCAGCCACATTTGCTTTTTCGGGCCTCTTAAAGAGCGCAATAATAGTTGCATAATTATTGAAAACAAGAAATTGCTACACCCACTTTGAACATTTATTTAATTTTTAGAATCCATGGCGCCAAATGTATTTTGATATATCGATTTCTTATTTTGTAATCGTCCATTAACATTCTTTTAATAGAGACGTAATTAATAAACAAATAAAAAAAATATTTGAACAGCTGTTATACATTTTGTGACATTGCACATATGACATTGCAATTTTGAAAAATATTAAAATTCAAGATTGTTATGTTATATTCACAAATAACAACAACTACGAACTGCATTTAAGACATGAAATGCAATCACATTCAGGTTGTTTATTGTGTAAATATGCGTTATGTCATACAATAATTGGGTTTCGCAAGATCTCCCAAATCAAAAGTGGAATTCGGTCTTTATCGGTCATGTTTTTTTTCATGTAAGGAAAATTTGCAATTTCTATTCAAATTTAATACCGTTATATATAAGACGGTAGTCAAAATTATAAAATCCGTTCAAAATGCAGACAAACGTTCTAAGTTCAGTGGGTCACAATGGAAAGTTCAAAATGCGGAGGAAAAGCGTTCAAAAATTATAATTGAATAAAAACATGGGTATTTTTGAAAACCTCTTAATGTGAAATTCAATCTTCTCCTACATATGAGAAATTAATTATAGAACTAACTTATCTTTTAGAAAATTATACTTTTTTTTTGTATTATAATAAATCTATTTTTATTTATTTTTACATGAGTTGAAATTGATTTTATAGCATTGTCTTTCAATAATTATGTATTGTTTTAAATATTTACATGTATTTTTTTAAAGATTATTACACAGACAATTATTATTTTTTTTCTCTAATTTCCAGATGAATTTATTCATTTTCTTGGCCGCATTTGTCTTGGCTGCTGCTACAGCCGCCATCAACGAGGTTAGACAGCCTTCAAATCGACCAGGAAGATTCCTTTCACTGCCAAATGCCCAAAAATGCGCTAACCGTAAGTAACATTTTGGTTTTAGAATTATTTATAGCTTCCATATTCAGACTGCACAATTGGAATTTCAATGAATTATTTATATGCACAAACAAATTTATAAAAAAATGATAATAGAGAATAATAATGATGGGTGAGCATATTTATTTGATATAACAATTTTACTAAATATATTTTAGTGGTTAAAAATGCGTTTCTTAAAAATAGTATTATAACACTGGTATATTAGTCTAATACAATGATACAAATATATACATCCACAACATATATATTATTGACTAATACATGTAGAATCTATTTCAAAATAAGATATAGAAATTGCTATGGCTGCGAAGAGTGCCAACTCTGAGAAACATCTGTATTCATGGAGCTCTCATGTTGCAACTCCAATTGCATAACTCACGGTTTTAATTGTTTATGGACTGTGAAATGCCCAAGCTGTGCTTCATTCTTCCTATTGCAATAATACTTAATGGAAGACATACGAATGGGTGACATTTCAATGCTCGGGGATGCGCGGTGGGAGTTGGGGTAACAATATTTAAAAATCGCAGTCTTCGCTTTCTAAATCAACAAGGAGAGACATGAACAAAGAAAACATCTATTTCCCAACGTTCTATAACGATCGTTCGAATTTGCAATTATTATTAGATTAAAATAAACTTTTTCTATTCCGGAAAACGATTTTCCTTTAACCTATTAACAATTGCGTAGACATTACTTTTTTTTTAGTTGTTTACGAACAAAAATTACTAGTTTCTGTTTCTGCATTTTGTAAAAGTTCAATGCAAATTAATTTTGTTGTCCTTTATTGGTAATTTAGTATAATTAGTGCGCGTGACACAATTGTATTACGTTTTATATTAGTCATATAGTTTTTTTTAAGATATTTAAATAATTATTGGTCGTGACCTTACACGTGATTCAACTAAATTCAATTAACATTATGTATCTATTTTAAGAGACTTAAAAAGTTAAGTATAAAAAGTAATGAGTTTTATATTTTTATAGCAAATGATAAGTTACATTGACAATTATTTATATAAAATAAACATATATAGAATATTGAGAATAAAAATTAAACCTTGAGTAATTAATGTTTTATTGTAAATTTCTACATGTAGTTTCAATGGTCTTTCTTTAGTATTAAAAATATCTATAAAAGAAAAAAAAAAACATGTCTTGTTACGTAATGCTCGTTACTTGTATAAATATTTATATATACGCACTCGTGAAGGTTGCTAATGAAATGTTGAATCGCCCATTTGCCTACGTGGAGAATTAGCAAACAGATAGATTGGTTATGCAACGAGCGCATGGCTAAAGGAAAATTAAATTAAACACAATTAGCCACGATCGACGGATAATGTCGAAAATCGATTGTTAAAAAAAATCATTTGAAACATTTGTACTCTCGACGTAAATCCAAAACAATCCTTTAATGCCATCGCCGTTTCTTCAATAGCAAATAATTATTTTTGAAATAGTTGAACAATATGATTACTTGACCTCTTTTATTGTGTGTGTATTTGTATAGACAATACTGCTAATTAATTGTAATATTTTTTCTAGGACCAAAGCAATTCTTCTACAGAGGGCACAACTATTTCTTCAGCGGACACGTGCCCGAATTGTCCGGTAGGAAGGTCGATTGGTTAGATGGCAGGAACGTTTGCAGAGAGTATTGCATGGACCTTGTCTCGATCGAAACCCAAGAAGAAAACAACATGATCTTCAGACTCATCCAACAAAGTGAGTGTAAATCTATTGTTTGTCGTTACGAAATCGCACGGCTATTTACATACAATCAGCAAATGAAATATGTGTTAAAGCAACCGTTTCTCAATAATTACATCTCGTGCATTGTGCCTTTTCTCGATAAATTAAATAAGAAAAATAGTACAAATGAAAATCCTATATAATATTTCATAAATACTATGGTTCATAGTACAATTAGTTATTTATTTCTAAAATAGTCAATACAATAATTGTAATACAACAATATTTTTTACAACTATATAATTATATAAACACTTATGTAATAATAATTACGTGAGTAGCCTATTGACCGTTGTTATATCCGCACGAAAATATAATAATATTAATAATATTATATTTTAGATGATGTCCCTTACATCTGGACTTCTGGAAGACTATGCGACTTCAAGGGCTGCGAAAACCGTCCCGACTTGGAACCTAAATCAGTTCTGGGCTGGTTCTGGTCTGCAAACAGGGAGAAGATGGCTCCAACTAACAGATCTCCAAATGGTTGGAACTACAATCCATGGTCTTCTACCGGACACAAAAAGCAACGTCAACCTGATAACGCCGAGTTCGACATTAACGGAACAACCGAATCCTGTCTTTCAATTCTCAACAACGTCTATAACGATGGAATCGCATGGCACGACGTCGCTTGTTATCATGAGAAGCCTATCGTATGCGAGGATTCTGAGGAACTCCTCAACTATGTTGCAGCCACCAATCCAGGCATCAGATTATAAATGAATGTACTTCGGCATTTTCCTTGAAGAAAAGCCACTTTTCTTAATTGTACTTTTCACATAATTTATTTATCGACTAAGTTAAATTAAATTACAATTCTAATTGGAAACGAGTGAAGGAGAATATCAACAATATGCAGCTGTACAATAGTTTCTTTTCACATTTGTATTAGAATATCTTTCAGCAATTATGTATAAATGTGTATTTTATATTTATTTTATTAACCTATATATTTTTAGATTAAATTCTTTTACAAATACTATCGTACAATATTTATTATGTTCAAAAAAATAATCAACCATAACTCATTTAATCATCAAAATCATTTTTTTTTAATTGTACTTAATAATGTTAATTCATAAGATATTAAGTTTTGAATAATATGAAAATGACAGTCCCAGACTCCATACCGATAAGTCGTTTCTCTTTTCGCTGAATATTTCTTTTTAGTTTTCATTGTTTTGAAGTTGTTTTTCATTTAATTGATACTTTCTTCGCAGCACAAGTAGAAATTATAAATCGAATGCTGATATGATCGTCAGATCCTTGTACCAAAAGGCTTTACCAACTCCCAAAGCAACCTTTTTGGAGTAAAGAACTATTAAAAAAAATCTTCAAAGAAAGGAGCCGTATGCAATGATGAAAAGCCAAACCAATAACGAAAAGTCCAAAGCCGCAGGTTGGCGACCCCTATTGAAGCCAGTGAGGATTTCAATATGGAAGATGAATTAAAAAAAAAGAAACTACAAAAAGTCTTTCAATTATATCATTAATGTGTTTACGAACTTTCTATCTTAATAGGTCAATGAAGGGTGTAATCCTAAATTATATTATATTAGTTAATTTAACATTTCTTTATACGAAGTTTATCATTTTCGTGGTAATTTTTTATTATTTACTTTATTTGAATCACGAGTCTGAAATAGTTAAACTCTGTTTTTAGTGTAGAATCACCACATATTATCATTAATTATGACCCTTAATATGGATAAACCCAAAGAAAGGATAAATGTGGACTGACCGCTTGGCTAATTGTAATTGTTAAGCCCGCACCAAATACTTATTGGTACCTAACAAAACCATTTAAACACATTTTATGAAAATGAACTAGCCAGCTCTCTATATTGTATATCTATAAATACTGCGTTCAAGTCCATGGAAGCTAGGTCAAGAAGCGCATCTAAGTAGTATTGAATCAGTTAACAAGTTGAGCACGTGACCTAGAATACCAAAGAGTGCGAAGTAAGCATATCCCGAATCTGAATACATGGGATTTGATATCCAATGTAAACAATTGGCAGATCCTCGTCCGTCGACTATTGAATCAAACATTTCCAACAAATTTCTTTTATATATGAGATAAATACGTTATGAAAATGCTCGTGACCATTTAAAATTTTAGGGATGCGCCGTATCCACAGCATCCACGGAAGGACTGCCACTGGTAGATAGTTTCCTGAGGAAAACGTGAAAATCGATTATTTTTAACATTTATTTTTTTTAACCGTGTAAATTGAAGGATAGGAGTATATATTAAAATAATCAATTGTAATCAATTATCTTTATAAGAAAACTTATATTGGTAATTTGAAAATTGTCATTTTAAAACTACTTGGAATTTACCAGATGCAAACCAACATTAAACTGTAATAATTATAGATGAAGCTTTATATCAGTGATTCCCAAAGTGGTCTGTATCGACCCCCTGGGGTCTATGACAACCTGCAAGGGGTCTACGTCAGCGAAAAAAAAATTTGGTGGTCCACGATAGTGGATCTCAACATACTCTGATAGTACCTATTTACTTACATTATACTATCTTATAATATAAAGACATATACATTATTTATAAAAGTACCTGTGAAGTAAAAAAAATATTATATATGTTTATAAAATTGTGTAAGTTGTAGAATGTAGGCATTCGCTTTGTGGTCGCAATACATTTTAAACTTATAAAAACCTTGTAAAAACCTTACAAAATTGAAGCCAAAAGTTGATAATTTAAATTATTAAAGCATCAGGTTCATCCTTCTCACTAAAAACATTTACTTATTGCTTAGTTTATTTTTTGTTTAATTTATGTTACGTATTATATATAACAGATACAAAATTTTATTTTGAGTAGTTTTAATTTAAATTCAATCAATAAATATATAAAACTTAACATGTGTTTTTACTTTAAGTTTTTAACACTAAACTTTACTAGTTAGAAATTTACAAAAAAATCAATATCAGGCAAGTAAAGGGTCTACCCAAAACCGAAAAACATGGCAAGGGGTCTACTGCTTTATATGAAGGAAGATGGGCATCCAACGCCCTATGGTTAAGTCGCCCTAGGTTTAAAAGAAGAAGATGAAGAAGACGAAGAATAGGAAAATAATGGAAAAAACTTCCATTGGAAAAACATATGTCAACCGCTATAAGAATAACTATGACATAATAAATAAAACAGACACAAAAAAATCATTAAACAGGAAACATGCATTATCATCAAATACATTAGTAAATAGCTTACATCTATAATTATGCTATTTATACATTTGAAGTTACCATTGAATCATTAGAAAATTATATTATTTTAAAACAATAATTAAAGCACAACAAGTTGGAAAATTCTAGTGCAATTAACATAGCAGTAAACATATTTGTAATAAAATTTATTTATGATAATATAATATTGATAACATAACTGCAATTACTAAAAAATAATATATAATACCCCGTGCAGAAAGACTTATTATAATAAACCTCTAATCCAATGAAAATGCGTAAATAAATAATATTTATTAAACTGTCACATAAACCAATAATAAAAAAATTAAAACATATTTATATAATCATAATAATAAAATAAAAAAATATCAAAGAAATATTGATTTAAAAATATTTATTAACACAATTAGTAAAACTAACGGGTTTCTGGGTCCCACGACCTAACTGGGCGATGATTAAGTGGACGATAAAGAAATGTATCAAATATTAAACACAAATAAAAAGAAAATATATCATAACGTTAATATTAGTTAGAAAAAACCTTTTTTTAAAAGTGCTTTAAGTACACTTTTGGGAAATTAAGTTAATTTATATTTAAAATCATACATTCAGTGGAACACGATTTCTTGATAAATTGATTAACGTTTGCCAATATTTCTAAATTCTAACGCAAACCCTTAAACATTTTGATGTATGAAAAAAATGAACGGCTCATATATTCGTTATATTAAACAACAAACCTTTCTATGAGATCATTTTATATAATTCATCGATATGAAATACGATTCTGTTACCTAATTTTTTAACGTCTTCGTATTTCTCAATTACAGAACGATCAACAGTTAGTATAAGTAACAATTTTTCATCGTATTTTGTTAGTACGGTGTGAATACCTAAAATATATAAAATAAAGTAAAATTAGCTGCAGCGACAGTAAAAAATAGTTACCAGTTCCCGGTGAATTAGGAGGAAAACCTATAAAAGTTTTTATGGGCTTCCCAAATAATATAATATTCCTGGACATATTCATAACACTAATTCCAGCAGTTATATTCATTAAGGAAAATGTCCAATATATAATTGGATTCGGTAAAACAATCAATACATGTTGACCTAACCAGTAGGTAAACTAAAACAAAGGTTTTTAAATATTGATTTCAATATGAATTTACCAATAGAACCTCAATTTCTAATGACTTTTTAATAATTTCATAATTGTTTTTAATAATATCCAAACGTTCCATAACTGAATCAGCTTGTATAGGCAATTTTATATGAATAGCAGTGAATCTGTTCTGTAAAACATTAGTACTATCTTCGATATAAGAGGGACTTTGAACTGTACCAGTTACAATCCATTTTGGAATATTTGCACCCATCTAAAACATAAATTTGTATACAAATATATAACAAAAAGTTATTTATAATAGATACTTTCTTGTAATATTCATATAAGGATGTAGCCAAACAACTGTTGAATACATCCAAATAAGCAGCATTCAGTTTGTTTTTGATATGCTTAATTTTATTAATGTAATTATTATTATCGTCGTCATAGATAAAGACGAAATGTTTTACTTCTTCTAAATTGTAACCTCTAAGAATATTATCATCCTTGTCTATTTTCAATCCTTGAGTTAAATAACCATCTACTATATACTTTTTCCAAATATTATATCTGGGTGGTGGTTTCTGTATGTCGATTTCGAGTTCTCCGTCACCAAAACCTGAGCTAATTAAATCCAGTAGATATTTACCATCCGATAAACAATGATGGAACTTGAATATAATTACATAGTGGTTCTTTTTCAATGTTTGTTCAAGACAAATTAATACTTTCATCAATCCTCTACCTCCATTGGGCATTTTCATTGTATCGCAAAGTTTAATTTTTTCGCTCAATCCCTCATCATTCAATATCGGTCCATTCACGTCTCCGATAAATTCCAGTAACTCATCAAGATCACTCATTCCTCTAAAATAGTAGTTATAGCCAAGACAAGAATCTCGTTGATAAAACACTTTATCAAATATGCCTCCCTTTAATTTTCTTACTTTCTTGGCCATCAAGTCTATCAATTTCTTTGGATCATCGTCAAATTCAAAATGTAATAAAATGTACACGAAACAATTATCACAGTTGCACATTATAGAATCAAGTCCTTCCAATATCCCAATGAAATTGTCTGCGTGAACCAATTTTAGTATTATATTTACAAATTGTCTATATAGATACAACACTATATAAACGATATAAATTACTGGACTCAGCAGGATTGTTAAAATCAAAGATATACAAATCAATGTAAATCTATTAACAATAAAATGGAGAGAACACTAAAAATAAATTATTATTTATTATTTACAAGAGCAATTTTACACTAAATTACCTTTACACATAAAAATACGTATAGTGGTAGTTTAAGAATTGTCATTTTGATGGAAAATTCGAGAAACAAACAAGTATGTAAAAATGTGCGGTGCTGCTTTATATATAAAACAGCAGTTAAAATAAACTCGTTTTAATCAATAAGATACAAGAAATATGCATTATAACGAAATCCATTAACAAAAGATAAAATAAATCTATAATTATACATGTCTGACGTTCTTAATTAAATAGGCAACTAAATTTACACAGTATTTCAAGATATATACAGCGAAATGTATACTCGTAAAGTGAAACAATTTTTCCCATATAAATTAATGTAAATTACAATAATGCGTTCCATGCCGAAAAAGAAATATGTATAATGTTATTAACAGAAAATTAATTATTGCTAGCATTATTAAGTTTTGCACAAAAATTAATCACAAATAATACGTCAGACCGCAAGTTTGGAAAAATATGTGATCACAAACGACAATAATATGCATCTGAATGACTACTAACACCAGGAACTGTCGGTATTCGCCTGACTCCATGTGTTTATATTACTTGTATCGATCCGGGTCTTTGTGAATGTCTTTTTATACTTTTTATATTTGTTTATATAAAAAACAAACATAGTTTGTCTATATATTATAGTAGTAGTTGGGCGTTTCTTTTAGAGTAAACACAAATTATATTTGACAAAGCATATTCCGCTATAAAGAAAGATGACAAAAAAACTTATTAGTTTTAGGTTTATTTGTTGACATTTTTGTAAATTTTACATGGAAAAACACATAACAACTAAACGGAAGTAACTAGGAATAAATTTGGCCAAATTAAACTGGTTGATTGGGAAAAGGTCGCAGCTATCACCGTGGGGAACAGCTAACAACTTAAACATTGACATTATTCAACGTTTCCAATCGAAGTATCTGCGTACCCTGGTGCAAGCTCCCTGATATGTGTCAAACGACGTTATCCAAAATGACCTCTAAATTAAAACAGTGAAAAGTAAAATATCTATGTTTAGAGGATGATACCAAAACAGATTAGAAAAAGCATACCAATACTCTAGCAATGAATTTATTAGACAATAGTGAAAGACTAAAAAGCAATAACACCCTTCATCTCCCCTAGAGATTTAAAAGTTAGAAGAACGTTTTTAGTTATTTGTTTTAATTGTTAAAATTATTATTTATTTATATTATATTATATATTGTAATTATTCCGCTTATTGTTATATTTTTCTATATTCTCAAAACTATTTGCTCCTTGCCCATGTGGCAGATTGTAAATAATACATTTATTTAAAAAATAATGAATGAAAAATATACAAATAAATAACAAAAAATGAAGAGAAAATAACGCATGATTTAGAAAACCGATATACAACTGACTGTACAATTAAATATTATCATTACATTGTTAACCTTAATAATGATTTACCAACTACGATGTTATTATCGATCTAAGCACTGAAAGAAACATCAGCACTTACGAAATGCACTTAAATAATACTAATAAAATAGCAATGTCAAGCAATATCGGTAATTATTTTCATCACTTTGAATAAATAATTATTTAACCAATTATTACGTTTATAAAATGCACATAAATATTAATTAATTAATTAACTTATTGTATATTAAGAAAACAATATTAAATGTAAACTTCAGTCATAATAAAATATTAATTATATTTTATAGAACAGAATAAACAATAAGTATAATAGGTACAACAAATTAAAATTATAGTATATTGAAGAGTAGATTAACATATTGTCGTGTCCCATGTATAGAATTTTGGACACAGTGGAATATTGTCTGGTGTTGTCGTTGTGGAGTCTCAATTGTTGGGAATTTAATGAAATTCGTTTAGTTTTACATAACTTTATTTGTTACTTGGTCGATTTAAGATTCATCTTAGACTATGCTCATATTCAAAGGTTTTGTTGAGACTAATTATAAATATATATTCTACTTACAAAGTTAATAATAGGACTTGAATTCTGAGTAAAGGTATAGGAGTATCGATGGGATTGTTTTCGCTTGCTCCCATTTGTTATTAAAATGTATCGAATCGTGGACGTTCTTTTAAAACTAACATTTTTTTAAATAAATTTATATAATTCGAAAACCAGGTTTTTCCAACTAAGAAACCGGTTTTTTAGTTTAGACCTAAAATATATAAATTATTCGATTAAAAACATGAACAACAACAACACAAAATCGTCTGGCAGAAAATGGGAATATTGCCAAATCAATTCAAATTTCATGAAACAAACACAAAATCGAAAAAAAATATTATTTTATAATTAATATAAATGGGCAAACGTCCGTCGCCTGTTGAATTGCGCAAATCTTTTGTATTATCTATATTTCAAGAAAGATCTTTTCCGCCGTCGCCTGAATAATACAACGAATTCTTTTATAGTTGAAACTTTAACAATTTCTTCTCTCAGCATAGCTGTTACCATTATTCAGAACCATTACTACGACCGGTCAACCGTGAATTATGAGGTCCCAAAATCAGATTATTTCTTGTTATCATCCTCCTCTCACATTTTTTTTTAATTATCCCCGCGCTTATGTATTGGGGAGCCCCAATTCATATTTATACCCGGGGCCTCAACAATCTAAGAAAGGCACTGCTATTATCATTTGTATTGAAAAACGTTTTATCTTCTTTATATTTTAATGAAAGCGCTTCGGCAGATTTCAAAATTTCAGCTCTTTCCAATTTAGCTAATTTTGTAGGTACTATGAAAGAAAATAATTGAAATTGAAGCGCATCAAGCCCTTGGACCAACGGGTTCGTATGCGAATCAAGCCTGTTCGTGTATTTTTTAGAGAAATCTTTGACAACTTCTTCCACTGTTTTTATTCCAAAGTCCTGGTTTATAACTACATAATAAATACATCTTCACTGACAAAATGATGATAATAGTATTTTGTTTATGTCGTGTAATTTTATTCACAATCTGTTCATCAATGTGAACATTGAATTAATTTAAGATCGCGATTGACATTAGGTAGGTAATCTTTAGCGGTGGATAGTTACCATTATAATGATTTTTAATTTGTAGGTTGGCTGTCGTCTTGTAGGTTAACTTCAGTAGTATATTGATGCTCTGCGATTTCACTATTTCCTTTCACTGTGTATCTACTGCTATCCTTAACACTGTCATTTTCCATCGACTTGGCTGATGGTCCATGTGCTGAACCTCATTCATTTGACTGTCCATATGTGATTAACGATGGCCCTTTTGCTGCAAGCACCGAGAGGACTCACGAAGGGCCTGGCTTGACCAGGATTTGAACCTGCGCCCACTAGTTCGTGGGTAGGGTGACTTAACCATTAGTCGCCGTATTCGATAAGTAATAAAAATAAATAGTTCTTTGGTCAGATAATATACTAATTATCTTGACATCATCTGTTATTTTTTTATTATAAAAATCTAAAATGTTTGTTGAAAATAATTAGCCACTTATATCATCATACAATATGTTACAATTGGTTTCAAAATATTGTTAATTTGTGTCATTTCTTTTTCTGCACCATTATTAACTAGATATACGTAATAAATTATGATCAATAGCTCTTTGTATGAAGTTATACAATAAATGTTTACTGTTCACTTTCTTATTCCACTTATTTTTTTTATTAAAAATATGTTCTAAACGTAAATAAATTTTGATAAATATATGAAAAAGTAATAGAAGTATCTCCCGACATACGAACTAGTTCTGTTCCAAAGAGTTGTTCGTAAGTCGAATTTGTTCGTAAGACGGGGGAATTTGAAAAATTTCAAAATATACTTATCTTACCACACTTTATCATGGTTTTTAGTTTTATGTATGTTAAATTCCGTATTAAAATAAACAAAATACTTACAAATACTTTTCAATGTAGACATCACAATTATTTAATAAAAAACGACAAAAGAAACAAATGCAACAAAACAGATAGTACTTCTTTCAATTCATTTGAACAGTCGAAACTGTTTGATATTTACACATATATCTTTATAAAAGAATTTTCAAAAATAAAGACAAAGTCATTAGCTTAAAAATGTGAGATCATTAAGCCCATGGACAGATATTATCAAGCTGGTACCTAAATCATTCAATAGAAGATGACTGCAGTGATGAAAAAAATCGGCGAAGAAGAAAATCATGTGATTGGAGATTGGAGTACAAACAGAAGAACGAATTTAGAAATTTAGATTAATTAATACTGCTCTAAAATCCAGCTCTGTTTGATCAATAAGTCCGTAGATATTATTTCCTCCTTGAAATAAGTTTTTTATGAGAAAAAATAAGATATAAAATAATATTTAATAATCATTTTGTTTTGTCCAACCATTAACATTATTATTAAAGTATATAAAATATAATGTATAGGAGACATAAGCTAAATAATAAAATTGTAAATACTAATCTGCCGTTAACATGGATTAAATCATCCTTCACTTTGAGCACTTTGCACTTATACCATCCACAAATACACAACATGCTCAGTTGTTAAAAAAAAAAACATTAAAAAATAAGTTGTATTTTTTTTTTCGTGAAAATTCAAAAACCGGTTAAATCCGATATTGCAGAAAAGTTGAGATTCGAAAAGCGGTTTTTTTAAGTCTGTATTTGTATAAACCGGGGGTAGGGTTTAACGATGGATGAAATGATTGATTTAAAAAATAAAATTCGTCGTTTGTTTTATTATTTGTATATTTCCACTATTCTCAATGTTAATATTCAGTTCCCGAGATTATAATTTCCCGGGATTTTGCTCCCACTAATGATAACTTATTTGATATAATAAATTTGTTGCTATACTAAATGGTACTAATTTATTAAATAATCAACCAAAAAATAATAATTTTCATTAGTTTTTATATGTATAATATTTTTTTTTACATAAATCAATATGTAAACTATTGTATTGCTACGTAATGCCCAATTATTGAATCTACAAGAAACATCCAATTTGAATCTGCAAGAAATATTAACTGTAGATAGAAACAAATTAAATTAATTTTAAAACTAAAGTATGTGAGTTAAGTATAGAGTTAATAAAATAATATTAGAATAACCAAAGAATGAGCGCAAAACAATGTCATTAAAATTTACTGATTATATATAATTAAATAATAGTCATACTAAAGTAGAAGAATTCGATAAAGAATAGAGAATTTCTTGATTTAAGACGAATAATTTTTTGTTTTTAATATACAAGTAAATATATTTCATTTTTGAATGAAAATATCGCTCATTATATATATTTTTTAATGTAAAATGTACTAAAATAATTTTCTCTTTTTGTAATGTTTTAAAATGGCAGGGTCCCAGAATATTGGTATTTTCTTTTTTTATATTTATGTAACAAGGTTAAAATTAAGAAATAAAATCGAAAATAATATAGTTAATTTTGTAAAGAAATTTATTTTTTTTTATCTCTATCTTATTTTACCCGATAATCAACAATCCAAAAAAAAACTGTACCGAGTTATTATTTTTTCTACAACCTACAGCCATTTAAGTTTTGAAAATATTCTTCTTGTAGTTATTAAATTTTTTATTATCTATTTTCATCACTATTTATTGTTAAAAAAAAATAGTGTTATATTTTATGGAAATGTTATATAATGGCACTTAGTACTGTGAGAAATTACGTTGTTTTTGACCATCTGTTTATATTGTCACTTGAAATATTCCTCTTTTGCAGTGATTAACATTTGTACTTAATTATATACTATTGATTGTGAGTGTACTTTTTAAAAATATATGTTATACATTAAATGAATAAATATTGGTAATACCTTGTCAGCATAAAAGATCAAGGCATGTTATGACGCAAGTAATTTGTGTATTTTATTTTGTGGCTCCGAAGGAAAACCTGCCCAAGATATATATATTAACACGTATGCCCCAGAAGGCGATCGACAAATTCGACCAAGGTATCCCGAAATCGGTATCAAATTGTTGTGAAACCACCGCCGAAACTTTGTATCGAACAATGAATTAATACGACAGTCTGTTCGCGTCCCGTGGCCATGCAATAACGAATATTTGTCTTTCGTATTTTCAATTAAAACATATCGCATTTACTTGTCGCTATATAAATTGTTATTCACTGATTGATCTACAAGAAAAGGTAAGTTAAACATATTTTTGCTATTCATATATAATAATTGATAATTTAAATGTTTATATAAAATACTAATATTATTGTATGCAGCTAAATCAATGTTCTGTGAAATGTATTCAACTACCGTTTCTTATTCAACTACCATTTCTTATTTAATTATTGTTATGTTTCTATTTTGTGTAATGAGCAAGTGAATTAAAATTAATAACATTTATTTTTTTAATTAATTATTTGGTAACTCCAGTTTCCACATTTTTTGTGCATGATGTCGTAAGAAAGATTTTCAAGGTCTTATGGTTAACGCAATGTATTATGAAGTACGAGAATATATTTTTAAACTTTTATATTTGAAATAAAGCAATACCTCGTATAGTACGGGTAATTGGTTTCACCAATATCCTGTTTGAAACCGTACAAATCGAAGAATTTACTGCATGGGGAATTTACGGCTTGACTGCATTAATTTAAATACAAAAGATCAGTTAGTAATAGATTTTATGGTGTCATTTTGGTGTCTAACTCAATTGCCTGTGGTTTTTCTTTACCATCTATATTGAACATAAAATGCGAATACGTTGTTTTTGGTGGCAAAATAAATTTCTTCATTTCCTTCTTACACAAAAATCCCCAACACTACGAAAATGATAGTTTATTATATTATCTATAGAAACTCTTTAATATAATATAAAAAACTATTTTTTTAACTTATTTGAAATACAGAACGTTTGAAACATAAACATCTGTATTATATAGAAAAAATATACAATTATGTAAACTTTAGTAATGCAATGAGTAATATTGAAAATGTAAGCAACATTATATTTCGCTTTTGATAAATATTGATTTCATAATCTCCACACTTAATTGCTTAAGGACGCGGGGCAAATTATTGAAATCATAAATGGACACATAAATTCATATTTTTTGTTGTTTTTTTCTAATCTATTTATATAAAATTATTTACTTTACTTGTATACTATTTACTTATTTTTTTTACAATTTGTATAATTTCATGAGAATTCCTGGTATCCTCATTTTAAATTTCTCGGTAAATGCATTAACAAATCTTCTAGTTATTTTTTTTCGGTAAGTATAAATTATAATATTGCCGTTATAGTAGAACTATAATTCATATTAATTAAGGGTAAAAAAAATTGACATTAAAAAAAAATAAAATTGTAGTTTTATCAGGCTATATATATACAAACTACAATGAACGAACCATTACGGCTATTAGTTGTGTATCATTACAAAAAATCATGTGTTGTAACAATATATTTATAGTCTGTTTCAGATAATGGATTTCATCAAATTGCCTATTTTTACGTATGCTCTTGTTAAGGTACGTATCAAAGAAAATATTTTAATAAATTCTCTTTCTTCTTCATACATGACCATCAAAAACTAAACCATCAATAACTTGCTATTAAAAAAAATCTCGTAATCCTCGTCGACTATTTTTGTTAAATTCCCATTCTACTAAGTTTAGTCAGCGATATCAAAACTGATTTGAAAAGCATCCCAATACTCTAGCAATTAATTTATTAGATAATAGTGAAACCCTCCATAGATTAAAATGATATAACACCCATGATGTCCCTTATAAATTTTAAAATTAGAACAACGTTTTTAGTTATTTCATTTTATTGTTAAAATTAATTTTTATTTATATTATATTAGGTAATTTGGAAAGTTTTCAATGGGAAACTATTCCGCTCAGTGTTTATATTTTGTACAGTTCCAAAACTATTTACTGGTTGCCAGCATGTGGCAGATTCTGGATAATAAATTTATTAAAAAACATTGGTGAATTTTCTCATAATTCTGATATTTCCACAAAATACATTGAGCTTCTGATTTGCATATCATATTCTTTTATATAAACATAAAAATATTAAAAATATACATCATCGTTGAATAGGGCCTTTCTTATTTAAACTTGCATCCCTCCCTAACCTTACCAAAATGTGTCACCTAAATAGCCAACACCTAATAAAATCTTCGGCTACAGAATCAAGATAGATTCCTCAAGCTTAAAATATATCCAAATAATCTCATCTTTTTAATTGATATAATTTCAAGAAATTAATATATTGAATAGGATAAAAATGCTCTTCTTCCTCCGTCTCTCCTCCTTCAATTTAGTTAGTATCTATTGACACTATTTCAGCAGACACTCTTTGTTTTATTTATCTAGAGCATATTATCTGTTTTTCTTTCTGTGATTTGCTTGTAGATAAATTGCTTTATAAAATAATAAAAAAAATATTTTAAATACATATGTCGTGTCCCGGGATTCAAATATTTCTGGACACTGTGGAATATCTCGTAGTTATGTCGTTGTGGAGTTTTTAAGGAATGCTAGAGGTGAAGTTGGAGTTTTTATGATAATAAACTTTTTTATTCTCTATAAGATTAATAACTTCTATATCTAGATTCCAGTTTCTAGATTTGTTACTAGGTTTTTATGAGTCTAACTAGGACTCAGGAGGACTCTCCACTAAGACTAAAACTATCTTGGACTACCGACTAGCTAGGACTATCACTTTAACACTGACTCTTTAGGACTCCCTTGTATTACATAAACATCCTGTTATATAGTATTGAATTAGCATAGTGGGAGTACAATATTTGGTAAGGGAAGATAGTACCTAACTTTCTCTAATAATTAAGTGATTAGGATATTACATATTAGAGGTCATTATTGATGGGACCTTTGAGTTTGTGCACAACATAGTGATTAACAATAGTGGTATTTGTTCTAAGTCTTAATGACTTACATACATAAACATGCATAAAATAATAAGGGCTAACATAATATAAACAATAACGGTTATACGTAACACATATGTGGTTCTTCTTTTTACAAGGTTAGGCAAGGGTTTTTTTTTTAAGGAATTATTAAATCAACATTAGATTTTTATGAAAGTATGATACACTTTCATTGAGAAGTAAAGTAACATTTATTGTAAACATAAATAAAACAAACAAATGTTAATCGAGTATTTCTTCCTTTGTTCAAATATTTTCTTAACTTGTTCTTTTCGAATATATGCTGATGTTTAAAACTTTATTTGTAAACTTATTATGTGTACATTATAGTTTATATATTTTTCAGCACAAATTGCAAAATGATTTTAAATTATCGAAGAACCAAGACATGCCATTTGTAATAATCAACGTGCTACTGACACTCGCCGCTCTTCTCGTTGCGATCCCCGTCGTATTAATACTTTGTATGTACAAATACTTAATTAGTTTCATTTTATATATGAAATATGATAAGAAGTATCGTTACATTATGCCGGGAATAGATAGTTTCTGCAATCGTGAATACAGATGTCTCATAAATTCCGTGCTTTTTGTAGAATACAAAAAGTCCCCATCGGAATTGCTGGAAGACTTGCGCGAAAGAATAAACAACGTTCTGCATGGAACACACGAGAAAATATCTTTTACCAGGCATAGATTCATGGGTCTAGATTTCTACTTGAAACGAGATTTTAATGTTGAAGAATTGGTAAGGCCAATGATCAAAGGTGAATGTACACAATTAAGTAGTTCGGCTTTTGCTGAAATTATATCTATCGAAGATAAATTGGTAATGCCTGGAAATGATATGGGCATGTTCGAAGTGTCAGTTGGACAGCAGCCGATGGCCGAAGATGTATACAACTCGTCGAATGTTTATCCGATCTTGTTTAGAATGCATCATTCTCTGTGTGATGGAATTTCGTTTATAAACGCTTTTTACACAACTTTCATTGATAACGAATTGCCTGCAATCGAAAAATCAATGAAAGATAAAATAATTGAAAATATGATAGACTTGAAACTGGCCACGCAAACTACAACCATTAAAAATAATATGTTCAGCCTTAGAGATCATAACTCGTTAAGAGGTTACAACTTATTAGAAGACAAGCACTTTGTGTGGACCACAAAGTTAAATTCAGAAATTCTGTTGAAAGTAAAGAAAATTAGGAAATACTATGGTACTTCTTTCGCTAGTACCATTACTGCTTGCTTAACAAGTAGCCTTCATGAACACTTGGCAAAGGTATGGAGAGTGTCATTCAATAAAAAGTATTTTGAATAATTTTTTTTTAGAGTAATGAAAAAATTCCTGATACAATATTAGCAGGTCTTGTTGTATTACCAAAACCGTGCACTTTTCAATGGGGAAAAATGAGAACTGAATTTGTTAATGAATTTGGCGCTGTTGCCATCCAATTGCCCATAAGTGTAGACAGTGTTAAAAATCCCATTGTTACACGAATCAAATTGGTCCAAAAAGAATACGAAACAATACAGAAGACCATAGATTGTCAAGTAAGTATATTAAATTACAATGTAAGCAACGTGCAACAATATTAAATATTTTAGCTAAATTATTGGTTCATCAAATTCCTCATACCAATGCTACCTGCTCCTGTGACAGACTACTTGAAGAAAATCCCATCGATAACAATGGGCATCAGCAATTTACCAGGAGGTCCCGAATTCTCGTTATTCAACGATGACGGCAAAGTCATAGATAATTTAAATTTCCCTCCAAACAGCACAGGAACTGGTGAGTTTTTTGGATATATTTCATTAATTATAATTTTATTAATCGCAATTTAAATTTAGGAATTCACGTTGCTATCATAACCTACGGGTCGTACCTTAGACTCTCAATAACGGTCGACAAGAGTGTCGTTAGGAAATTCACAGATGTCCAAGAAATACTCGACAACACGACCAAGTACATTGAAGACCTGGCGGACAATTGCAAATGATTATTATGTTAATAACGAATACATTTTCACCGAAACTGTCAATATATGTCATTAATTAGGTCTACAACATGTTCATTTTTATCATCTAAATTCCATAACGTAAAAGGCAAAAGCCATAAAAATAATTAAAATCAATAAATACTAATAACCGATGGATATTACTGAAGAATACGAAGAGTCGACAGAGGTGCTACCATTTTTTCCCAGATACGACAGCGAGACGATCTGTCAGGATAAACTTCGTGTCACCTGGTTTGAAATTGATTTCTCTCAATCGAGGTACAACTTTGAAAATAAAGTGTGCGGCAGCAATGCATGTACTCTTATTGTGCTTCTAGTAGCAGCAATCTGTAATCGGGAAAACGTGCAAGTAAGTAGTTGTTTCCATCATATTTTGAAACAACAATGTATATATATATATATTCGTAACTAACCAAATCATCTAACTCATGAATTATATATATTTTATAATAAGTTTATGCAAAATATTTATAAGATTGGTAGAATCCATTAAAGTTAAATTGTTAATTTATTTGTAAATCATGAAAAATTATACTGTTAATACATTTTTTATTGATTATTTTATACAATGTTAGTATTAAATTATATACATATATCATATTATATAAAAAGTAAATATTATATAAATAATAAGTACATATATGAATTAAATCAGAAAATGAATGTAATATTAAGAAGGTCATTCTGACCTTATAAAATATGTTTGTACTTTTTTGTTTGAAACTACACATGCAGAAAACATCACAATATTCATAAAATGTTTGATGAAAATATCTAAGATTCATAGCCCTTTGCAGTAGAAAATTAACATTTATCTAGAATTTATATTTGTTTTACAATTATAATTACTATGTTAATATATTAAAGCATTTACATGAGCAATATGTGAATTTATCAATATAACCTAAGATCAAGATATATGGAAGACGAACATAAAATTATTAGTCATTAAAAATCTACTATATATATGAAATACGATATTAAATAATTTAATTAAAACTTCAGTGCTTTGGCCCTAACAAACAAATTAATTACTATGTGATCCGAGCACTGGGAAGAGCCATGCTATATGGAAATGAGATTCATGCTGTATTGAAGGACAAGGGGTCCCTGGAAAACATTAATTTAACTATACCAGAGGCAATTCGGTTTTCTGGCAAGAAAGTGAGCGGCATCAAAGAATGGGTTTACTATATTAACTTTTAAAGATGAAAATACGTAATATAATTGCAATATTTCATTCTAGAAAAGCGTGCTGTATATGCAATCATTGATCAACACACTTCACGTGAATTTAAATGCGCATTGGAATGAATGGAAAAAGTCGGCGCATAGTAGGAAACACGCAGATCTATATATAGTTCTAATATCGGATTCAAGAAGTGTACTTTTTATAATCAATGACATACAAGGAACTGTACATATTTATTCGAGTCCAGTGTCCAATTAAATACTCATGATGTTCAACATTTCCAGGTGACTTTGGTGGATTCTCATCAGCACACGACAACCAAGGGAGCGTTAGTAGCCGCAGTAAATCAGGACAACTTACGATGTTTGTGCGCTTGGCTCTCGCACATCATGTTCAAGTATCACCACACCTTACCAAATCTTTACGAGTTGTCATTCCTATATTTTCGAAAAAAGAGAAAGTAGACCATCAACAGTTATAAAATCTCTTAATAAAGCTTTGAATACGGGGATTAACAATAATAATAAATAATATATTTTCTGTGAATTATATTTTTAATTTTTTTTTCAGTTGATATAAAATTTGAATTCATATACAAAATAAATAAAGATAATAAAGAAGGTAAAGAGGCAAGATTAAAATAAAGATAGAAAAAAGAGATAAATGGATAAAGATGAGCTACATTTGTTTACTCCACAAATTTCTTTTGTTCAGCATTAGAAAGTAAGGAAACAAGTGAAAAATAATATTTTTTTTATGACCATTAATAATTAATTAAAGCAAATATTAATAAACATCTTTTTTGACTTTGAGAGTACAAACATACTAAATACCTATTTTTTAAGTATCATTTTATATTGGTATGTGTAGGTGTTTTTCTAAACTTGCACTTCGCTATCCTGGTTTAAAAGCCATTGGGCAGCCTTGCTCACATCCCAGCTAGCAACCTCCAAAGCATCATTACAAACATTCAGCTGGGCCCCTATCACAATCTTTTGCAATTTATAGAGCTTAATAGCATTAAGAACATTCCAATTAGTAAATTCGAGAGATTGTATGCATTGCTCTGTATCTATCTACAAAGGAAATACAACTTCATGGCTAAATCAGAGTATTATATAGAAAACTTACATCTGATCCCAAAACCTTAGACATGATCCTGACTTCGTCGGAATCAAAACCTCTAGCTCTTGAACTAGGTTTTGTATCGGCGAACTCCAAAAGTTCTTCGCAACTAACATGATGAGATTGCAGTTTACTGGAGCCATTGTTCATGGCACTTACAGAGTCACCGATCGCGTCCACGCAATCCAGATCTGCTACTGCGATATCATCTAGTGCAGCCAACTCTGATTCGATCTGTTGTTCGAAATGTATAGATTCAGTATCGAAATCGCGAGTATGGTTGCTGTAAACCGGCTCAACATGAGTTTCGCTAACACCTATGAATGATTCACCAACAGTAAAAGATTCCGGATGCTGAGCCACGGGTGGAGAGCCAGTAGAAAATTTATTCAAAGTACCTTGTAAACTCAAGGGAGGAATAATCAGGGGATGTTTCCTGGTATGCCGAGGTTTCGAAGTGAGAAGAGGTTTATTTCGATCACGCGGTGGTAACGGTATAGGATTCTCATCAACCACTCTTTCAAAATGTTCAACTGGAGGTGAAGTAACCTCGGGTTTTATTGATTCGACTACTTTTAACGCCGATATTTCTAATGCTGATTCTAAAACATAATTGATATACAAAAAAAAAACACTAAATCGAAATATTAACCAGATCGCTTTTGGCCTTCAAGATCATGATTATTATTAGTTCTGTCTTTATAATGTGTATTGGGTAAAGTAGACGTCCTCGACCTAGGTTTCATGGTGGGCAATTGGCCCGACCGTAATAGGCGCAAGGGATTTAACCCTGGAAACTGAAATGAAGATAACAAACTTCCTTATCAAATAATATTGAATAATATTTCTTCATTACCTGTGGTAGTCCTGGTTCGGGTTTCTCAACTAAACTTTCGTATGCTAACTGGGCTTGTTCAGTTACTTTGGACTAAAAAGAAAATATTTTTTTTGGGTTTAGGAAGTAACGAAAAATAAAATAAATTAAAATGAAACAAAAAAAAATCATGTACTTTCAAATTGCGTTAAATGCGTTCCATCGCCGAATGTTAAAAAACAAATTTAGACCAAAATAATTATTCACTTGCAGCTAATACCAAAACTAATGTTTCTATAAATTTTTAGCAAAATTCAATATGTTAAATAAATTATTAAAATAATTGTTATAATCAACTCATTTGAAAAAAGATGATTCCCTTACGATAGTATATTAAATATATTTTACAAGCTCATTTTAAAAAGTTCATAATATCATAAATTTATATAATAGTAATATATTACCATTCAGACTTGGGTCATCCTGATGACTAGTGCAGTAATTATGTATTTATGAATTTCAGGAATAGGCTCTAATACATATTATTAATATAAATAGTAATACGAACTTTCCGAACAAGCTATTTTAATCGCATTATTTAATTCCTGATAATTTTATATATTTATATGAAAGCAAAAAATACCCTGTGTTCAGTAACTTTCATTTTAGCATCATCACAAATAGCAAAACTGAACAAAATATACGTTCATATCCGATTATATATTGGTTTTTGTTAAGATTACAATGAATATAAAATATCACATGGTAGTATGATTATATATAATAGGTATGGTTTATTAAATTCCTAAACTTATTTATGTATCAAAATGGGCGGACAGTTTACATTTTTCTTCCATTCAAATTGAGAGGATATATAATTTTCGATATATTCGAAGATATTTTAAGAGCACCCTACTATGAGAAGCCACTACGATTCAACCGATGATTACTAGACTTCATCGATACAAAATTATAGCATTGTCAGAAACATAATTTTCTACATTCAGAACCGATATAGATTTTTTTGTATATGACGAATGTATGATTATATATTATGGCATTTCCTATTTATAATATATTCTTAAATACTCGAGTCTGATGAGGTATTAACATTATGATTTTGCAACCTGGCGACACTCGTTGGACTCAAACCGCTTAAAATGCTATTGCTTGGTGGAGGCGAACGACCTAAAATTTTCCCAACTAAATCCGGCTTCAGAAAATTACGGGATCTAATAACCATTTCTGAACGAATGCTACTATTGGAAGCGGATAATCTACTAAGCCTCTTCCTGCGCCTCCAATCTAAATCAACGGAGCCCAGGCTAGTGCAATCTGATTCACTACTACTACTTTGTGCATATGCCTGAGGATTATATGACTGTCTACGACGGTTTCTATCTCGAATGCTTTTTCCGGAACTTTTCTTATTAGGTAATATCTCTTGAGACTCTGAATAACTCATCGCCCTTGGGCGGGTAGTCTCAGCAAATGTTGGCGTCTCATTTGGAAAGCTATTATCATATACAAACACATTATCATAAGTTTCAATAGGCGTGTAAGCTTGATCATAGTACTCATTTAAAAATATACCGTCAGCGCCGTTTCTGCTATTGAAAGGAGACGGAGGGGGTGGTCGTATGTCATGCAGGAAACTACCGTTTCTCTCGAATCGATTAAATTTATTATCATTTTTATAAGTTTTTCTTGCCATACTTTCTGATTTAGTAAGAGTACGGTCACGGTATATTTGTGAAGGATAAAAATCTCCCCCACCGTCAAGTGATAACTGTTGAAAACGCGATTCTAAATTTCTCCGAGGATATTCCCTTAGAGCTATATTACCCGCAGAAGCTTCAGAATAAGCATTGTTTGAACTCATCACTGAAGTATTTAAATCTCTACACGAATTATGTGGGGCCTTTTGATAATGATGATGATGATGATGAGAAAAAAAAGGTTTCGTAAGCAATTCGCGAGATTTGGCGAAACAAAATTCTGCCGATGCTTTATCCCATAGAGGTAGACGTATGTTATTTTGCGAGAACTCGTCAAGTGATGTTAATGAACAACGCAGACGATGCTAATTGGTTAATAACAAAAAATTAAATAAATAGAAGCGGGAAAAATGAAGGGATTCAGAAAATGGTAAAAGTTAGTATTTTTAATAAATCGAAATATTCAAATAAACCTTACCTGAAGATCAGGTGTGGACTGAGCCTCTTCAGAAAAATTACGCCTTTCGACAATCTTTTCATGATGATGGTCAGTGACAGAAGGAAAACGAAAACTAAATTTTCTCTTAGTTGGGGACGATGGCGTCGTTGGTGCTGGAGCACTCATAGATCGTGTAGTTATTTCATTAGCTAACGCAATAGCTGTATCCAAAGTTTTTTGATCTTGGGCCGAGATGGGCTTCACATTAACAACCTGCTTACGAGGTTTATTGCGCTCACGCATTTCATTAGTTTTGTTCGTAGTCTCGTGATCGGCGGGGGAAGGAGGTGGCTGTAGTGGTTGTCCTAATGTTTTGAAAACCATCTGCATCTCGGCCATCAAAGATGGTCCTAAATCGAGTGAAGGACTATGATTATTTTCATCGTCACTGATTTCATGATATTCGTGATCTGGAGCTGGTGCCGGCGGTGGCAAAATTCGGTCGCCTTCGAGCAGTGGTGCAATTTCCAAGTCTTCATGTGGTCTGTATGGTGCCACTACCTGTGTTGGAATTCCACCATACTAATAAAACAAAAAAATATTTTAATAAAATTGTACAAAGTTTTTACTGTTCTGATGCATACATCAACTTTAGCTCCACCTAAAAAGCTGATATCTCCAAAGTAAGCTCCATCCAAACCTACATGACCAGTGTGCTTAAAATCACCCTGAGGAGCACTAATCATCTCACTGCGTAATTTACGTCGTGCTGATGTGCGTGTTGCGTCTGTGCGTAAGAAATTTGAACTTGGTAAATCACTTCCCAAATAAGCGACAACATTGATTGGATCAAAAAGTCCCGCCTTCCCGCTGGAGGCCACGCCTTTCCAATAAGGCCGATATGATCTAATGTAAATAATCTGTTAAATATTAATATAAATTATGCAATATATAACCTTACACTTTATCCAAAACCGTAATTACATCACCAATTCTATAATGTAATAAATGTGGACCGTCGCCGGATCCACCAACTTTGGTTTGTACTTGTTCAGGTCTACAATCAATCAATCGCGTTGAAATATCTATAAATCTAGGCCTACTGCTGGCCTCGTGCCTCCAGCAATCCAACATCAGAGCGTAGTGATCTTGAGGACAGCAGTCAGGCTGTTCCAGCCTTTGAAAATTAGGCTCGTCAATAGATTCCAAAATCTGTTGTCCTGTTAGAGCAGCCCATGGTTGAAATCCATAGGAAAACATTTCCCACAATGTGACACCAAACGCCCAGACATCGGTGGCTGTAGTAAATCTCAAATAACTTATGCATTCTGGGGCGCACCAAGCTATTGGAAGTTTCAAATTTACATTAAAATTAGTCTTGTAATAATCTTTTCCTTGTCCCAATGCTCTGCTTAGCCCAAAATCAGATATTTTAACCTTGTTCTTTGAAAATACCAAAATATTCCTAGCTGCCAAATCACGATGTATTAATCTCTTTGATTCCAGATACTGCATTCCATCACAAATTTGAACAGCAAAATCGCACAATGTTAGTACTGGAAAACTTGTTCGCAATGAAGGCTCTTTCAAACACTCCAACAAAGACCTTAAAGGAGCCAACTCTGTTACAAGCATTAATGAGCCTGTATCTAATACGACTCCGAAAAAACGTACTATATGATGATGATCAATTGAGTGCATAATAGCTGCTTCTTTCAAAAACTCAATTGTATTTGTTTGCATTCTTTCACGAGCTAAACACTTAATAGCAACCTACAAATGTATTAGTATTAAAAGTATACAAACAAAAATAGAATAATGTTAAATATACTTGAATCCGTTCTCCCTCATTGCACCAAACACCTTGCTGAACAACACCAAATTCACCCATACCCAATTCCTTGTTTACAGTTATATTTGCAGCAGGTATGATATGTTTGCTAGGAACTCTTGTAGCTCTACCAACTGGAGCATTGTCATTATTTAAAGATACTGGATCTGTGCCTATTGATTCCTGTTTACGTACTGATAACAGTTTTTTAAACTTTGAGAGGTAATTATTTGGAAAGTGTTTCTCATAATATTTTCTCAGCCTCCTCATCTCTGGTTTAGACATGCCTAATTCTGATAAGTCACCCTCCGTTGTGAACTTTAATTGTGAAGGATGTGTTACCTTCAAATTATTCCTAAAAAAAATCATCTATAAAAGTACATAACAAAATATAAGAAAATACTTACTTAAAGCTATTAAAGTAATGCTGCAGTTGGGCTTCCACAAGAAACTCATATAGGCCAGGGCCCTTTTTCAGGGGTGCACTGACACCCTCTACAAATAAATAAAATATATGAAATGGTCTTTAAACATTTTTATTGTTGTTTAAATGAAGCCATATTGCATTCATCAGCATTTGATATGTGTATTATTAAAACTCAGTATAAACAAAATTTAGTTTATAAACAGTGTGCTCATAAAGTAAACATTGCAAATCAATCAAAAAAGCAAAACATTGTAAGTGCATAGTATTCAGAAGGTAAATAAAGAAAAAGAACAAAAAATAAATATAAGATATTTAGATATAGGCTAGAGTGCTAAAAATATGTGATTCATACCCATCTTTCTAAAAATACAAAAACCTTTAAACACAGGAAGAAGTGTGTAAATTTAACAAAGATTTTGTATCTTGAGAGATGCTTAAATTCTTAATTTATACCTGGCAGAACCTCCATATCAATAATTAAATTATTTATATTTTATTAACTTAAGATATAAATGTAAACAATAATTATAATTTCATTTAAGTATAAACAATGGTCTACATGTCATATGCACAGACGCCATTTTTGACTGTTCTCTGATTTTCTGGTCCTGATCAGATCTGAAGTTCCAACAGTTCCAAAATGATTAGGTGTACCACGAAGCTAGCTACAACATGTTCAAGCAAATATTATATATAAAATAGTTAAATAAGAAAAGTAATTAATATTGTATTATATTTTATTGTAATATAATATCAAATAGAAATTATCTCAATTTGTAAAATATAAAATTATATAAGCTTTTCACTTCTTTTTGTTGGTATCTTGGAATAGTGACACCAAAAAGTATTTTAACGTAACCTAGATATTTTTTCTAGGTTCTCTAAAATTAAATAAAATGGTTTTCACTACTGCAGTTAATTTTATAAGAAGTCGAGGACCAGATGAGTTCTGGAGGAAGCGAAAGATTTTCAAATTAGCAGCTGTCAGTATTATCATTAATGCAAAATTAATATTATTTAATATGTTTTGACTTTTAGCATTTCCAAGGAAGAAAACGCAATTGTTATAGTATCACAATCAGATATGTTCATAGGGCTTTAGTATATGCCACTAAGGGCAGAAAACTGAAGAAGGTGGACATGGCTAATGTAGGTTTTGTTTTTTTGTTTATTAATATATGTTAATTATTTATGAATGGATATTTTCAGTTATGGGAGCAAAGGATTCTTTCTGGATGTGAACAACATGGAGTTACTTATCCTTTATTTAAGGAATCACTTTCTAGAAGTGGTGTGATGTTGAATAGAAAAACTTTGGCAGATTTAGCATGCTGGGAACCTCAATCATTCAAAGCTTTGACAGATATTGCTCAGGCTAGAGCAGCTCAAGATGGCTTGAATGTTTCTAAAAGCCTTGAACCGCCATCAGGTGTTGTTACTAGAGGAATGATTAAATAATGTACCATGTAAATACCTTTGTAGTATCCATTTTAATTAACTTTTAGTAATTGGAAAACCCGTTTTTCATATAAAAAGTAATATAATCACAGCCCTTGTATTTTTTAGTATCATAAGATTGGAACATGTCACCTTCGTTTCAATATTATGTTACAGGCGATAATGCAAATTTTCTAAATCTAATTATCTCTCCAAATCTAAAATACTCATTAAGAGTCTAATACTAGATGCTTAATTAGGACATCGGTTAATCGGGACAGCCGCTTATTAAGGACAGATCCCAAAGAACGGAAAGAAAACCGATGATATAACAAAAATTTACTTCGTTTAATCGGGACAGTAATCGTGTATGAATTCCCGTGGAGACGGGAATTCACATGTGAATATTTAGCGCTGGAGTAAACTAGCAACCAAGGGGACCAAGTCATATGAGAAATCTGTTGTATATAGCCACTGCTGTGGCGTTCCTTAGTACATTGCACTAGGAAACTGGTAACTCCACTAACGAGTAGTTTTGGTATTTCAGTGGGTGCGAAAGAGAGATAACTACACGTTATCTCAATGTCTCTTTTTGGTTTGCATGTATTGATTTTGGTTTTATTTTAGAAATACATCTCAATAATTTAAAGACGTATTTATTTTCTTATTCACTCTAGTACCATAGGTCGCATAGGTCCGAGAAAATGTTAGGTTAGGTGAAGTTGCCCTAAAGTTTTATGTTTAAAAATATATACAAACAATTTTGTTACATGGGTATTTTCATATCCAGTGGTCTAGGTCAAGTTTCGGTTAGGTTTTTTTTTTAAATAACATAAAAACAATTTGGTGATATGGGTATATGGGTATTTTTAGCTTTTAAAACTACAAATTGGTGGACGAAACGTCTAGTTAAAAGTTTCGCATCCTTTTTGCCTGTATTTACTTTATTCTTTCAAATAGTTTTTATTGCTTTAAAGTTTTCGCACTATTTACATTTGTGACCGCGACTGCTTGACCAGGGCAGGGGGGGTTCACGGGATACGGCATAATTGTAATCTTTTTTTTTTACAAAAAATCAGTTGGTATTGGAGGGAGGGAAGAAGAAGATTTTTCGTACGAAATCGGTTGAATTCGGAACCAATCGGTACTGTTTCAAATGTTTACTTTTCGGTAATAAAACTTTTTATGAATATTAAAATCTTTTGTCTGTTTTCGCCATTTCTATTTCGCCGTTGTGAGGAAAAAAGCAAGTAAGGAACATGTCTACAATTATTCTTTACATATATATATTTATGTGTGTCTAAGTACAATTGATTTAATGTACGTTGTTTGTTGCTATGGTTTATTATTGTTGCGTCCCAGGGTGCGATAGTAAAAGCGGCGATGATATACTAATGATAGAAAATTTCCTTCACCTGATTCTTCTTTGTTCGAGCAATGGAAAATTACTACGATGAAGGTAACTAATCATTTACTCAATACATTTAAATTACTATTAATTAATGTTTTTGCTTTAGATTGGATGGATCATACACCACAGCAAACGAGGATAATCTGGATGTAGAGCAAGTTATCAATTGTTATATAGGAATATTCGCAAATAAAAACATTTTAAATTGAAATTATCTTTTAATTTTATTATATATAAAAAAAAAGAAAAAATAAAAAAAAATATATATATGAATACATTGCGCGTGCGTGTCCTGCATAGTTACTTTTGTTTTTTGTTATTAACGTTGGCATGGAAGCTCCCCGTGAATGGCAAACAAGATGAAGTTGCTACCAAGTGCTCTGAAGTGCTATGAAATAACCTCAAAAGTTTGAAGCATGGGTGTTCGCGGTTTAGCTTCATATGTTGATAAAAATAGCAAACAATATTTGAGAACTTACGATTTGCACGACACGTATTTAGTGATTGATGGCAACAATCTTGCTGCACAGTTGTATGTTAAACATACAATCTGCTATGACTGTTTTGGAGGTGAATATGACACATATAGAAGAACCATAAAAGACTTCTTTGATATATTGAAAACATGTAATGTTACTCCACTTATTGTATTTGATGGTTGCTATGAAAACAAGAAACTTAAAACTATTTACTCAAGGGTTAATGCAAGAATTCAAATGGTCAGTAAGTTGAATGCTTATACAGAAAGTGCAAGCACTGTTTTCCCATTATTTTTGAGAGAATTGTTCACTGAAGTGGTTCTGAGTTTGGGTTTAAAAGCAGTGCGATGTGATTTTGAAGCTGATTATGAAATGGCCTGCATGGCATCTACTCTGGACTGTCCATTACTTAGTTATGACTCTGATTTTTTTATATTTGATATCAAATATATACCTTTTCCAACATTACAATTTTACTATAAAACTATCACAGTAAATGATAGGACATGTAGTGCAATTGAATGCAAGTTATATAAAGTTGAAACATTTTTATCTGCATTGGGAGCAGTAGATAAATCTAACATGCCACTATTAGCAACTCTACTGGGAAATGACTATATCAAGAAGAGTTACTTCAAAAAATTTTATGATCAATTGAAGTTGGTGAAAAAGAAGTCCAGTCAAAGTGAATTGCATAGAAGAATAGAATCAGTAATAAAGTAAGTATGTTTTTATTATAATATATTCAAGTATAATTGTATTTAATTTGTGTAGGTGGTTGCAAGATGAAACTTATGAGAGTGCAGCAAGGAAGATTTTAGGGATGATCAAGTTTAAAAAGAGAGAAGAAGTTGCTAAAAAGATCAAATTTATAGCAGATGGCTATATCTGTGTAAAAAGCAAAATTCTTTGCAATTTTGGTATAAATATAGATACTGAGGTTACTGTGAAGAAGATGGCAGACATTGATATTTCCACAATAAAAAATGAAGATAGTATAGATACTAGTGAGAGTGATGATGAAGAAATCAGTGATGAAGAAGATATTGAGATGGACAATATTCAAAGCATTGAAGTTGATACTTTAACTGCATTTTTTCCAAGTTGGTTTGTTACTGAATTCAGGTCTAGTAATTTTCCTGCATGGTTTTTGGACATTGCTATCCATAAGCGCTATTTCTTTATCCCTCAAGTGGAAAATAAAGATTTAGAACATTCTAATTCAATAAGCATACCTCTTCTAGCAGCACTGCACAAAATGTTAAGTTCTGGAAATCAAGAAGAATATGTTTATGTAGCTAGAAAGAAATCTAAGATATGCAGTGTAACTATGAAATGTTCAGATCTTGATTTGCCTACCCTAGCCGAAATAGAACATATGGATACATTGACTCGCTGCAATGTTTTGTTAAAAATTGTAGATATTAATAGCAATTGCATGACATGCCTAAATACGTTTCCTCCAGACTGGCAAGTATTTATTCTAGCAATAATGTATTGGGTTAAGAATGCCGATATGACAATAACTAATAACTATGTTTACAGTCTTATTATGTGTGTAATCATTTTAAAAAATGTAGACAAGAAATTCGGTAAAAGCATAAGAACTATAAATAAATTGTGCAATTATATGCATGGTTTAAAAAAGAATGATTTGCACTACGCAGAATTAGAAGAGTGCGGATACTTTCTTCAGGAAATGATTCCAAAATTTTACATGCACGAAAAAATGTGTAGAAACCCCAAAAATTATGATTCAAATATTGTGCATGCATTCGCTCAATTCCAAAGTTGCGCTTTTCACATAAAATATCTTAACAAACTTCTGAAGTTGCCATTCGAAGATTTCAATATATCAGAGTTTTTCAATGGCACTTTCATTTACAACTTTTATTGTACATTGCTGCGGCGACCTAGCTCATTAGATTACATTCAATTTATTCTCAAACGTTGTCCAGATATTTTTAAATATTTCAAGGAAATGGCTGAACTTATAACAAACACTCTGGAGATGCAAGCTGTAGTAGGCAAGAAGAGGCACAGGAAGGCAAATCGAAAATGAAATGAATGTATAACATATACGGAAATAATTATTATTGAATGTCTAGTTTGATATGATTTATATTTTATATAATATTTTAAATAAATTAATAATTCATTAGTTTTTGTACTTTTTATAAAAATTCTAAAATTTCCTTAGCGCTTCCCAAATTCTTGATGTGTATTTCTATTTTTAGCAAGTCAGCTTAACCTTCTAAGGGGAAATGTTCAATAATTACAGGAAATGAAGAAAAAAGCACTGCCGATTTAAAAAAAATACAAGACCGGAATTAAAAAAGTAAACTGTTCTTTTAATATAAGTAAGAAACATTACATCAAATTCTCAATTAGGGTAAATCATTTTGTGCGGAGTTAACATCAACAGTGCGGAAATGTTTTTCCGAAGATTTTAATAATAGAGTTATGATCTCGAATAAATGTTCAATTGGAGTCAGCATTTCACAAACCTGTCACTTCGCCCTCTACAAATAAATAGAATATAAAATAAAAGTAATCAAAAGTTGACAAAAAGAAACAAGAGAATCCGCATATTTTTCAATATTGTAGACGCTCATTATGTTACCTAACAATACTCAACTAAGACTTTCTTTGGTTAAACATTAAACACCAAAATATAATATTTCTTCAGAAAAATGACGGATGTGAATTCTACGAAACACAAAAGCCGCTGAATCACCAGGAAGTTAGAATAATGCTTGGAAAAAGCTTTATTTTTTTTTAACTAGTCTTGTTCTTTGTACATAAATTTCAGATGGAATGAGTAAAGGAAAACAGATTTATATGGCTAGATATAAGTTACCTTTGAGGAGGCAGCTGGAACAATCTAGTGATTGGCAATTATTCTGGTATAGTATACACATATATATTAAAAATAAAAAAAGGTGATTAATCATGTTATTATTAGACTTATTAAATAAATCTTGGATACACATATTTTATAATAGAATAACAAACAATAAAAATATTTATATTAGGCACATATTATAGGCATATATGACAGTCTCAATTCTCTTAGTAGTTAAAATATTTAGCTAATCTCTTTATACAGATAATTTGAAAAAATAACAAATTAACATTATTATGTATTATAATTACTAAATGGTAAAGCCACAGGTGATGGTGGAGGAGGTAATGGACTAAAATATGTTGAAGATCGCGAACTGGGAGATGGTGGACAGCTCTCGCTATTGCAATGAGATCGTGGTGTGGGAGGTGGAGGAAACATTCCAATATCATACCTTCCCCTGTCGTCTTGGTTTCTATTTACAATGGTATAATTGCAATCGCTTTCATCACATATATCCGTAGAACATGGTGTCGGCAGTGGTGGTTGATTTATAGATCTGTTCGAAAACAATTGATAAAATTCAACATGAACATATAGCAGACTTTTTTTTACCTATAATGTTTGTATGGTTTATATCTGGCGGAAGGAGAAATAGCTCTTGAACTGGTAACTATGGTAGCCGGACTCGGTGGTGGATTTAAAGTTTCTCTAGGATAAGATAATGAACTAGATCCATTTGTACTGGACGCACCAGTGATGTTATCTCTATCGTAATTAGATATTTGCGAACCATTCAACATCGACATATGTACTACATCTGGAATACCTGCAAAATAGGAACCGTTAACTGAAATATACATTATAATGAGATAATGAGAAATAATTAAAAGCATACCTTTGCGAAGTTTTTGACTAGCATTTTTCAGTGGATTATTGATATGGCTCGGATTCAAAGGATCCTCGGATTGATCAATATTAGTATCAACATTCATTTTTCTTGTAATATAACAAAACACGCCAATGCCTGTAGCCACCGATAATACAATAATAAAGATCCAAAAGAGCAAGCTTGATAATCCCATTATTCCAGTCGATACGTATCGACTAGCTTCGAGGCAGACACTCTTTTTCTCATCCTCGCCATCTGCACATTGCTCAATACCATCGCACAATGAGGAAATCGGTATACAAACATCTGTCCGTGGACATTGAAATTCGTGCGAATGTTTACAGCAATGAATCTCATCAGATTTATCTCTGCAATGCGGAAAATCGTCGCATGCAAAAGCGTAGTCGATGCAGTCTCCATTCTGGCATCGAAATTGATCACTTCGACATGCTGGACATCCCATTTCATCAGACTGGTCCTGACAATCCATTTGGCCATCACATTTCCATGAACTCGGTATGCAATCCTTGTTACCAGGCGCTTGTGCACTGCATGTAAAGAACTCTGAACCGCAATCTGGTAAAGCGGTACATGTTCGTTTATCGTCTTGCAAAGCCAGACCTTGCGGACACGCGCAAATTGCATTCGTACCGTTGAATATACACAAATGAGAACACCTTTGTTGGTGCATCTGTGCGCAAGAATGATTTTTATCAAGCTCGGATACTGAAATTAAGTCTAAAATGTCAATATCTTTCTCGATAACAATGGACCGCGAGCCACCAGTTTTTAACTCGAGTCTTTGTAAATTTTCTTTATCTAACCAATACAGCCAACCAGCGTGTACCGTCAATTGACTCAACTTTGAAGTATTATCTTTGAGAATAACGTGACTAAAAAAAATATTTTTAGTATGAAAAATATTATAAATGTAAAACAAGAAATATACTTATTATCTCCATCAATGTTGCATACGTGTATACTATGACCCTGCGCCCACACCACCAAATCATTTTCTATATCAACAGCCAAGGCTGCTACATTGGAACTCTGCGATATAACAATTCTATGAGATCCATCCATTCTTGTTCTAATTATTTGCGGCGTTACTCCAACATTGGTATAAATTAATAAACGCTTTGTTGGATGAATCACAATTAAACGAGGCTTTTCACCTGCTGCTTTAACAACAATTCCGGCATTAGAACTATTATCAACTCTCGTTACATTAATGACATCTTGAATACTGCAAGACCAGAACAATAATCGGCCTAGGGCATCTAATGCTATATCTACTGGATTAACAACTCCCGTTTGAGATGGAACAACAGTAGATACATGAGTTCCTATAGCTTTCGCCTTTTTTATGCTTCTCGTTTTACCTTCCACCTAAAAGAAAATTAATCACCAATTAAAAATAAATTTGTATAACACTATGTTACCCAATATAAGAATTGTAAAATTGGATCAAAATCAATGGCTTTAACGCTTCTAAGACCTTGGATGGGCAACACAGCTTCAACGCATTCAGATGTGTCTGGTAGAAGACGTACAGCTAAATTTTTATGGCTATAAATCATAAAACTTTTAGGAGCTACAAAAAACGTTTATAATAGATATACAATTTAAAATATAAATATTTTACTTACGCAAACACGTGTTGTTTTGCAAAACATAGTGCGTAGGACAGGCACACGTATAACTTAATTTTTCATCAGAATTAGCACTCGGTAATGCAAGGCAAAGATGAGAACAATCACCATTATTCACTGCACATTGATTAAACACTTTTCTTTGCTTGCTATTAGAAATCACCAATAAATCACTGATTGGCTCAACAAAAGAATGTATTTTTGTTATACTACTGATGTTATTCTTATTTACACGCTTAATATCAACTGAAACCAATTAATTAATTAAAATTATTATATGTTGAATATTGAAAAATATTACCTTTATTCACAGATAACTCATCAATCCAATAAATAAATTCCTTGAACATTGTCAATCCTTTTGGCCTAAATATCATCTTATTTGATATTGCTTGCTTATTTAAACCATTTAAATCACATGATAAAATGTTTGGTGTATTTGGCTCAACCCAATAAATTCTTCTTCTTTCATAATCTAATGTTAATCCAATTGCAAAATCTGTCTTTACCACCAATATTTTTGCCCTGCTTCCATCCATAGCAGCCTTCTTTATGCTATTTAAACTACTTGGTCTTTCTAATGGAGCCCACTCCGTCCAATACATATAACCCTCTTGTGGGTCAATCGCGATGCTGTGTGGCTCCACATTAAGATCGCCCCATAAGAGGACTCTTCTACTGCTACCATCCAACCTCGCAACTTCTATTTTATGAGCAGCAGGATCTGCCCAATATATGTTGAAAGCTACCCAATCAACTGCCAAACCCTCGGGTGAAATTAAACCTAACTCAACTACCTTTTGCGGATCGGACCCGTTCACATAGGCTCTCATTATTGTGCGTTGCTTTACATCGCTCCAATATATTCTCATGTTATTTCTGTCGAAATCTATGGAGCTCGCATTCTTCACACCAGTTACTGGCAACTGGATATCATTATCTTCATTTTCTACGCTGACTCTAGCTATGCCATCATGTTTAGCGTATAATAAAAATGATTCTGGGATTACACATTTACGTTTGTCCTTGAGCAACTCGTAACCTATTTGACAAACGCATGTAAATGTACCATTATGTAAATATAAGCAAATCTGAGAACAACCCCCGTTATTTTTGCCACATGGATTAATATCTGTAATACGTTCGTTTCCATAATCTCCTTTTATTGCTTTCAGGCCCATTATATTTGGTAATTGTTCTACTATTGTCTCTCTATTACTTCCTACATAAAAAAAATATTGCATTTAGTTTAATATGCTTTAATTATAAATAATATAATATACCTGTTTCCTTGTGCACTCGGGAAATAGTTCGTCTCTGCCAGTCAGTCCAATATAAGAAATCACCCATCAAGGTAAAGCCAAATGGATGTGGTATATTCTCATTAACTAGAACTCTTCGATCAGTACCGTCCATATTTGCAAATTCTATTATATCATTTTTCGCATCGCACCAATATATTTTCATATTTTGTAAATCCAATGCAATTCCATTAGCCCAGCCCAGATTATCAGACACTAATATAAAACGCTCCGATCCATCCATATTGGCACGTTCAATTTTCGGACTCTTTTCATGCCAATCTGACCAAAATAGCCATCCCAAGTGAGGGTCAACTGCGACAGCCCTAGGATTCAGTAAACCATCACTTATAATAACTTTTCTGTATTTTCCATTCAAAGTTGCTACTTCAATTCTATCTAAACCATTGTCAGTCCAATATATATTTCTGGCTACCCAATCAATAGCTATTCCATCAGATGAATCAATTTCAAATGACAGTACATCAGTTTGTTCTGATCCATCTAACCTAGCCTTCTGTATCTTCTTGATAGATGTGTCTGTCCAATATATAAAACCTTCCAGTGGATCGTAATCAACAGCAATGCTGAATTTCATACTTGTCAAGTTTAGAGCTCTATATGTGTAATCTGGAGAATCTAAATAAATTACGCACATTTCGTATCGGCGCGCAAAAATAAGCATCTCCTGCGGTTCATTCGCGCAAGTGGTGTTGTTTAATAATTTAATGCCAATTGGACAAGCGCATGTAAAATATGGATAATTGGAAGATAGTAAGCATAAATGAGAACAGCCACCATTATTTTTTTCGCATGCATGCTCACGAATTGGCTGTCTATTAGGATCCCATACATGTATATCCATGGGTACTACATCAGAATGCAACAATTCTTTTGGATCTCTAGATGTATTTTTTAAACTTGACGTAATATGATCATATACGAAAATTGACCTAAAATGGAAAACTTACTATTAGAAATGTGAAAATTAATATAGAGTGGAACCTTCAAGATTCAGAAAGTAGAATTATTAAAAGGATAACATTTATTTTGTGTGCTTGTATAAATGAACAACTGAAAGATAACATTAAAATATCTTTTAGATCACTTACCATTTTTTCCAATCAGTCCAATATAATTTATTATGGAATTGTGTTAATGCAAAAGGATAATCAAGGCCATCTTTAACTTTTTCAGATATATAGCCATCATAGTCCATTTTTTTCAGAAAGAGAAATTTACCATCTATCCAATAAATAAATTTATTTTCATAGTCCAATGTTAATCCATTTGGCCAGAATATATCCTCAGACACTATTATCTGGCGACTGGTTGCATTCCCATCCATACTTGCTCTTTCTATTTTGGGTATTTCACCCCAGTCAGTCCAAAACATTAAACTGAAACAGATAATAACAATTATACTTTGAAAAAATCACTCTTGCATTCCTTACCCTTGCATTGGATCTAATGCAATTGCCCTAGGTTGATCCATATCTGTCCAAAATAGTACCTTTCGATATTTCTTATCAATTGAAGCCACCTCAATTCGATTTGTATCACTGTCAGTCCAATACAACTTATTTGTGAACCAGTCACAAGCTAAGCCATCAGGTGACAAAATTCCAGTTCCAATTATATCAATGTTGTCATCAATAGCAGTAGAATTAAAACCCACACATTGTATACTTTCCAAACCATGATCTGTCCAACAGATCTTCTTATTTCCATAATGAAAATCAAGAGCAGCTCCATCAGTTAAATTCTTTATTAAAATTGTAGGTTTAAATTTTGGTTTAGTTATGTTTACTATACGGATATCTGTTGTTGTAGAATATAATAATAATGTGGAAGAAGGCAGTGGATTATTATCTAAAACATTTTTCCTTGCTACATATCAATAAATTCCATTATAATAATTGAGAATATTAACAGATAAGGTACTCACCATAACAGTTTATGTTCAGTATACTAGTTATATATAATAACCCATAAGCATAAAAAGAACTGCTCTTCATTGGTGCGAAAATAATGTTAACGAAAATAAGAAATTATCACATAATAGCAAACATAAATAATAATAATAAAGATCAAAGTACTGGTTTGCGTATGTTCTATAGAATCATCATATTATCTGAATAAGATCACTTGATGTTAAATAATCACTTGATTAGCACTTGTACTCATTAAAATTAATAGCTAATGTGCAGAAGAAACATAAATACAATAACTGCATATAACAATTTTGACAAACAAAAATAATGCTTTCATGAGATTTACCCAGATTTACCAGTAACTTTGCATCAATGTTACCAATATAATACAAAAATGGAAATTGTTTCCTGGAGAAATTGTTAATTAAGTTTTGACAGATTTGTCTTTGTCTAATTTTTATTTTGATATTGCCAATTTTCTAAGAATAATATACTGTATTTTTACAATAACTATATCTTATTTTTTTTATGCAACGGCAATATTAGTGCGCCTGTGCGAACTTGAGCACTATTGTAACTGATTGTAACCATTCCTAGTGATTCCTAGTATTAACAGTCAAAACCGGTCAAAACAGCAAATGCAATTGTTATGCCGCATAAATTCAGAAAATTCCAATCTATTTATATATCTTTAATATTCAACAACTATAATGAACATAACAAAGCAACGTTCAGATTCACTAACGCGTGTAGATTTTTCTAACTATGGTAATATACTGAGAGTTACTTTTTCTCCTTTTGAATGGAGCCAAGACCTTTTAATTATAGCATTCCCTAATAAAATCATAGTAGTTCATTTTAAATACAATGTGAGTATATTTATAATTGTAATTAAATATTATGCATATTATAAATATTATATTTATACCTTAAAATTATTTAATTATACTTAATTTATATTTCAGGATACATTAGAACTGCAAATATTATCAGAATTTCATTATGGTGGCCTTTGCACTGCAATCTCTATTTCACCAGAAACAAATATCCTACCATTGAATATTAAGTTCTGTATTGCAAATACTAAAGAATTTGTTCTTCAAGTTTTTTCTAAGGAAGAAGACAGCTTATGCAAGGTATTTTTAATTATCTGAAATTTATTCTAATAAAGCTTTATCTTCTTAGATTCTCGCAGGTCACAAAAGTTACATCAATGATATAAAATATGACTTCGAAAATAACTACATAGCATCTGTTAGTGATGATTGTACCCTAAAGATTTGGAGTATTTCTTCAAATTATAACTGTTTAGCAACATTTAAATTATCTTCTCCAGGAGTTTCAACATGTTGGCATAAGGAAGATAATTCTAAATTGTTTGTAGCTGAAAAAAGTGGGATAATGAAATTTTACAATATAAATACTCAAAGTCCAATAATATCTATTGATATTTGCAAAGGGTTGTCTAGTGCAGATTGGTCACCAACAGACTCAAAACTAGTTGGATCATTAAATATGGGTGAACTTGTTTTTTGGGACATTACAAAGTCAAGGTAAGTTATATATTAATAAGTAATTGAATAATTAAAACATTCAAATTTATTTGTAGCACCCCAAGACAAACATTCATATATTCTTCAAATGGTGGTAATATTAAATTTAGTGCTTTTGGTGAGCTAGTTGCCTGTGTAAATAAGTTGGAATGTTCCTTGAAAGTTACTCACACTCGAACCATGCAACTAAAGTTTTCTACATTTATTTCATTGCCTACTAATGTGTGCTGGCACTTCAAATTGCCAATTTTATGTTTAGGAGATGATAAGCACTTATGTTTATGGAAAATTGTTTAAAGTATTATGTTTTGGATTTTTTTTTATTTATTAAAAACTAAATGTATCTGTTGTTGAAGCTTTCTTTTTAAAGTTGAATTACTATAACATGAGTTTTATGCGAAATACGCAAATTCGTCTGCACGAAGCCTAAAAAAGTTCTAAAAGCTAAACGACCTCTTATTGTTGGGGAAAAGATAGTTTGAGGCTGAGTGCCCAATATCATTTTCTTAGATAATATATCTAGATATAAAGAAACCCCAAAATATTAATGGATCTTTTTCTTACCTAGAAATATACAATATTGAGTGTTATAAAAATGAACATAACTAACCTAAACTTCGTATTCGTTCCGGGATCCGGAAATAGAGTAAGCCCAGCATACCTAAAGTTAAAGGTCCACCCCTGTTTTTTGTTATAATATTATTCTGTATGAAAATGTTTAATTTTATTTCTTCTTTTAAAAACATTATCATTTCATTATTATTAATAATTAGTTGGACTTATATATATTTTTATGTATTATAAACTACATCCAATTATAAATTTGCTGGAAAAAATAGATACCGCTCTACCGGTATTTGAGAATGTGTACGAAGACAGCGTTTCTCAACCGCAGGTCCGCCATCCCAATCTATCTAGGGCAGTGATTCTCAAAGTGGGGATCGCAGAAAAATTGATGACACACGGAACGGTATGTTTTTCTACACGTACCCAACACATTCACCGGGGAGGTCCTTTAAATTTTATAAGTGCAAAAGATCGTGGACCAAAAAGAAACACTGATCTAAGGCACAAAAAAGTTGTGAACACCTAATATAAATCATGCAAACTAGTTTACAATAGTAAAATGTGTATTTTAGAATGTTGGGGACGGAAAGATATTTGTCGATAATAGTTGCACGCATGTTAGTTTATAAATATGTTTATTATTAGTAGAATATTTATATTGATTATATTAAAATAGCTGAACACTATTTAACAAATTTGGTTTATAGTATGGCACTCACAGGTATCATCACATACAGGCTGCATATCAAGGAAATCATAAACAAAATTAGTATTAATATGAATAAAAATAAAATAGTAATACGTAAATATTATTTTTAGGAAATGTAAAAATTTATTTCATATACAAGAAAAGTGCATTTTTTATGTAACTATAGACATGGCAATATTTGCAAACATTAAAAATCAAACACCTATTTTTTTTTGTTAATTTAACCAAACCGTAAATTATCCACGAATTTAAGTAAAGATTCTTCACAGAAAACAACTTTGAGCACGGCAATTGTATTGTTTAAGTAATTGTCCGTCTTTAAAATATATAATTACAATAAAATATATAACGAGCTTCCACGTAAAAAATTTTTACTCGACGATTTTAGTGATTCTTATTACTTCGACGTACTTTCAGTGTTTTCGAAATATTCGTACCGTTCTTCTCTAAATTTGAAGTTACACGTTGTTGCCCACCTGGATAAGATATCCTGAATAATTCAATATTTAAAAATAGGCAAATCTCATTGCATATTTGATAACAATATCTCAATAGATCCAATGTCACATATACCTGATAAGAACAAAAAATACGAATAAATGTAAATAGTTTATTAATGTATATTCGTGTTATACTAACCATGCATAACCATAGCACAAAATATTCAGGAATAAACGTGCTGAAATATTGATTTAAAAATAACATTGCTGGCCCCAGAAGGGACCAATCCATATATTCCATTTCACTTTTTGTCATGTGAGCTACCTGTAATAATCACACACATATGAAATATTCTATTTCAAGTCAATTGCAGTCTACTCACCACTAATCTATTTGTTATTTTGGCAGCGACGAAACCAAAGGCCATCGTATATAATGCAGGATTATTTTCGTACACAGCTTCTGTCGACTTTTTGTATATTATGAACGCTGGCAATAAAACTGTTGAAAACGGAATAATTGGAGACAATACACTTGTGCCCTAGATAAAAATTACATTATAGTATTTTAAACGTTTTGAAGGCATTCTCGCGTCGTTAATAAAACAATTACTATGAATTTAGTTCAATCACATCATGAAAAAATCTTGTTTTATATACAAGTGGAGAAATGCCATTTTAAATTATATATTAAATACAAATATGAAAAACTAAAAATGGCAGTAAATTATGCTTAGTAAATATATTTTTATAACTTTATTTTAACATATTTATTGGCCAAACATTATGACCAAAGAGAAATCGACTGAAGTCTTTCCGTCCAATATGTTTATATGTATATTTATGAACTAAGCATAATATTACATAAAATTTGTTAATGATAAGGATAATGCTTAGCGATAATGCAGAATACATATTTATCGATAAGCAACATTGTATAATGAAAGCAATTATTTAAGAATAGCTACATCTTAAATAATTCAATGTTATAATTAAGAACGTAAAGCAAAAGCATGCAATAAAATAATTGGAGCAAAACAAACTATACTTGAGCAAATATTGCTATGAAAATATTAATGGTTCAATGAAAGTCTCGTGAATGTTACAAATATTAAATGTTATGTAAATATCAAAAAAAATCTATGGGCAATGAAACAGGTTGATAGTGGAGCATCTTACGGCGACCGTAGATCCATTCTTCCCTGCTCCGCCGGAGAAAACGATCACTAAATTGGCGTACGCTAGTTTTACAGCTACTAGACAAGCAAAGTATACTGGCAACAGTTGCAGCTCCACCTCCAAGCCGGGAATCTTAAGACAGTTACAAATTATAAGAATAAACAAAACAAAATATACTTGTCCGTGACATTTCAAATTATTTTCCTTTCTGTTCTCCACTCAGTAAATATTGTGAAAATTGAATTAAATTTATTAGATTATTTAGGAAGTGTGTGAGAAAAATAAGGAAACATGATATAATTTAATCAAAATATTCAGTTTAACATCAAGGACATTGATACGATTAAGACATTTTGACTCAGCTATGATTTGGCTTTGCTATTAAAAATAAATATGTTGTTTTTATTGCTTACTGCCACTGATGAGCCGTTTTTACCACAGCCGCCTTTAAATATTCTTTGTACACACTGGATACAAAGATGAGCATATCCAATGTAAAATACGATGCATATTAACATACTCATTCTTAAATTAATAGCACTGCAAACCTAGAAAACAATTTAAATTTTGAATTGTTTAACAACCCCATGTATTTTGGATCAACAATAAATTACATATTATATTATTAATTGTCATTAATAAAGGTAATACATTATTAAACTTGTTTTGTTTTATATTATAATTAGTTGTATAAATAGGCATGTGCTCCATAATAAACCTGTTGAATCTGTTATATTTTCATCTATCTTATAAGATAACTAATTTGAAATATTATTTTAATGAACAGAGCTATATATATATCTATAGTTATATATGTAATATGACTTTCTTAAACCATTACATTTCATCAATATTTGTAAAACAAAACAGGCAAATTTTCAAATTTTAAAATCATGCTAAAGAGAACAACCATTCACAACTTACTGCAACGGTTGAGCCATTTTTGCCAACTCCTCCAGTGAAAATCACTTTCAACATATTTACAAGTGACCATAAGCCACAAATAGTTGTGAATATTGGAATTCCACACCATAGCTCTAAAGGGCTGTTAAACAACTGTCAAAACAATTCTTATTTGGTACATTTACTTGTTAAAAAAATATGTATCATTGATCCATTTAATTAAAAAAAAGTATTGATACAGAAAGAGAAAATGGTAAATATTGCTTACCATAGTCTTCCAAATATTTGATCCAAACAGTGCTGAAACAGTATGGAGTCCAATAATGGTATATTGGGCTTCTGTTACATCAACCTTTCCAAATCTTAATGTTCCAGAGACATAAGTCTGCCAATGTGCACAGTAAAATAATGTCATAGCACAAAAGCACTGTAAAAATTAAGAAATAAAATAAATATTTGATTTAATGCTAAAAAAAAAAACATGTCAAGAATTACTTGAAAGAACATCCACTCAGGATAGTTGCCCAATTGAACAGCAATGCAAGCAGATAAGGCAACAAATATTGTTGAAACTGAATCACAACCATGATCGAAGAGCTCTCCCAGTGGATTTGCACTACCTGTTCTCCTGGCCTGCTTTCCATCAATTGCATCTAAACTCTGGTAAACAAACAGTCCAAATCCACACAATGCAAATGTCCATCGTGGAGCTTCACTCTTTGCATCTGGTGAATACCTGCAAGTAATTCAATTTGTTTACCTAGGTTACAATACAAATTATATCATACTGACCATACAAGTATAAGAGTTGTTGAAATATTAACAAATAGTCCAATTAATGTAATTAAATTTGGTGCTAGCCAAATGGGTACTTTTGATACTAGCCAATTCCACCAAGGTTGCAGTAATGTATCACATATGCTGTTGCTAGTACAGGAATACTTATGTTCACCTAACCGTTTCAACTGTACATCGCTTAAAAGTCGTTCCTTATAGAATTTCATCGTGCACGCAATAAAAACTTAACCAACAAAATGTTTTTATTTCTTATAAACTCAACACTAGCTTTAACAGTGACAAAAATAAAACTATTTTAGTTACATTTATCGAAAAACATGTGAAAAAAATGAACAACCGAAATTATTTATAAAATATTAGCAATAATTGGTACCATACGACTTTTCTCAATCGTCATATCGCCTGGAGTCGCACTTGAACGCAATCCGCAATCTACTTCGGTCTGCTTTGGTCCACTTCCGCTGAACGCGTTGATCACACACTACTTCCAACTGCTTCCAACAACCTAAATTATCAACTGCGTATCTGCGCCTGTAGAATCACGCGATGTTAGCGAGTAATCACATACGATAACTATGCCGCTAATTTGGTTGCCTAATTATATATATATATATATATGTATTATTAAAATGTAACTAATATTGATTAGAAATACATTTTTTTGTGATAATTCCTAAAAAAGTGGCGATATCAATTAATAGATTAGCGTTGACATTGATAACCTTTTAAACAATATTCATCGATTGCAAAAGGGACAGTTTTCCAATTAGAAATTTTTGAAAAAATGGGATCGTGGTCGACAATTTTATTATCATCTATTGTTTAATTAATATGTACTACAACTTTCTCTTAATTATTACAAAGTATATGTCACGTATCCGTCAAATATACAAACAAGTATCCGTTTGTATGTGATTATTTAGAATAACTTGTGGAATATTTCGAAGAACGGTTACACATTAAATTGTATAGTTGTGACCATTTTTATCAACACTCAACAACCTTCTGCCGACTCAAAATATTTGGGTTTTCCTTTCCCCGAAATAATACTTACACGCAACCCCTTCTCGAAATGGATACATTTTTTGAATTATATAATTTAGTCTAAGTTGGAGGGATGAAGGAAGAACATAGTCTTAATTGGAGTGTCCATGGAAGAACACTTACTTTCTAATTATTAACTTAAGAGGAGAATGTAACTCTTAGTTAATAATACATGCTATCAACACTTGTATAGTTCACTTTTGAATAAAAACACTGTTACGTATAATTAAGAATATTGCATTTAATATCTAAGAATCCACAACGACATAATTCACGGTGAATATAATTCTTTATCCAGGAATACGACAATTAAGCCCCAATAAACTACGTCTGGCTTGTAAATGTCTTGCACGTGGATCATTGCCTTAATGTTAATCCGCCACTGTATACAGCAACCAATTTTGTAGGCTTGCGAGACTTAAATTGTAAAATTTATTTATCGTTGTTTTATATTAATACATTGTTTGCGGGCGATTTTGCCCTAAAACACACCGAAAATCCGGTTTTTTTTATATTTGCGCGCGAAATTACGTATCGCGTACAAATGTTGTCATAGTCTATTGCAGGGTTTTCCAAACTAGGTGCTACGTGAAATGAAATAATGACAGAATATGTGTTATTAATTATTCTACAAAATAAACAAGGTGGTCCGTGAAAATATCAAGATTTACGAAGTATTCCGTTGCAGGAAATGTTTGAGACCAGGGTCTATTGACTTGTAGCATTAACATCTTTATGAAAGCTAATTAATGTTCTCGCTAAATGTAGCAGGGCTATTCCAAGAGGTAAGAAGTTCTTTGTATGCAATAAAAATAAATCCTCTCTTAACAAAATAGTCTAAATAAACAATGCAGTGTACAAAATAAAACATGTATTAAAATCACTTAAATCGCATGAATTACCTACGTAGATTCCCATATTAAAACCTGGAGCAGTCAGCTCCCGTCTAAAAATATTTGAAGCATGTTGAAGAACCATTTGGAGAAGTGATGTGAGGAATTCCACCAACTACCTGTTTTTTCACCATATTAGCAGATTTATACAGTGCTATCGCTCAAAATAATCTAATGGAGGCGGCAGACATCAAGGCTTACGACAATGTGTCTATGGAAATTAAAAAAAATATATCTAAAAAGTCTTTCTTCTATTTTAATTAATTGTATTATGTCCTTGTGTAAGGAGAGAATAATATCAATTGCGGGAGAAAATCTAGTCAATAGGATTGTTTATATTGGTTTATCAATTTTTTAATTTGTATATAAGTGATATCGAGGTGACGCTGGTGGAGGGTGTAGACATACTGGTATACACGGATGATATTGTCATATATGAGAGTGGACCAAATATCTATAGTGTCACGACCAAGGTAGAGAGATGCTTAAGAAATTTGACTATTATAAGAGAAAACCAAGGGAATTCTGTTCTCGAGAAGTACACCGGTTTACGTCCCGCCGATTATGTTGGAGGATGTAGAGTAGAGGTTGTGCTGTAGACCCCTTACCATGTTTTTCAGTTTTGGGTAGACCCCCTACTTACCTGATATTGATTTTTTTTTTAATTTATTATTTATATTGGGTCATTTTTATAATTATTAAGATCTTTGCTCTGAGACTGCGCGTATGCTTGTAACAAGATGATAATGGTATATCATTATGTGCAGGTTTTTGCAAGTTCAAAATGTATTGCGACCACAAAGCAAATGCCTACATCCTACAACTTACACAATTTTATAAACATATATGTCGAATCGACAGGATTACTCCCCGAGTGAGGCGTTTGGAGAAGCCAATATTACAAATAACCACTAACAATAGTTAATAAACTTAGTAAACTAATCCTTCTGCAATCTCAGAGCTAGTGATATACATCAGCGATAAGTCTCAGCTACTGTGGCCATCCAGTTCACCAGTCTGAATCTGAATCTTGAATCCGAATCAATCCATTCCCGCTGATCCTTTGGCTGACGTATTCCCTGATCATGCACACGTGTCCGTCCTTGTTCTCCCAAGTGCTGACAATGTTATTTGGCAGAACTATTGTTTACACACTCCAGCGTGGAAACAATGACTCTTTGTATCTATACCACGATGTTTGGTCAGGTGCTGTTGTCATAGATACTCCGACATATATAATATTTTTTTACTTCATAGGTACTTTTATACATAATGTATATGTTTTTATATTATAAGATAGTATAATGTAAGTAAATAGGTACTATCAGTGTATGTTGAGATCCACTATCGTGGACTCCCATTTTCATTTCATGGACCCCCAATTTTTTTTTTCGCTGTCTAGATCCCTGGAGGTCAATATAGACCACTTTGGGAATCACTGCTGGATAGAAAACTTTCTTGGAACAAACAGCTTGAACAAAATATCAAAACTAGCAATAAGGAAATACAGTTAGAACTATTTCAGGACTAGATTGGGGATCAGACCCAGCAAATATAATAATGTTTTATAAGTTTTTTTTTTCGTCTGAGATTGAAATATGTTAGTTTTATTTGTGCAAATTTTAAAATTTTATCGCTGGAAAAAATTCAAAACAAAGCTATAAGCGCTTGGCTGTCTTCGGACATGTCCAACAATACTCTGCATGTAGAAGCTGGTGTGTAGCCATTAACTATCAGAAGAGAAAGCTGCTCCAAGAAGTATGTGTGCAAATTTATGACCATGGAAAGGGCGCCAGCGATTAAAGCGATACGTCAGGTATCCTTTATGTTTGGAGCAAATTCCTTCTGACCTAGTAAAGAAATTCCATTGCTAGAGAGTATTAATTTAATGTGCTAATAATACAAGTTATATAAAGACTCCCAAATGGAACTGGGTGGATTTTATACACAACTGTTGTGATTATTCGGGGGGTTTGTCAGAAACTGGTCGACTATCTGAACTTTTCTCGATATTTAGGGCCGAACTCTATGCGATACATCGGGCCATAAAAATAGTGGAAATTAATGGTAGGAAGAAGGCAATATTATCCGATTGACCGACCAGGGACATGCACTGGATGTTAGGAACCAAAAGATCTCTTTCACAGATCTGCAGGAGATCACGCATAGAGATGAAATCGTAGGCAACAGACATATGATAATTTGTAGTATCAAGGGCAACAGATATTATCGTTGGAATGCGGAAGTGCAAAATAAACCATGGTTTATGAGACTCTGATTTTCGAAAAAGACAGAGATGTCGACTTTGTCCAGACATAGGACACGACAGATCTGCAGCTTATCTGTTTCGGATGAATCTTTTGTATTCTCCGAACTGTGCCTGTGGCTGCTTGTCCACCGCAAAACATATTTTTTTCCAATGTACAAACAATCTAAGGTACATAGATGATTTTATGAGAGAATTATATGCTTACAAGGTTCCCATTCCTACCGTCATTCCTCCAACGCATATAGACTGATTTTAAATTTTATAATTTATTTGTATCTATACCTTCGATTTTAATATTTATTGTTATTTATATTTATTGTTTTTCTATATAACAAACTATCACTATTTATATACCAATACCAGTCTACTATATATATGTCTCAGTTGTTTTTTAAGTTTATTAACAACTGCTTTACTACTAATAGATACGGTTCCATGGACTATAAAGCAGTCAAACGCAGTGTTTATTGATATACCATATAAAGAGCTGGCTAGTTTATTTCTTTATACGAAGATAATCATTTCCGTGGTAATTGTTTGTTATTTACTTTATTTGAATAACGTGTCTGAATTAGTTTAACTTTATTTTTAGTGTATTATTTCACCACAATTACCACATCCGTTAAAATTATCATTTATTATGGCCCTTAATATGGAAAACCAAAGAAAGGATAGGTATTTCCGTCCAAGGAATAGTAAAATCTCGTTTAACGAGAGGAAGTCTAGATTAAAGTTAGTGTAATAATAGTATTTATTTAACACTTAGATGCTGGTAATTCTTAATCTATCTTCCAGTTGCTACAAGCATAGGTTGCTAGTCAAGAGTAGAGTAAAACTAGGACTAACTTAAAATAACATAAGCATCGTCTTATATGTAAGAGGACATCCTGAATATTTTAAGGGTAGGGGCTAATTTGCCAAGTAGGAGGTATGTCATAGTCGTCGGCGGGAGTTTTTAAGTCTCCCGCTGCCGATAAGGTCTAAAGGGTGATACAATTGTTTGGGAAGGTTAATTGTTCGTAGCGTAGTTTTTATAGTTGGCTGTCCGACTTTTACATAATTCTCCTTTTGAGACAGTGACCTAGAAGGGTCGTAAAAACTAGCAGAACATGAGAAACCAGAGAGTTTCTCCAAAAAGGTTTTATTGCAAGAGATACCAATTTCATCAAATCAACAGCAACTGCTCATTGACGTCGACGAAGGATTGTTATCCAAGGATTATCACAAAGCTGAAAAAGTTCTCAATTTATTTTAGAGCAGATTTGTAGAATTTCCACGTCAGATAATTTCAGAATTATTTAATTTCAGTCAGAAAATTACATTTGTAATATTCACCTTACAGATGGTAATTTCTAAAATACTTTTAAAGACTAGATTCATGAGATGTAAAGTTGATGCCAAATTACAATTTGAAAATGCCAAAGTTCTATACTGATGCAATAATATTATTGTAGCAATAACATGAACTGAAATACCGAGTAACATTTGATCTACTTATATGAATTTTCAATGTAAAGTACCTCGTGTAAAACATAAAATCTCTGATTTTGTTTAAAAAAAGAAAGTTAATATGGCATAAAAATAAAACAATACTAAATTATAAAAAAAATCTGATAGTTTTATTACAAATAAAACATATTTATATTTTATTATTATGTCAAATATATATTTTAGTATTTGATTGTCTTAATATATTTATTTATTATGTTATATAAACATATTGTCAACATTTGTAGTGTGATGTTTTGTTTTAATCCAACAAATATCCATAGACGTTTTTTAATAATCTCATCATACATCCACGGAAAATTTATTAAGCGAACTGATCCGCGATTCGAAATTCACTGTTCAATGACAGCTTCCGCTATGGCTTTTCTTATTATTATGTAGGAATTTAATATTATTTTTTTGCAATAAACTTTATTACATAGATAGTAACAAAAACAAATAGTCGAATTTGTTACAACTGACAATTCTTTTTTTTTTCTCTCTAATAAAAGACACACATTTTTTATATATTGATTTAATTATACATAAGGAACATTAATTAAAATGACCTAATTCTTTAAAATTCCACTATATTTTTTATAGTTTTACATAAATGTAGTGGAAAAATATGTAGTGGAAGACGAATGCGCCTTACGTAAAGTATTCTGTGTAAGCAAAATATACATAATTATATTTATTTTTCTTGCTGTAATCTTATACAAAATTAGTAAGCCAAAGCATAGATGTGTATATATGGTTGCAGATATATAATTAATGAAACTGATACTAGATTGTTATGTACATGTTTACAACAACATTGCACGGTTACATATTTTCTCGTAGAATACATTAAATCTTATGTTTGTATTTTTATTACCCAAACTCAAGGACACGCTAGTATGAAAATCGTTCAAAATAAAATCGTTTGCTTTGGTTATTCGCAGTTGTTGCTCGTTTCATTTGGCTCGTGTAGTCGTCGTGAACGATCGATCTTAAAACGTGCTTACTTCTATTATTACTGATATACAATATATATTGCGTGGTTATAATTTGATAATAAAATAATTAAATAAATTACTCGAAGCTAAATCACACATTATTGTATATTGTTTTCGGAAGTTTAGTGAATAATGGTGTCAATATGACATCCTCATTTAAAAAATCTTACGGTACTCGCAAAGTTAGCACTTGCGTTGATGATTATTACAATCTTGTTCATGTTAAAAAACCAAATATATTATTGAAGAAAAGCGAGGACAATGCCAAATTAATTAAATATATAGATGACAATATTATCGGCAAAAACAACACCTTCCTAGGACCTTTCGGACGTCGCAAAGGTAACAACAAATAACAGTATTTTAATTTGCAATAGTAACGGCCTTGAGTGAAATATGTTATAACCATAATTAATTGCGAATATTATAAAGAGTTTAATGATTTCTTCTGCGTTCGGGCATTTAGGTCAAGGTCTTGTTTGCGATTTATAGTCAATGTTTTGAGATAAATGATCCATTGTATTCGTATTTGCATCACCATTTATTTGTTTTTTTTTTGTTTGAACTATATTTTTATGAACTTTTTATGTTAATTTCCCCTTTAAATAAAAACTAAACTTTTTCAAGTAATCATTAAATTTACCTATATTGCAATGTATTAGTGGATAAGTATCATAACTTAACATACCTTATTTACTATACATTTAATAATATTTTTTGTTTAAATGGCAATTAAAATATTGTTTGCACCATATAATTTCTGTTTTAATATATCTCGATGCAAAACAATAACACAAACGAATTCATAATGAAAAGTGCCTCATTAGCAAAATAACTGATATATGTTTAATTACGACGACTTGATAATTCAACTGTATATATTTAATAGAAAAATAATTGGTTTTGAAATTATTATAAAATATTTTTTAGTTGTATTTAGCGATTACGTGGCCTCGGGACGTTCCCTCCATTTCATCGAGGAATATATTATCCGTGAAGTCCTGCCGTGCTATGGCAATACCCATTTTAACACTAATATTACATCGCTACAATCAACATTATTCCGGTAAGACGCGTTTACAAACATACACATATGTGTTAGCAGCAAATGCCTCGTGGAATTTGGCAAAGTATTAAGTAATAATCTTGTGAAAAAAATCGTTAATTACAATTTGTTCTCCTGCATTGCCGCAAACATACACATGTAGGTAGAGAGAGCATATTACTGTTAATTATCTTTATTTATGATAGACAGGAGGCTCGGGAAATAATAAAAACTGCTGTAAATGCTTCCGAAGATGATGCTGTCATATTTGTGGGCCAAGGATGTTCGGGTGCGGTTAAGAAACTTGTTAAAGCATTGGATTTCAATGAACCGCCCATAGTATTTGTGGGAGCTAGCGAGCACCAAGACAACATCCAGATATGGCAAGATCTTAACGCAACCGTAAGAAGTAACATGATCTGATTAAACATTATAATTGTGTATACTTGTGTAGATTATTAGGATAGCGGAAACCAAACAGAATTTCTTAGATTTAAATGATCTAGACGATGAGCTAAAATTATACCAACATTCTAATAGGCAGCTCATTGGTTGCTTCTCGGCTACATCCAATGTTACCGGTATTTTGGTTGATGATATTGCTGCAACAATGTTGTTACATCAGTATGGTGCTTTGGCATTTTGGGATTATAATTTGGCAGCACCTTATGTCCCATTAAATATGAACCCTAAAGTACCTGGAGTTGCCGACGGTAATGTCGTTTTCAAAGATGCTATCTATTTTTCTGGTCACAAATTTATTGGTGGTGTCCAGACACCAGGTAATTGTTTAATAATTCTTATAATAATTATATATAATAACAATACAAACCTTATAGGTATTCTTGTTGCTAAAAAGTCATTGTTTCATCACGTAACGCCTTGTGAATCGGATGGTTTTTTTACACTATATGAGCCATGTAAGGTAAAATGGATGTGCAATATTGATGTGTGTATTATTTTAATATTAAATATGCGTTTAGAGTTTTGAATTGCAAGAAGAAGGTACTTCAGCTGCTATCATAGAATCAGTACGAGCCGGTTTGGTTATGCAATTGAAAGAAACTGTAACCGTCAATAATATCGGCTCTCGACATGAAAAAATTACAAAGTGAGTATAATAATAATAATTTATTTCATACGTGCAATGTATTTAGCTATTTAGTTCTTTTGTATAATTTAATATATATTTACCAAGTATGTTGATCTTCTAATTTTTAATTCAAGAGTGTAATGTTACAAGTAAGCAAACTATATTTATTTAATTCTAGGCAAATGCTGCAACATATAAGAACGATTCCAGAAATAATACTATTAGGAAACAGTTCACCCGGTCTGAAAAGAATCCCGGTATTTTCATTTATGGTGCGACATCCAAGAGCTACATTTCTTCACCACAATTTTGTATGCGCCGTCTTGAACGATGTATTTGGCATACAAGCACGTGGCGGTTGTCTCTGCTCTGGGGCGTATGCTCAAGATCTTTTGAATATAGATGACAATCTAGCCAATCAATATGAAAATTTTATATTGGAGGACAGGAGATTGAAGCGTTTAAACCTATCCAAAGACAATTCACCTTTGCAGCTACTGAGACCTGGTTTTGTAAGAATAAGCCTGCCTTATTTCATTAGTGAAAATGAGCTAGCTTTTATAATGGAGGCTATAAAGATGGTAGCAACGGAAGGATGGAAATTGCTACCGCAATACGTCGTTGATTTAAATACTGGTGTGTGGCGACACCATTCACACCACATGGCAAAGGACAGAAAATGGTTAAATTCTATCAGATACATTGATGGTAAAATGACAATGAACGAGAGACGAATATCCGGTACTGGACATTTTCCTCAGAATTACTCGGAATGTCTGCAAACTGCAAGAGATTTATTCAATAAAGCTCGCAGAATTGCAATTCGTAAGCCATTCTCCAATGCACCTATTGTGTATGATTCTCGTTCTGAAAAATTACGTTGGTTTATGCTGCAGCATGAAGCTCAAGATATTTTAGTTGGGAATTCACAAAATATCAAGCACACAGTCCCTTTCAATCCTTTGGGCTTTTCTGGGTCCAGAAGATTTCTTAATAATAAGACTAATGTACAACCGCAGATTGCCTCAAATGCAAGTAGTCCACGGCACTACAGTTTGCCATCCATAGATGATCACAGATTACTTTCGTGCTCTTCTCCAGTCCCCTACTTGATACAAGATAACTTATATTACACAACTCAGACGCCAGTGAACTTTTCTGTCGGTGAGGCAGTTGGGACTTCCCAAGTGCTTACTTCGCTTCCTCAGTCACCACTATTTTTTCGAGACAGGTGTTATAGTTTAGGAACACCAACGCTGGCCAATACACAGAATGTTCTAAGTCCGCAAACGCGACTTAACCTTGGACTTGGTGACAATAACGCACGTAGAAGAAACTATAGTTGTAGTAGTGCCAATGATTTTTTGTCTTTTGAATCTGAAGCCATGTCACCGACGCATAGTTTGAATATAGTCGGCAGCTTTACGGATGCTGAACGCGGTTCTCCTGCTGATCTAGAAAGTTACGTAACAGAAATAACCAAAGAGTTAGCAACAAATATTAAGTCAGAAATACGAGAAGTAATTAACAAAGTGGAAGATGCTTTGGAAAATACAGATAATTTTGAAATAAGTTATGACAGGCAACAGTCTAGTAACGATCCAGAACGAAATAGTATCAATACTGCGAACGAGATAGCACAATATCTGGAAAAGGTTTCCAAAGAAATGGCAAATGAAGTTAAGTCTGAAATTAGAGATGTAGTTAGTGCAGTAGATTTTTACTTTACGCCTGAGAAAAAAATGTACTCCAGTAGTCCAACGCTAGAGTATGATTCCGATAAGTTTCTTTTGGAAATGTCATCAGTTGTATGCGGAGAAACAAATGTGCATAAAACTGACAAAATGAATATTAAAAATACCAAAGATCAAAAGACTTCACAGAATATTGTTGCCTCTAATACAATCACAAGCTTGAACTCGCAAGATAGCGGAATAAATCTTTTATTCCAAGAAAGCCAGGAAAAAATACAATTAAATAAAGTTGACGGAAATTTAGTAAGAAAAGTTAAAAGTACATGGGCTTGTCCTCCAGTTAATATCTGGCAGCCCAGTGTCGATGCTCTAGACAAATTTCAAATGATTCGTAACGGAGACCGAGTGATGGTCTGTATAAGTGGAACTCATGATTCCTTGACGTTGTTACATACATTATTGAACTATCAAAATGTCGTCTCAAATAAAGGAATTAGTTTCTCTGTAGGAGCAGTTTCCGTGAATCCTGAATCAAATGGCTGTGATCCTTGCATTTTAATACCGCACTTAAAAAGCCTAGGGGTACCTTACATCTTGGATGACCATAGTCCTATTACCGAAGATAACGGTAAAACTACTCTTAAATAATTCTCTTGACATGTAAATTAATACAAACATTATATTTTTAGGAGCATCCTCCGAAAAAGATGATAACTGTTTCAGTTTTGGTAATCACGAATTACGTAGCAGATTATATGCAACTGCAAAGAGTGGCGGTTACAATGTATTGGCAATTGGTCAACACTTGGATGATTTAGTTGAAAATTTGTTAATATCCATTTTTTACAATGGGAAACTGAGTACTTTAAAAGCACATTATAATATCAAGTAAGTATTATGAAATTTCAGATAGTATATAGCATTTAATTATTTTAATTTTTGTAGAAAATTTGATTTGAGAATAATACGACCATTGATATATGTACGGGAGAGAAGTTTACGCGACTTTGCAATTTGCCAAAATTTCCCTAAGTTGAAGATGAAGAGTATTCCGACAAAATTCGAAATATCTGAACAGCGACAGATGATAAAGCAAATGCTGCAACAACAAGAAAGCGTTTTACCAAAATTATTTGATAATATAAAAAATAGTTTCCATATGATTATGTTAAAAAGTATGATCGATGAGGAAGAAGCAAATGTATTAGATTTTAATGATATATGATTTTTTTTATAAATATTTTATCAATGTTATTTCATAATATAATGTTTTCTTTTAATATATAATTTAATAAATAACGTTTTATGTGCAATATTTAAATACTTACAAAATATATAAATAAATGTGGGGTTATAAATCTAACAAATTAAACAAACATATTTTATAGAATAATTAACAGAGGATGTTTGAAAAAATGTTTATTTTAAAATGAAATTAATTGTTTTTATTTGGAGAAAGAACATAAAATTATTGGAATTCTATCCATTAAGGAAATATAACACTTACAGTTTACTTTTATTATAAAAATGGTGTTTAAATAATTTTATTCAATGTACTAAATAAATATACAACGTTGTATTATTAATATGCTTTTGCTATTTATAATTACAATTTTTAATGCCTCAATGGTCATTACTAAAAAATACAAAATATATGTATGTGCGTAAATATTGGCATATGAAAAATGTAAAAATAAAATCAATTCCAGTCTCACCAAATATAACTTAAAGTTAACATAATAATTAAAAGCAAAAAGAAAATAAAAATACGAATGTGTCACCATCTTCTACATACCTTCCTTTAAAGTATAAATATTAAATTACGTAACAACTTTCTTCGCATTCGATGGGATGCATAAATTACAATCCGTTTCATCTGAAGAATCACTGTCAGAACTATCGGATCCAGAACTACTCGAATCCGAGTCCGAAGCAGAGTTATCCGATTGACTATCCTCTTCATTGTTGGTGTTGATCTCATGATACAGCATGGTGCTCAGCGGTAAATTATTCAACTCCGTGGGAGTAAATGTCTGAAATCAATGTTATATTAATACATACTTTTATACTTATTGCGTGGAATATACCTTATAGAAGTCGGTATATTGTCCTGGAACCAAAGCCATTGGATAATAGCCAAGTTTAGGTTTATTAATCTGCTTAAATCGTCCTTTAGGATAATTTATAGTATATGTTTGAAGGTCCATACATGCAATGCGTTCTTCTTTCCTGCTTTTATTGAAATTATAATTCCATTGCGCTGCTGATTCTACAGCTTGTTGCATTATATCCAATTTATTTTTCTCTTGACTTGCAGCTAAACTTAGAGCCTTCTGTTTATTGGTTATGTCCTTTGTTTGCCTGTCACGTTGGTGTTTGCAGTACTCTTCATATTTATTTTGGAAATCCGAATACATGATGTCCAAAATATCTACGCTATTCACAGCAGTGAGACCTAAATCGCACATATGCTCTGAAGCCAGACTGCTTTCTCGAATAAAGTCACGCTCTTGCATATCCACGGTTCTTCTTTGAATTCCTATAAAATATTAATAATGCAATGTTAAAAATATTACATATTTTAGTATATAACTAATTACCTGGATATTTACGTTTGAACGATTTAATTCCTAGAAACTGAGCTACTTGTTCCTGAAGCATATACGGACCACCACCACCCCAATAATATTCTGCCAATTGGTCTGCTGAAATGATTGCGCCCTCTGGTTCTAATGCAATTTCCATTTTTGTACCTTTTCTTATTTTCGTACTTTCTGTTGTAGCCGTACTCTGAATTGAACTTTGTGACTCTTCAATTACATCCATAGACACCTAGACAATGAATATAAAATCATAATGAGAATTATATATAATTCTCGGAATTTTTCTGATTTAACCTACTTAATTAATGTCAGTTAAGAAGATCGGAAACAGGAGGCATGTATTGTAGCAAGGAATAATTTAAGGAATACTGGAGTTTTTGAGTTCGATTATTATTAGTGCGGCGGTTGTTTTACCAAGGAAAAGTACGGGTTAGTTAGTTTAACTGCAAATGCAGCCGTGACACCCACCCAATGCATGTTTATTCAAAATTAAGTTTACAAATATAAGACACTTAAATATAGAGTATTGTTTATTAGAATGCAAAACTTAATTATCATTAATATATTATCATATTAACACAGGATGACATGGTAATGAATGAACAATAATAATGGAAAATACTTTATAAATAAATAAACAAACATTGTAATAATATATATATATATATATATATATGACGCAGGTCAAAAGCCAATAAAATGTAAAATATGTAAATAATGGTTATGGACTATATCAAAATGAAAAACTCACTTGTTTAGCTGGCGTTTGCGCCCGACTATTAATCTCTGCACTCATTCTTGTTTCATCCTCGAATATCATAACATCGGCTGATTTAGTAATAATACTTTTATTATCATTTTCCAATTTTTCTTCATTGGAATCTTCTATGATTATTGTTTCTGTTGGTATTTCTAGGATTTCTTTCATCTCCACGTCTTGATTGTCAAGTGACTCCGTAACACGGGCACTTATAGCAGCTTCTTTTAATAATTTTATTTTAGAATCACTTATTTCTTTCTGCATTTAAAATTACAAAAACGTTAGTAAGTAGTTCAATTTCGACATTGTAGTATAAAATTCAAAGTGAAACTTAATTTTATATACATTTTGTCATAATACTAAAGCAAATTGAAAATCTAAAAATATATATATATATATCGTTGTAAAGCAGGCATACACAAAGTTCGCGTTCACTATGAGATTCTATAAATACGTTCTCATGTCTGCTCGCTCTATTTATCCATTTATTTTTATACTATATATATATATCACAAACACATATATATGTGTTTGTATGGATGTGTCCTTAAAAAATATAAGATCACAATACTAAATAAAATAATATAATCATATATTATTGATAAAAAGAGTAATTCAAAACAATGTGAAAATTTAACAATATTCAACAGGTTTATTTTATTACATTAATATATATATATGTATATAAATTTAAAAAAATATATTGTTCATTTGTTGTAATCGTGAATTAAAAAAATTAAAAATATTCAAAGTAATTCACCTGTGCTTCGTTATCATTTTTAATTTGACCACGAGTACTCACACCTCTGCCTCTACCTCTGCTTCTTGTAGCACCACGTGCTTTTCTTGGTTTTATGCCCAATGTAGTCCTTACGGATGGACCACGACAACTACGTTTTGGCCGACCAGATGGGCTCTCTTGTATTTCCTCAATTTGAACTACCTCTTCTTTAATATCTTTAAATTCCTCCCTCACCACCAATGGGTTCTTTCTTGGCCTTCCACGTTTTCTCGGCGTTGGTATCGGCGAACTATTAGAATCTTGATTCTCAGTATCTGCACCTAATACTGGTATAATAACATTATCCGAAATGTCAAGCTTATGTTCGTCATGATCGACGCCGATGTGCGATACTGTCGCACTTCCTTCACGTTCATTTGTTACATCGAATTTAAGGCGTTTACTACTGCTAACCTTATCCTCGCTCATTTCATTTGATGCATCTTGTATAACACGTTTTACACACTTTTCATCCGTTTTATCCTTTTCATTCACTATATGTGCGTGTCGATTATCCTTCGAGAACTTTAATTTAATTTTAGCAAGCTTCTCATTCTCCTCCTTTTTTACTTCAGTATGTGATATATTATTTTTCGTTATCTTCAAAACAATACGCTCCTCCACTTCTTCCTTTGCATCATCTATAGGTTTGATGATTGGTTTTATTTTTATTTTCGGACTCATACTTGTCTCAATTGGTTTTAATATCGGCTTAATCGTAATTTTTGGACTATTACAACGGTCGCCTTCTTCGGAAGTGGGCTTGGGTATAGGTTTTATAGTGATTTTGGGACTGTGGTGTAGCTTTTCCTCTCTAATTGCTTCTTCATCTGGTTTAATTATAGGCTTAATAATCAATTTGGGACTGAATTTCTGGGTTTGCTCTTCAGGCTTAATTACCGGTTTAATCGTAATTTTCAAAGGTGACATCATTTTTTGAGGTTGCTTAATTAAAAACTTTGGAATGGGAGTTTCTTCACTGTCAGACTCTGAAGGTGAAATTTCCACAACACTGTTATCACTTTCCTTAGGGTCAAATATTTTTAAAATCGATTTTTCCTCGGATTTATTTTTAGTTATTGTTAATTTTAAATTTTGTGAAATTTTAGAACTATATTCACCACTTTGCTTATTATAGATTTCTGTTTTATTAGAACATTCTATTTCTTTCACAGTATTCATTTCATCGATAGGAGGATCCACAACGATGTTTAATGGTTTTTCGTAATTATGATTTAATCGATTATTTTCTGCATCCGCAGCTGCTTGAATTAAAACATTTTCTTCGTGCTTATTGCGTTCTTCAATTTGTTCATATATTGAAGAGGATTTTAAGCTTTCTTTATCAAAAACTTCCATAACAGTACGATCTTCCTTAGAGTTAGGTTTATCCTCTTCATATGAAGCTTCAAGGGCCGCCTTTAGCAATTCATCGTCTTGAGAATAATTACTTTCTTTGATATATTCCTCATTATCATTATTTTCCGACTTTGTGGGAACTACGTCGATTTTATCTGAATGAATATGTTTCATTTCTGGTTCAGTTACAAGCATGGATGCCTGACCATGTAATATATTTTCAGATTCTTCCACTTCACTATTCATTTCTTCCTTGTCACTTGAAAATGCAAATACGTTTTCTTCTGCTTGATCTTCAATTACGGAATGGAGATTCTTATTTTCACTAGTAACATTAATATATTGCTCCAATTCTTCACTTTGCTTGATGATAGCACTATTGCCTTCTTGAACAATTTCAACTTCTTTTATTTCATTTTTATGTTCAGATATTTCTGATACATTTACATCTGTACATGATTTCATTAGTTCTGAGGTTGATGTTATATTATCAGATCTTTCAAATATTTCCGTTTTCTCTTCCACTTTAAATACATTATTTTCAGAATTAATATTACCCTTTTGATATTCTTCATCACATGGATTAACTGATTTTGTATTCGTTGATATTTGTTTTGTGTCCAAAGTTGGTTTTTCTAATTCCAACGCGATTGATTTCGAAAGTTTTCCATGTGTTGAGTTGTCGTGATCCGCTTCTTTACTAATAAGTATAGTTTGTTCTGCTTCTTCTAGGTCTCCGTTAAATTCGTCTTTTTCGCTAGATACCATTTTACATTCTGGCGAAGTATTGATTTCTGCCGATGAATATATGTTACCAGAATCATCATTCTTATGTTGTTTGTCTGCAATAATATAATTTTCGCCACCTTCCAGTTCCTTGCTATTACTTTTCGTCTCGTTTCCTACAAGACATATGTCAAATACGTTATTATGTTCCGTTATGCTACTTCCGGTGTTTGATATATTATCAGATATTGGTTTATCATTCTCTTCACAACTATCTTCAATTAGATTTGTACTGTATTGGACATTTTTATTTTCTTCACAAGTTTCGTTACTATTATAAATTTCCAATGTTATATCAACATTATCCAAATTAGTTTTAGGTAATTCTGGTTCTGTAATACATTTAGTTATTTCATTACCCGAATTAACAGCTGCTATTTCAATATTTTCTAAGTTAGGAAGAATTGACTCAGTTTCTTCGGTTAGTAAGGGTTTTTCAAAGTTGTTCTCATTATCAGTATTATGTGTTGTTAATTCAATTTTATCCAAAATAGCTTGCTCTGATTCCATTAACGTATTAACGGAATCATTAAGTAATACCATTCCAACTTTTGTTGACTTTATTGGATTACATTCTGGTTTAGTTACAAATTGTGCATCACTTATTTCTCCTGATGTATATGTTTTAATAATGTTCTCGTCAACAGTATCAAGCTCTGAAGAGAATAGTTTATCACTGTTAACAGATGATTTTGCTTTAATTTCGTCTATTATTTCAATTTTTGGTAACACTTCGCTCGGAATAACGTCCTTCTTCGCAGTCTCTTGTACTGTGATTTCCTTTAATTGTGACAAAGATGTGATCTTTTCAACATTGATACATACATCTGTTGAATGCGTAATATCAACTGGTGATTTATTCAACAATGATGTTAGTGTATTAGAGCATTCTCCTGATTTTTCTAATAAACGTATTTGAAAATCATTGTCTGTTTCCATATTAATTTCTGCTTCCTGTTGAAATATATTTTCAATCTCACGTTGCTCGTTAGATGAAACTGTTGTTTTATTAAATTGTATTTCGTCACACTCATCAATTGGTTTGTTTTTGCCATCTTCTACAAAATGATTCATTTCTTCTTGTATATTTGATGATTTCGTCGGTTCTTCTATATTTTCAGAATTCGTGGATTGAAACGATTCGATCTGAAGAGGTGAACATTTATTTTCAATATCTTCGTTAAGTTTTTGGTCTTCTATCATTTCAGTATCCGTTTCCACTTTGCCATAAGATAATATATCAACTGCATCATTTTCACCGGTTCCTTCTGATATTGCTGTGACACTACATTCTAAGTTATCATTTTTAAAACCCTCGTCGTCTTTAAATATTTGGAAATCTTTAGAATCAGATTTTTTTATTTTTGATAATTCTTCATACAACATTGAAGTTGATTGATCTGGTTCAGTGTCAATTACAGAATTGAATATCTCACTATTTTGTAATTTGTTTACTTTAAATTCATTGTAAGGTAAATTTTCGCTTTTACTTAAATTTACAGATTTCTTGTCTACCATATTATTTTTTTGTTGAAGTTCATATTCCTCTTCTTCCTCTTTATTCATATTAGAAATGATGTCATTACAAACTGTTTGTTCTACCGCTGTTGACAAATCTGTAAACTTTTCTTCGTGCAAATTCTCTAACGATGTATCAGTTTCCAATGTTTCACTGATATCAATTTTATCGTAATTAATTTCAGCAACTTGCATATAATTATTTCGTATAGTTTCATCACCGTCACTAACATTTTTTGATGTAGATGTTTTAATTTTATCCAAATTAAATTGATCTGTTTCTGAATTTGTAGATTCTTTAAGCAAATCACAATCATCTTTACCAGTTGATTTTGATATTTTGTTTACTGCAATATCATTTTCTATTACAGAGTGTTTATTTTTAATTTCACTAGATGAACATTTTTCATCTTTCTCCTGATTAGTTAGTTCCTTAGAATTTGGTTCTTGAATATTTTCTTGTTCTATACTTTTAGTAAATTCAGGTAATTCTGTATTTTCTATTATATCCATATGTTCATTAGAATTATTTGTTGACGCTATTGTAATAATTCTTGTAGATGCTGTAACCAAACCTGATATCAAGTTTTCATTTTTCTCAATAATGGTATTTTCTAAAGATTCGGATTCATTATTTTCCATTAGTAATTGATCAGAATGATCAGCTTCCATTCTAGATATTTCAGTTTTATCCAAAATAAGTACTGATTCTGAATCAACTATGGAGACATTTTGTGTATTTTCAACAGGTAGCAATGCATCACAAGTATAATCTTTAATTTCACTTGATTCAATATTTTCTTCTATATTTTCATATTCAATTTGATGAACCTTATCACTAGATGAGCATTTCTCTTCCAAATCTTCATCCGTTTTTTTGCAGATCTCTTTGTTGAAACTATTTCCATCATGAATATTTTTAGTTTCAACTATGTGTATTTCTTCAACTACCATTTTTACTTCTGGTGCAGATATTCCTGGCATATTATTATCCTCAGATACGTTTACAGCTTCTGAAACTTCATTGCACAGCATAGATATAGATGGTACTTCGTTGATATTTGTTTCCAGTCTTACAATATCATCAATATCTTTTTTCTCTTGCACAGTTGCAGATTTTTCATTATGTTTTTGTTCAAAATTTGAAACATTTTTCTGATTCACCAGATTGCTACTATTAAAGAGATTCAGTGTTCTTTCTTCACATAAGTCAATCTTTGCTGGTTTTATTTCACTCTTAGCAAGAGTTGGAAAATCTGTTGGCCCACCTAATAGGCTTTCTAAATCAGACACAATATCATCAACATTTTCAGTAATTTTTTCAACCGAAACATCTGAAATATTACACTCGTTTGCAAATAAATCAGCCTCATTATCTACATCAGATTTTATATTCTTCTTGGATATATTTGATGCCACTGAAATGAAATATAATAAAAATCGAGTTGAAAATTATGATTCCATTCAATATTTGTACCACATACATAACACTTATATATTATGATAATTATTGAATATATATTTATATACATGTTCATATTATTTATGCATATAAATATATGTGTATATTTGAGAAAATTTAATAAACATACCTTTATTAGATGTACTATCAGTAGAACAGGATCCTGAATATGTTGAAACCGATTCTTTGTTTTTATTATTAGTCAATACACTACCCATACTAGAGGTTAGATTTAAGTTGCTGGAATCGTCAACGCCATCGCCATCCATCTTATAAACAAACTAATATTTTATAGAAAACACGCCCGTGCTTTAAAGTCTGTTTAATACGTTCGAACCATTTAAATCTTATTATTAAGATTACATCGATTATATTGCTTGCTTACATGTATTGTATATACACAACAAAACGAGATAAACGTATGGCATCAATTTGTTATGCAGAACCTGTGCTGTTTTGGCAACACTGTTAATTAGAATAAAAGAAAATTTACAAGCTATTCACAATTTTCTCGCCGATTTTAATACATCACCTTGGATCAACGTTTTTCTTTTGACAACATACGTTACAAATCTAAAGCAGAAACTTATTAACACCATTTGAAATAATTGAAATTAACTACATTCGACTAGTTGTTTCCCACCAGTTCACGCACTGTCAAATAAAAACAGAAATGACAGTTGCACAGTCGCTCTCCACTTTAATTAAAAAAAAAATGTTGTTAAGGTTCTATTTTGACAGTCGATAGTGTTTACAAGTGTTTATACTGTGTATTATTACGAATATATGCTTAGTGAAATAAAACGATAGTTGATAATAATCGTTACAATATGCATGAATCATATAGAGCAACATCCCTGTTAAAACACAATGGTCAAATTGAATGTATCAGCTCTTATAGTAAGTGTAATCAATACAATAGACATGTATGTAATTGTTACAATAATTTATACTTCTTACTAGATGATAACTTATTGGTTGGTACAAGGCAAGGACACTTGCTTATGTACAACATTGTGAATACTGCAGATGATAAACTTGATATTCAATTAATGAGATATAATAAAACATTTAGTAAAAAACCAATTCTACAGTTGGAAGTTATCCCTGAATATAATATTTTGATTTCGCTGACAGGTATGTATACATATTGTTTGATTCTTATACTGCTTATATTTCTTTTAATATAATGTTTCTAGTAGTCACCTGATTTAATTTTAGAAATATGTAATAGAATAGATTATTTAAAAAGTTTAGCATATAATATAAATATTTCTATTTTAGATAATATTGTACAAGTGCACAACATTTCTGCATTTAACTTCCCAATAATAGAAGTTTTATCTAAGACAAAAGGAGCAACATTGTTTATAGTTGATGTTGTTGTAAGTAGAATACTAAGTATTATAAAAATATTTTATTAATAAAACAGCTCTGATTTTTAGCAAGGTGTTTCAACAAAATCATACAACATTTGCATTGTTGTCAAAAGAAAATTGCAACTTTATTTCTGGGATTCTATGAAGCAAACATTTACAAAGTTACATGATGATATTAATTTAATTGAAGTTCCTAAAACTATTGGATGGTGCCAGGGGACTGTGTGTGTTGGATATAAAGGAGAATATATTTGCTATGAAGTAGGTTAACAAAATGGTATCAATTTTAGTAATATTTATTTAACTGCAGTGTTTATATTACAGTTAAATGGAAAACCTAAACCATTATTTCCGACTAGTAGTAACAGAACGACGGACCCGTGTATAGTTAAATATTCGGAAACTACTTTTGCGTTGCTTAGAGAGGATCAAACGGTTTTGGTTAACGACCAGGGAGATGCAGAAATTACCAAATTGATAAAATGGTCTGATGTGCCCATCTCTATTATATGGGATAAACCTTACTTTTTGGCTGTACTGGCAGATTCAATAGACGTTCAAACTTTTGATGATGGTTTAATACAAACTATAGGCGATTTGCCGAAAGTACGGTTTATTTGTAAATCAAAACAGGGATTGCTGTATACTGCTTCTATAAGTCAGGTTTGGGTTTTACAAGCGGTAGACATACCAACGCAAAGGAAAGCTCTGTTGGAAAATAAGCAGTTTAAATTGGCACTAAAACTGACGGTAGTTGTGTTGTTTGATTTTGTTTATTTGATAAATTGTATATTTTTTAAGGCAATTTACGATGAAACCAAAGAGGAAAAAACTGAAATTATTAATCACATTCAAACGCTATTAGCGTACGATTTATTCTCCAAGAAGCGGTTTCGTGAAAGTATGAAGGAATTTATAAAATTGCGTACAAATCCGTCCGACGTGATTAGATTGTTCCCCGACTTACTTCCAAACCAGATTGAAAATAATGAATCATCATTTACCGAACGCGAATGGGAAGATGGCATTCAAGCGTTAGTAGAATATTTAACTGATGTTCGTTTACAATACCACGTGCAAGAACAGGAAAAAGATAAAGTACGTATATTTTTTGTTGTAGCTTCTCGATTTGAAAATAATTCGATAATTTTAGAAGAAAGCGGAAAATAAAAATGCAAATATGAATGATCAAGCTGATAAGGCGAATCAACAGTTCTTACAAATTATTGATACTACTTTATTAAAATGTTACATTCGTACAAATGATGCTCTTGTAGCTCCACTATTAAGATCAAACCATTGCCACTTGGCAGAAGCAGAGAAAACTTTGAAAAAGTACAACAAAGACAATGAGCTTATCATTTTGTATGAAACCAAGAATCAGCACAGGCGTGCTTTAGAGTTATTACAAAGTAAAGGGAACGTGGAGAAAACAGTCAAATATTTGCAACGTTTAGGTACAAAACATATAGGGCTTATCTTAGAATTTGCAGATTGGGTGCTTTCCGGTTTTCCAGAGGAAGCGTTAAAGGTATTAGTGTATTTGTTTATACAGCAGTTCAAAATTTATCTTTTTTTTTGTAGATATTCACTGATGATCTATCAGAAGTGGAAAATCTACCAAGGCCACGCGTTTTGGATTATCTGTTAAGATCACATCCAAACTTAGTTATACCATATTTGGAATACGTAGTGCATACATGGGCAGACTCGAATCCGCTTTTCCATAATGCTCTTATACATAAATATCGAGAGACGTCTATGTCGAGTGATCCAGGTGCACGTATCGCCAAAAAGAAGTTATTAGAGTTTCTAGTCACCTCCAAATATTATAAACCAGACGTCGTTTTGGTTCATTTTCCCGCCGAGAGTTTGCTGGATGAAAGAGCAATAATTCTTGGGAAAATTGGTCAGCATGAACAGGTTCTTGTAATCTACGTCAGAGCGATGGGAGACGTAGACAAGGCCGTAAATTATTGCAATACATTGTATGATAACAAAGTGCCTGGCTGCGAAAATGTATGTGTTGTGTAAGCAATCAAAGTTACTTTAATATTTAATGGAGCATTTCATATTTCTTTCAGGTATATGTTTCGCTTATAAAATTGTTATTGGATCCAAATAGTTTAACGTCAGACCTATCCGATGTTACGCTGTCCCCGAAAACTGCACAACCTGATGTTGATACAGCATTGCAGCTTCTCGAAACCTATGCATTTAGAGTGAATTCTTTAAATTGTTTAAATATCTTGCCGGATAATTTACCCATCTCGAGAATATCGCGTTTTCTGCAAATAGCTTTACACGAATCAATAAAAGAACGCAGAAGAATGCAATTGTTGAAGGGTCTTCTGTACGCAGAGCACTTGCAATGCAGAGAATTGCGATTGCGTTTGGAAAGCCAGAGCACATTAATTACAAATTTAAATATTTGTCCAGTCTGCAAAAAGCGGTTTTCAAATCAAAGGTATAAATCACATATATATATATATCTTTTCAATTCACTATCTTTTTTTCAGTGCACTAGTGCGTTACACCAATGGCGATGTCGTACATTATTCATGCCAAGATAGAAAAATGTGATAAGATTTAAATGAAACAAAATATATTTAAAATAATGTAATCCGCTTATTGAATAAAATAACATTTATAATTATCGTTTTCAATTCAATAAATATATATATCTAACGCAAGAAGGTGAATGTTAAACACCATGAATGATTTCCGCCATCTCTTCCAAGATCATTTTTGAATAATTCACCATCTAGAACTTCTTGACGCGGCAGGATATTGCTGATAATTTTGATCTGGCTCTCGATGTCATTGACATCAATCTTTCCAATAAGAATTACATGATTGAATTCATTCTGTATTCATTATTACATTAGCACTTTTCGCCGTGCGTACAGCATTAAATCGAAAGTTATTTCATTAATAAAAACTATTTAATAACAATTTTTTCAGTTCATAAAAAACAATAGGAATAGTAATGATTAGAGATTAATAAATCAGACACTTAGCTGTTATTGTCCCAATTTAATAAAAACAAAAATATCATTGGAGTACCACCTACAGATGGATTGTGACTGATGATCTCATAAGTGATAGTACTACTTATATTACATTTAATATTGAGGGAGCCGCCGAATTAATAAAAATATTTTTGTTATTAAACTATATAATTTAATATAATGCCGTCTTGAATTTGGTAAAGTACATGTGAAATAAAAATATAAAATCCGTAAATAATGTGCTACTTTCATTCGCGTAAAAAACATCAACGTTGAACGAAAATTCGCGTAAATTCATATAGAATGCTGAATAACAATATGCTACTGACATATTCAATAAAATTGGACTCCCTGGCACCGCCTCTAATAAGAAATAACCATTATATATATTTATTATTATTATTATTAAAAAAGAATCACACATTATTTACAAATATACATAATAAAAATGACAATAGGCAAATGAGGTATTACTGATACATAAGGTTTATATGTATGCTTGAGCAGATTATTTTATGGCAGTAATTAGTTTTGTATAACATCATTTTATAAACATATCTACAAATATATCGTACATATTCTAGAGCATTTAAACACTACTTATAAATATCGTAAACAATAATAAGGTACAAATATTGCAACATAAGAAATCCAAGGCTCTACTGGATCACAAATATTTAATATAGTTAAATCACATTTCAAACCTAAACATTATTATTTTTTAAATATTAGAAACACTTTATAGCATTGACTTTTCTGTGTGTAACTTTTTATCGTTTTAAGTATATTGTTTTTAATGCTTTCCTTTTATTAAAATGAAATATTTAAACAGTCTTTAATATTTATAAATTACAATAAAGCTATATACACTAACATTTACATACAATATATACATATTCTTTAAAAATACTTAATGACTATTATATTCCTAAAATGTTTTTCTTAGATTCAAACATTTTACAGAAATAAATTACGTAATAATTACTTATCAGTAAAGTAAAGAAACAATTATACAAAAATGTTAGTTCGATCAACAAAATTACGAATAATAGTTTTGCTGTAAACCTTGCGCATTGTGTGCTACATTTCGTATACTAAATATATACGTGTTGGTTACATTTCCAACATAAAATAACATATAAACTATATATAGATGAAAAAAATATTTGTTGTGTCATCATATATAAAATTTGTGTAGTTTTTTGTTACAAAGATTTTAAAAAATTATTAAAATTTAAAAAAATATATCTATATATATAATTTCAACATACTCATAATTATGTTTTATTAAAGCGTATATTTATTGCCTTCCCCCAAATTAATTATTGGTATTTTTATCTGTTTTAAGATACATATTTCAGTCCAAGATCACTGATCTTAATTTAAACATTTGTTTTTCAATATCTCCACGCAGTATTCCCACTTGTGTTATTTATATTCATTATTTTAAATATATGTTATATATTATATTATCACAAAATTTAATTAAAAGTGTACATCCCTCACGTCGGTTGGTGTACCTGCCGATTCATGATCTATAAATTTTTCATTCGTTGGCGGTGGGGTGAATTCATTAGGTCTAGGTAGCGTTTCATCGATGTTATCATCGGTTGTCTGAGATACCATCGATTCTATTTGTTTCGTACATGTTTTTAAATAATCCTAAAATTCAAATTGATATAGCGAACCCTTTGTATTGAATCGCTATAGCACGAAATACGCTTACCTGCTCAATAGAGGTTATATTATGTAATCTGTTTAATAGGTCTTCTACAGATTCTCCACTTTTATTAATCCAACCTAGTCCACATAGAGCTGATATTACTGTAGCGGCTGCAATTAAACTAGCAGGGTAGCCAGAGAAATTATATTCTGCAAATAAAATGGGAAATGTAACAATTTTTAATAATTATAATCCACTTTATTTGATAAATGTGTTATTAACAATTATAATAATAATTATATAAAATAATATTTAAAAATTATGTCTATTATGTATTATACTGCATGAATAACATTTATCGAAAGATTGGACACTGAATAGAACACGAGATGGAATGCGATGACGTTAAGTAGAATGAAAGAGAAGGAATGAGTAAAAGTATGGATGAGATAATTAATTGAAGTGGAAAATTGTATTCCCATGTGCAATCGTATTAAACAGATTTGCTATATCTAAAATTAATCATAATAAATAAAATATACATACCCCTAGCACATAACGCAATCAAAGTTTTCGAATGGCTATTTACCAATTCATATGGAATTCCTATTGATAAAATTGGTAATCTACGTAATATATGGCTGAGAAAATCTTGTGGTGTAACAGCAGCTATGTCCCACTTTAATTTGCTTAAAACTAATACTTCCCAACTCTAAAAAAAATAATATGTAAGATAATTTATAGTTATATAATGTACATCATAAAATATGAATATAGGAAGAGTCGAAAATATTATTTATTATATTTCTGCTTTTAGCATTGTTTCTCGCACAGCGTTGCAGGAATTCTAGTTTTTGTACAGAGACCAGGTATAGAGCGAGTAGGGACGAAGGTCGCGGACTCCGATGGCTCGATCGGAATGCCCATTAGTTCAAAGACTTGTCCGGCTTGTTGGGAGAATTCATTAAGATGCGAATTGTACAAATCAAATTAGTTAAATGAACAAATGAAACATTTTTTGAACAACCTTCTAGAATCATATTCGCTCCGATTATATATCATGTAAAAAAGCGGACTCGCATATTTCTCCTTCCTCCTTCTTACAATGCTGATTTTGCTGTTTATGTAAATTCAGATTTAAATTTAGACATGCAATGATGTAATGTAAAGATCGAGGAAATATATTACTAACCGAAAAATATCACTATCGCTCCAGCATTTTTTTGATAAGTCAAAATCCGGTGGCGCCAGAAGAAAACAAGAATATTTGTCTTTGGGTTATATATATATATACATATATATGTGTGTGTGAGTATATATCTGTGTGCACCGGTCGTAATGACTTTTCTATTTAGAATTTCTAGGAAGGTAGGTCCGTTCAACCATCTACCTGTTAATTCCTCTAAAAGCTAAATTTAAATTCTTCATACACGCTTAGCCGTACGCATTCTCTCTATATATGTATAAAATATACATATGTATGTATATATAAATATATAACGTTATCAGAAATTAGCAACATAGTCAATTTAAAAACATTTGAACCCGGACTAAATATGATATAAATATATATATATCATATTCTTGAAAGGCTGTTTTTCACGATTTGTTTGTATGTCAAAGTCAGTTATCATAAAATTACTCAAACACAGGAAGTTCGCCGACTTAAAAATTTTGTAGATTCGTTATACATACAGCATGCATAAATGTTATTTATTTTTAATCTATATTTTTTTGTCATAAAATAATGTATAAACAATACCGTGGGAATAAGTGTGTTGAATATTATGATAAAATGGATAAAGCAGCAATGGTACAAAAAAAACTTTATAAAAACGGCGTTGTTGCCACGGTTCTTGGCTTTTTAGGTTCAAATACCTTGTTAATTGCGCAAACCAGTCGTGGGAAGTATACACGTTGAAAACGAGTATAAGAGAAACGAGCTCAATTTACTTACCCATAGATCGCTTTTAGTAATACTATGGTCCGTGTAAAATACCAGCGTTTCTGCAAGCAAAGGTTTGGGCTCTCGCAATTTGGAAGCCAACAACATGCAAACTGTACCAAGTAATTGAAGCTGCCTCTTGCTAATACAACAGACCATGAGGAAACGGTCTAAAAAGTTCATTGCCAACGGAAATACTTCATCTTGCCGGTTCTGTTCATCACATACCTACAAAAACAGAACATGCACGCATTTAAACATTTTATACATATGGCGCTATTATCTGTCTACAATTCATGTATCAAGGCATATTGAAGGTTATACATGAACAATTACCTCTAAGAGGCACCAAACGGGCTATATAATATATAAAGAAAAAATATATAAAAGTAAAATTTTCATATAACTGTTACGTGTGTCTGCATGTAAGCAAAGTACTTGTGTAATAAAAGTGGCTACGTGAATGTACGCATTCCTAATAAGTATAATAGGTACCGGTATTGTTTCTCTGTGGACTTTTAAAATTTAAATGTCCAATGACATTGGTTTTATGCGAAGCGTATATTTATTTTGACCCACTTTCAAAATCTTATTTATACACATATATATATATTTGCAATACCTCTCGTTCATTGGCTGAGGTAATCAAATTAAGTGGTTTCCGTTGAGTGAAATTTATCTACGGACCACTATTCTAATGGTGTACCAAACACGATTGTATAGACATAAACTAGCGAGCCATATTTCACGTTACGTTCAGTTTTACTCAAACTATTCAACTGATATATTACCTCCATCATCCATTCGGCCACTATTTTTCGCATATGCGGTGTAACTTCTTTCTGCACATTGACGAAGGAAGCTGACATGTACCTCTCTTCCGTTTTCAGCAAATTGTTCAGCACGCGCTGGTTCAATAAATTCGGATCTATATATGCCCTATTTTCAATTGCAGTTGTTTCACAACAGAGCAAGTCGTTCATATTGCTTCCTCTTCAGATATAGCATAGAATTTCCTTCACTCACACTTTTACACTTATATAATTTATAACTATTTCTGAGTATAATAAATTTAATATATAATATGTATATTTATATATAACCAAAAAATACTATTTTTGCTGTTTTATTAGATAAATTGTTATGATTGGAGTAATTGTATTTAGGATATTTCACTGTTTGGGGCTAATTTTATCCATATCACACTGTGTTTTAACCGTCAAGCACGCGCTGATGATTCACATAAAAATGCTTACGATTAACTTCACGTTCTGAATGGTTCTGAAACAGCTCACAGATCCCTCCTCTTTCTGTCAATGAAAATATTGGTAGGGTATATCATCTGTTGCTTTTTTATATTATTATATATGTATATATTCATTCAGAATATATCGAAATATAAACATGTATAAAGTAGCCTTTTAAATCAACGATCAATAATTGTTTATTTATCTTTTTTTATTTTAAATAAACAAAATATAATAAAATGTATTCATATATTGAAACGTTGGTTAAACCATACAATGTATTTTATAATATTTAATTTATATATCAAATAAAATGTCAATATTATTGGTATTTAGAAATTCATAAAAGGGTTGCCTATGTTTATTCATCTTTTTAATGAATAACTCAAAATAGTGAAATTACTATTCACTATTAATAATTCACCTTGATTAATTTTTACGTAATAGTAATAAGATAGTTTGATTTATTGGTGCACAATGAATTTGTAACTTTCAAATTGTATATAAATTATTATGAGCACTTGCTTATTTTTCATATAATTTATAGTACCCCCTGGACGGGTTATATAAGAATGTAATTAATGTTATACATATGTTTTAGTTTTCTGAATAAAAAAATGTATGGAACACAATAACATATGTACATTTATTACAAAACCCAGACAGGCTAGACTGCTTCATTGCAGTCACTTGATATACCTGTAAAATTAAAATCTTTCATAGTTGGAGTTTGTGGATTTTAAATTAATACGTATCCTACTATTATATAAACAAAAATTATTTACCCATAATTTATTAGAGAAAAAAAAACATGTTAAAATATATTTTAAAGCCAGACAGAAAGACCTATAGTCAATAGTCCTTATTATTGTATTGAGTTTTTATTTTTTTGTAATTTATTATTGCAGTAAATATTATATATATATTAGTTTTTTTCTACATTTTAAACTACTTTGTTAGAAATATCAAGCAATATTGTAAATTTTAGTTCTATTTGTCAAATAGCAGAATGTCTTTTTAAAGAAACTTATGTATGTATTTATATTGAAATATAAATAAAAGGAGCAGAGTAAATAATAATAATAGTTTTAATGCATTTAGTGAATAGTGCGTCTTCATGCAATTTTTAATTGAAATAATATATGCATAGATCTATAAAAGAGAAATTTGATTATCCTTCAAATTTATCCAATCAGGAATCCTATTCTCTCTTAGATAATCTTCTCTTGAAATGGACTTGAACTGAATTAATTCAGTATGACTGTAAATTGCTCCACCGAGCCAAGCAGTGTAATTATCCAAGGAAGGTGATGAATGAAATTTGAAGTCATTAACTTTCAATTTTTCATATGCAGTACATTTTAGCTGTTTGTACAGCTCTTCTTTTAAACGTGATTTAAATCCAGGTGCCATCGCTGTACCTCCAATGACCAAAATATTTTCTGCTAATATTTTTCTTAAATCTAAGTTCACGTTTAGAATTGCATCTAGAATCATCGTGGATAAACATTGATGATCGTTGTCCTCGACGTAAAGCAATTCGTATACGGTCTCTCGCAGTTTCCCCGATATTTTTAAACTGCTTTTTCCGTTATATGGATATTCTACATCTGGACATGGTGTTATAGTTGGTTTCGTTTCGTTCCAAGACTGCGCCCTCGTTTTTGTGGTTACAAAACAACATCTTACTAAAAAAAGATATGTCGAGAAAATATTGCTTTCTATTTAGAAAATAAATCTTACCTTTTATATCTTCCAGCACATTTTCATTAATATCTACCATTCCCATATTTTCAGAAGCAAGCAACGTTTTTATATTACTGAAATGAGTTAAGGAGGAATTGAATCAATAAAATTAAATATTTATATTTAATAATATTAAATATAAATAAATTTAAAAAAATACCTGTGAATGCTTTGGGAAGCAAGTGGCAATGCTTGCCATGAATGTACAAATGGTAAACCAAAGCAAATTGGAATAACAGTGGCTTCTTTGTAACCCACATCTACAACTAAAGCAGTTTCAATTCCTAATCCAGCTAAACTGACTAGATGAGATGGAAGTAGATATATTGAAGAAACTTCATAGTGTTTGAAAAATACCTAAGATTTTTAATTATTTTTAATAAATATATTATCTGTATAGTTGCATTAAATACCTTTGCCAGAACATCTCTAAATTGTGTTGGACTTAACAAGGATTCAACGATAACAACAGGTTTATCTTTTGGACTTATTAAAGCATATCTTAAACAAATAAAAGTTTAATAATATTTCTTGAAAAAAATTCTCTATTATATCTTTTCTATATTAATAATATTAATAACTGTTTACTCCAATAACCTATGAAATAATAATATTACTTACTTAAAATATAATATGTGTATGAAATCTACCAATAAATCATATAAATCATATTTATCTTCATAGTCATATATTTTTCTGACTTTATGTGTTTTCTTGCAAAACACTTCTGTGCGGATAATGCATCTAGGTGCATGTTCACCACTGAAGCCCAATCTGGAAATATTATAAAGATAATATATTTTATTTCACAATTTAAAGTTTATAATACTTGGTATAAGCAGAACCAATATCTATTACAACATGTAATTTTTCGGTTGTAATACCTTCATAAATTGGCATTTTCTAAAATAAATTGTTTACACTACTTTAAATATCAACAAATATAATCTAGATAACATGCACCGAAAACTAATTTTATTTGCTTAATGACAATTTTTGACGTTTACAACCACTTGCAAGTCATAGACTTTTAGGTTATGTGCATTGTTGCCATATTGACAAGGCGGTGATTAAACAGAACTCACCAGCACAGGATGTGACATATCAGGACAAGTTAAATCAGAACGTCAAACAGGACAAAATACAGACAAAATATCTGTTCTGTTCTGATTCCTCCACTCTATAATAGAGTGGAGGTGTGGTTTATTATGAATAATTCTACAAAATCAAATAAATTGATATAGTCGGGATTTCAATAGACGGTCTTTCGGTTGTCGGGCTTGCGATATAGACCCATATTTTACATATTTAATTTACTTTATCTAATATTACTATTTATTGCATATTTTTCAATTACATAAATAATTACATGCTTCTCTATAAATTTAACTAACTAAATGTTCATTTATATTATTACATGTTCGTTATCACATATATTAGTTAATAATTTTATATTCATAAAAAATAGAAATAACAATTTTATGTATATTTTGTATTGTATAATACTACCATTTATAAATCAATCATATTTTGAAATATTGCTGTATTAATCTCTCCATTACAACCAATTCATTTATATCATCACCGTGATTTAAATGTACAATATTTACAATTACAATAAATATACACAAATACAATTTACATCATATATATAAATAAAATAACCAAACTACAATTCGTTATTTCCTGATTAGCTAATGTTTAGATATTTCATACGTCTCTACAAATTAATTTCTCCATTTTGCAGAAAAAATAAATATTGGTATCGAACCTACTCAATCCAGCTCGTAAAAGTACCAACCAGTACCAACAGAGTAAGGAACGAAAAAGGATATTTTGTTGGTGTAATAGCCAACGGAAAACGGAAAGTGGTCTAAAGTATATTGGAGAGGTGCATTTTGTAGATTTTTAAAATCTATATTTAAATATGTAAATTCTAACTGTTAATTAATTTTGTTATTTAAAGTTTGATGGGCTCCGAAAAAAAAGTTCAATTGGGCCTCGCACTTATTGTATCTAAATCTAAAAGAACATTTTAAATTTATGTTTTGGTTATTTATTATAGTAATAAATAGTTATTGAACAGAATTGATTTTTTGTATTAATATTTTATAAAAATGTATAAAGATAATAAAGTAAGTTCTGTTCTGTTTTAGTACTATTCTATTTTGTAGCTGTTTTGTCCTGTTCTCTGGTATGACGTTAAAACAGGTTAAAACTGTCCTGATATGTCACATTCTGTTCTGGTCAGTTTTGTTTGGTCATGGCACCAAATTTTTGATGTGCAATTTTTTTGTATCAGATTTTCGTAATACAAGTGGCAATAACCACACGACTACGACTGCTCTAATATAATATATTATTGCCAAATTACTCGCGAACCTGATATCATTGGTATATTTGAAGCAATTTGAAGCGTTGGCTCCATTGGTTGGCTCCCCTGTATGTCTGACGTATGACGCATTCGACATTAGGTTTGTTCATATTTGTATTTGCAACAATTTGTAAGGTGATAATATTGTAGGTCAACGTCAAATATGAAAAAAAGCATTTTAAAATATTTATTTATTTATGTTGCATGTTAATATATACAATTGTAAATGTGTCTTGTGTATTAACTTGTTTAATTTTGATCTCTGGTTATATTATTTATTTAATTATTAAATTCGTTAGAATGGATCCGGAGGATGCAAAATTTTTAAGAACGTGAGTAACATTACAATTTATCTTGCTCAATTAAATACATGTATCATCAAATGAACATTGAAATATCTATAATTGGAATTTACCAAATAAAATATGTAAATTTCAAGGTTATTATATTACATTTATTTTATTTACGATGGCAAAGAATAATTGCTTATAACGAGATATTTTTAAATAGAGATCGAAGACCTGGGACCCTTGATGTTCATCCAATATTAAATGCTATTGTATTAAATTATGAGTTAGAAGTTCAGATTCTGGGTCAGAATGAATCCATTTTATATGGTGAAAAGCAGAATTTGAAGAAGATTATTGAACTTCCAATGTTAAGTACAAGATCTGACTGTAATGCTTTGGCAAAGGAAGTCCTTTCTCATTGTGATTTAATCCATCCATCCAGACATGTTGAATTAGAACAAACTATATTCTACTTGAAAAAGCGTAAAGTCCACACCAGTGGAAAAGGTAAAGCCTATATTAATAATAATTCAAATTAAATTTAATATATTCATTTTAGATTCAGAAGGTGGCAAAAATTGTGCCATAGATCAGGAAAAGGCTAACATAAATAACCTAACTGAATACATAGAGCTTCTTTATGAAGGAATTCCAGAGAAGGTTAAAGCTTCAATGGCAATTTTAGTCTTGGCCAGAGAGCCAGACAATTTGGAATCTCTTTCTAAAAATGGTTAGCTTATTCAAATTAAATAAGTGAGTCTATATAATAATTATTTTTAGAGACCCTCCTGAGTGCTCTTACTCGAGTGCTTCGAGAAGATTGGAAGAAAAGTATTGTTTTATGCACCAATTTAATATTCATTTTCTTTTGTTTCTCTACATATTCTTGTTTTCATAACGTTATATTGCAGTATAAGGTAAATCTGACATAGACAAATAAATTATTATTATTATTTTAATATTTTATAGATTGGTTCCTTGTGTATGAATGTGATTGGTTATGAGCTTCAAAGATATGAAGATTGGAAATTGCAATTAGAAAGTGGTGTTAAAGAAGGAGGTATTAGTAATTTGAAGAGGAGTTGTTCCAATAGTATAAGCATGTCTGAGATTCCAAGAAGTAGGATTCCAGAAAAGGTGAGACCTAAATCTGGCAACTTTAGCGATGTCAATATGAAATCGGTTATGGATGGAAGTGTGTATGATGATCTGAGTCAGTCCATAGAAAATATAGACGACAAAAAACAGCTAACCGAAGCAGAGAAAGCAAAGCGATACAGGACACTTATTAAAAAACAAGAACAATTGCTAAGGGTTTCATTTTTTCTCCTATTGAACATTGCTGAAGATGAAAATGTTGAAGAAAAAATGGCAAAGAAGAATATTGTTGATTTATTGATTCGTTCCTTGGATAGAGAGAATGAAGAACTTTTAATATTAGTTTTAACCTTCCTTAAAAAATTATCCATAATGCAGGTTAATAAAGACGATATGATTGAATGTCAAATTATTGATAAAGTACATAGAATGCTTCAAAGCAACAATGTCGATGTACTACATTTAACATTAAAATTGCTTTTCAATTTATCGTTCGAAGAAGATGCAAGGATACAAATGGTCCCGTTATTACCAAAATTTGTTACTCTTTTATGTAAATTTTCTAAACAATTTTTATTATTTGTTAGTCATTTTTTGTATATTTTAGCCGATGATAGGCATCAGGATGTCGTCATTAAATTGTTGTATCATTTGAGCTATGATGAAGAAGTTAAGGCACAATTCTCATTTACGGATTGCGTTTCTTTGGTAAATATTTAAGATGGACATGGATTATGTTATGACTATGATTTTTTAATTTATTACTTTTTAGATAGTTGACATGCTCTTGTTAAGTGCCGATATTCAAGTTGACGAAGTTATGGTTGCGCTATGTATAAATTTGGCTACGAATTCGAACAACGCACAACAAATGATTGATGATAGTCGCTTACATGGATTAATGACACGTGCTGTGGCTAATGAGGATTGCTTTTTGATGAAAATGTTGCATAATATTTCTGAACACAATACCACTAGATCCAGCTATATAGTAAGCAATCTTTGGTAATATTTGTTGATTTTATGTAATTTGTGATTTAATTTAGGAATTTGTTGGAGATTTGGCAAAAGCTGCTACTGAATCAAAAAAAGAATCGTTCGTATTAGAGTGTATCGGTGTTTTATCAAATCTTCATCTATCCGATTTAGACTGGGCAGAAATTTTTAAACATTTTAACATGATGTCATGGGTTAAAGATATTTTAATATCTAACAGTGCCGAGCCTGATATAATTTTGAACGTTATCATTTTACTGGGAACAGCAGCCCATGATGAGGGCTGTTCTGTGCTCTTCTGCAAGTCGGAAATGATCTCGTGTCTAATAGATCTGCTGAAAACGTACCAAGAAGATGATGAAATTGTTCTACAAATAATGTATGTGTTTATGATTGCCCTTTCACATCAACAGAGCATTGACTACGTAATAAGTGATAGTGAAGCACCAGCGTATTTGATCGATTTACTTCAAGATAATAATAAAGCAATCAGGAAAACTTGCAATATTTGTCTAGATATGATATCTGAAAGGAGTTCTGTTTGGGGAGAGCGTATTAAAATCGAACGTTTCCGAAACCATAATGCCCAATGGCTTCAAATGGTGGACTCTCATCAATTAGAACCAGATCTTGAGGAGGAGGATTCCGAATTACCTCCGTATCTCAATACAGACTTTTTGAGTGTATCTGTAATGCCACCATTGAAAGGTAATTTGTAAATTATTTTATAATATTTATAAATATATTTAAATAAATTTATTTTAGGTGGCCCGGATGTAACTGTTCAAGAATCTGAGATAATATCTAATAAAGAATTGGATTATAATTACTTTGAAAGAGCAGATAATAATGGACTTCAGGACTTTGAAATGGAGTCTATGTAGAATATCATAAAAAAAACTATGATTATTTTAGTCGCAAGCTAGTTATTATTTTTAGCTTTACAGATGTCTTATATATAATCTTACATATGCAATTCAAGTGTGTGACATTTTAATTATAGTATCCAACGTTCTAAAGCGTGTACTAGTCCATAATTATTTTATGTGATGATCTCTATGATATAGCAATGTATTTTCTAAATAAAGCTAAATAATTTAATATGATTATAAATACATTTATTATTATGTTATTAAATTTATGTATAATTAATCTAATTACTATGTATTATTACATATCTTCCTTCTTATTAGTCTCTTTGTAGGTCCCCCTGTTCGTTTTGTATATGTATAGCGTTTTGCTTTCTTCTGAGAAGGAAGAACCGAATGTAATGTTAATAACACGTAAAATTGTGTAAGATAAAAATGACAACCTGAATTTAAACATATTTACGTACAGACTTTCCTATAACTTTTATTAAGTATGTCTTATCGTGGTATATAATACATGTTGAGCGTTATTTTTTTCTCGAAGACAGCTTGAGGGTTTTCTAAAAAATGCTTTTGTTAACAAAGCGCCTAAATTAATGTGAATTCAGAAAATAAGCTAGTCATAATCAGAATAGTTTATTATCCCAGAATTCAACTAAGCTACTAACAAATAAAAATCTACTTACATCATCATACACATATATTTGTAGTGAATAGTTAAGTCTTTTGCAGATATTTCTTTCTAAAATAGTCATGCAAAAGCATGTATTAAATATAGCTGGATACCTGAATAATAATAAAAAGGTTTGCCATAATAATATGATGAAAAGTACTTAATTTACTATAGCTACTTAAAAAAATCATTGAAAATTGAAAAAACAAAGTTATTTATATCAGGTATTTCTCTGATTTGTTTTCCTTCTTCAATAGTAACTAGTTTCTCATCAGTCACAGATTGACCATTCTTCACAATTTTAGTTACAATAATATGTTCCTGATCTCCATGTCTATGAGTTACAGATGTTTCCTCATTCCCTAAATGATCACTAATTCTCCTTGTCATTTCTATACTTCCATCAGGCTTTGCAATAGTTCTTGTGATAACACTTTGTCCAAAGAAACTTGATTTTGGTGCAGAAAACCTATGGTTAGGTTCCAATATAGTATCTAGTTCCTTAATATTGACTCTAAAATCCAAAACTTAAAAGTAACAACCAATATTTCATTAGCAATATTTCATAAATTTACTTTCCATCAAGGTCAGAGTCTGTCTTAGCTGATGTGTTATGTCTTTCGTAATCTGGTTTTAAATATATATCTCTTAAATTCTTTGAGGTAGACTCTGTTTGTGTTTCAACAGCTGATAAATTTGGGTTAGGAAAAATGTTACCAAACAGTGTATTTTCTCCAAAGGATCTAGCAATTTCATTTAGCTGCTGTTCAAAGTAACGCTGCATCTCCAATGGATTTGCGAATATTTGAAAACCCATTTCATCATTATCCACCTCTGACTTAATAAAGTGATTGTGACTATCTTCTTTGATATTCTCATATCTAATATAAAATTAAGTCAATTAAAATTAGATTATCGAAACACGTAATATTTCACCTTTCACTGTTGAAATCATGTGGATGTACTGAATTGGGAAAACCAAAAAAACTCTTAAATACATTGAAGAAATCCATTATATTTAAAATTTTGAATTTTTAAGAGAATATACGCAATAACTCAAAATAGTTGACACTGGTTGACACATTCTCATACTGTCATACTCATACTCCTCTTTCTACCAATGGGCGAAGTCATCGAATTCTTAGTACATCGGCAACTCGTTTGGAGGCGCCACAAGTACAAGCGCCAAATAATATAAATTTTGATTTTTTTTATAAAATTCTAAACAAGTTTTACTATTATTAAGATAAAAATCTTTTTGAAACCTTCAAATAACTAAAGTGTTATTAATATCCAAGTTATTTTAATAAATAAATGTTCTTTAAAAGAAAGAAGATGGCAAAACATTTTCTTATCCCTTCACCTTCATACCTCATAGAGGTATACAATTTATCTTGCGCCTGCAAGTACATATAGCCCATGATATACAAGAGCTTAGGGTCACTCAATTCAAGGGAGCCTCACAGTAATGGGATAAGGTGGGGTTACATATTTTTTTTCAATGGATATCACCCCCCCGCTATCAATTTTTTTTGGGATATCAACATCCCCCAACCGCATTTACCTTTTTTTTTTAAATAAATTGGGGATATTAAAGAGTTAAACAAAGTAGATTCACAGACAAGTAAACATGTTTTTTCAGGTAAAATTTACCATTTTAAATTTTCAGTCAAATATGGAAATATACGAACTGTACAATACAATTTATTGAATAACATATGTATAAAATAAGAGTTAATCTAAAACATTGTGCAAAAACTTCTTCGTATATTCGTAGGTAACAAATAGTGTCGCTGTTGCCGGCACTGTGCGAACTAACGTCGGAGTCAAACCATTAAATAATGCTGAAAATCCCTCTGTTCTTGCAATTCGAATGATAATCGTGTGCAGTGGTTCAGTTAAATGATTAACTTGTATTCGGGATTTGGCTACATCTACAGGGTAAGTAACACACCAGAAGACCATTCCTCCCACAGACCCGGCGAACATAGTTTTCAGTAAACCTATATCATCCTTTGTTTGATCATTATTGCATAACATTGTTCTTGTTCCTAAAATTAAGTAAATTTTTATCTACTGATGCAATAGTTCATTACAATACCTTCGTATCCACCAAAGAAGAAGAAATATCCCGGCATCTCCCTAACCAATGTAGCTACCAGCCCTCGGAATAATCCACGAAACCCATCCATTTTTATAATATCTGATGTCAATCTCCAAGGACCAATTTTCTCGGAATGTATCCCTCTACTTGCTTGCTCTTTTTGAACTTCATACATCGCTTGTAGCTTGCATTTTATTAACTCCGTGGGAGTTAGAGCTATCGATGAAAAGAACGAAGCCAAGCATCCGGCGGTTGCATTACTTACTATACTCAAATTTTCTACCTTCTCTGTTCTGGTCAGCTTTTGCATAAAGTTTTGACAAAATCCGTATCCCAAGAATAGTATCGAGTTTTCAGTTATATTCGCGGCCAACGCTGGTACCGTACCAGCATACAAACCCCTGTATATACCCTCTTTCCTAAAGGTATCTGTAAAGCATGTGATCATATTTTTATGTATATGTGGAAACGTTTGCATTTTTACTTTAATCGTATCTAAAGGTTGTCCAACATAAACGAGAGCCACTCCACCTAGAACATATTATAAAATAAAATTAATATATATTTACATATAAGTGGATTTTTCATATTTTCTATTTGAATTTCTCGTTTCGTTATAAAGTAGAAACGGTGCCATGACCAAACTGAACTCACCAGAACAGAACAAAACAGCAACAAAATAGTACTAAAACAGAACAGCTTAAAAATATCGAAAATTAACGAAAAAACGAACAGAACGAAACAGAATAATACTAAAAGTGAACGGCATAAAGAGGACATCGGAAAAAAATATTGATTAAAATTCTAATAAATAAATGATAAAGCTTAAATATATAATTAATTGTACATTTATTTTATAATATATCTATAATCATGGAAGGTGCGCGACATGGGGCGACATCAAAATAAATATTAATTTTAAAATTAAAAAATACATTATACAACAAAATCACCACTGTACAAAATACAAGTAATTTGTACAGTGGAAGCTGAGTTTCCTTGAGGCGCGTTATATGATAACCGAATTGTCCCAAATTATGATTTTTAATTTAAAAAACACATTTTGAAATTTACTTTATAATTTTTATAAAATATAAATAAAAAAATCAATTCTTAAAGTATAAAATTGATATTTCTTCCAAAATAATAATTATTACTACAATAAATTATCGAAACATAAACTTAATACAAAAACAAAAATTAAACTGCAAATTAACCACAGCGGTTTCCAACCTGGGAGGCGCCAATTTTTTTTAATAAATTAATTTTTATACCATAATATCTTCAAATAAATAAAACGTGTCTATATTATTTAATCTATTCTATCTATTAAAACAATAAAAGGTAAGGGAGGCGCGGATTTTTTTTTTCGGGGAGGCTTAGTAGCATTAAGGTTGGAAACCGCTGCTTTACCATCCACGATAATAGATGTATTATCAAATAAATTTATATTTAATTAAATATTTAAGCTTAATCATTTATTTATTGGAATTTTAATCAATATTTTTTTCCGATGTCCTCTTATAGTATTATTCTGTTTTATCACTGTTCGTTTTTTTTCGCTATTCTGATGTTCTGTTTTAATACTATTCCATTTTGTAGTTGTTTTGTTTTGTCCTGTTCTCTTGTATAACGTTCTGTTTTAACATGTCCTGATCAGTCACGTTCTGTTTGGTCTGGTCGCCAGCAGAAACATCATAGTTTTATTTTACATCACATTGATGCACAATACCTAATAGTTTTCGGTATTTTATAGAATGTCGGTATTGTATATACACACTTTGCTGCTTATATATATTTTTTTTAGTTAAGTTTATATTTTGAAATAATGAATTTCTAATGTACAATATATTATGGAGTTTCAGTTTCAATGACCTTCTGTGTCCTATTGACTTTCACAAGAGTTCACAATAAACAAATTCGAATTAAAAAAATAAAACTAACCCAAAAATCCGGCGGCAAAATCAATGAATCCATTTTTCGCGTAGTTCTCTTTCAACTGTATATCGTTACCATCTGTCATTTTGAAAAATTGTAATAACTCCAGAAATCTTCATTCACTGTAACACCGCTCCAGTACAATTCTTAGTTTAGACTAACTTTTATTTAAGTAAGAAAAGCGAATGATAAGATAAGTTGTTGCAGCTATAGATAACATACAACTAACATTACTTGACATCTTTGCGTTTAAGGTTAGATTGGTAACTTTGTATACGTATTGAGCAATAATATATATTTTATTTATCAACAAATCGTTTTCATGTTTCGTTTATAATATTATACATGTGAAATTAAATTTAAACAAGAACTTTTTTCTCTTTTATTATTAACAAAAAAATATTTATATAAATATAAACTCAAATAAAATCTACTATGTAATTTATTAAATTAACTTAGGACAATTATTGCTTAATTTTCCTTTTATGCTTATCATTTGGTCAGTATCCTTTAAGGATAGGCTTCTAGCGTAATGTTAAATGTTCTTCTTTTTTAGCAAGTTCCCGCCTGGGAGAGTTCATCTACACTTAGCTGGGTCCTTTCCACCCCGTAGCCAATCACGTTAGCGTTGACCAGGCTTAATCCTCGGCAAATCTGGAGTTTTATTATTGCTTGTTGTGTATATTTAATAATCAAGTTTCGGAGATTTTTGCAAAAAAAAAAAATATAAAATCATAAAAAAACATAAACCTGATTTTTTTCACTATTCACCATTACCTACTGTTAAAAATACATTAGTAGCTGCTAACAATTTTAATTTTCGTTTAAAATATCTTTATTGTTTCTCTTCTATTTTTTTGCGAAATATTAATATATTTATATAATATTATCAAAACTATACATTTACTACAATTGAAACATAATCTGAACGAAGCATTACGAAAATATGAAATTAACAAAATATATTTTTGGTTTCTCGATAAATCGTCAATAGTGTCAAATATACCATAAGTTCTCAAAAACACAAATTTTATTTTAAAAATGTAATACAAATATAATATAATATTCAAAAAGTTGTGCGATCACAATTTAACTCCAAATATCCTTACTGCATTTTTGCGATTATTTGAAATATCCAATATGTCTAATTTCAAAGAAATTTAAGTACATCATTCGTGAAAGATGACAAAAATCGTATTGCTATTTGTAACATAATAAATTCCTAAGCCTTCGAATCTTTCAATACATTTCCCATTGTCGAAACTTTGTACTGAAAGTCTTTCCAAAACAGAAATAAGAAAAAATATCTTCAAAATAACAGTTTTCATATTCTTTCTTTGTCTGCGTCCTTTGTTTAACAACAATATAAACAATAAAAAGTTTCAGTTATAATCGTATCAGGAACCAAAATTTGGGATTGCAATTGGGGTCCTGAGCAAATAATACATCTTTTATTGAAACAATGTTTTCCAAAATATTTTTTATTACAAGAATGCTTCATCCATAATTACATAAATATTAAACTAATATATATTTCTCAATATTCAATGTTTTTTTATAAGCTGTTCACCTTTTTCTTCGTTCTCTGTGCTAATAAATATTATTAATCTAATTAATTTGATTAAAATGTCATGTTTAATACTATATAATAAATATACATATGGAATACAATTTAATTAATTACTAATTTCTTAAATCAGTATCTGAAACCGAGATTTTCTGTAGTAAAATATCCAAAAAATTTCTATCGAAAAAAATCTGAAATATATATACATATATAGACGAAATTACATACACAAAAACATCACTTACATCTGCGTCTATTGTTTTCGAAGTTTTGATATTAAAAAGGTTCTCCCCATTTGGTTTGTATCTGAAAGTTTTTGAATAAAGATCACGAGAAACGTAATTACAATTACTAAATGGGTAAAGTTTTGGAAAGTACATTACCTCAAAGATCTCGGTTCGACAAGTGGTTCAAACTTTTGTATGTCTCGTTTAGCGGCGGCCCCTCTGCAGATGGGAGCAAACACATATTTTCTAGAATTAAGAAGTACGATAATAATCGATTTCGTACAAAATCATAGTTGGAGTATTTACCTGCAGTCCACTCTCTTTGTTTCGTATCTTGATAAGAGCAGAAAACAAACACATAAAAACAACATTTTTTTGTTTGTCAATGCCATATCTAGAAATAAAATATTCTATAGTACATTTATATGTAACAAAGTATTCGAAGATTTTAATTCTAAATTAATTACGAGAATAATTAAAATTTGTATTTATATTTTTTTCCTAATATTGTATGCCATCGTTTACGATAATTATTATGACAATCCATATCCCCGATGATTCAAATTATTTTAACGTATTTATACGAAGTCTTAATTAAGAAAATGTCAAAACACATCTGACGTAAAGCGAATAGCAATCAGCTATAATCCATTTTGAAATATATTAAATCAGTGTTTTCCAAACTTCGGAGTACATAACTATTAGCAAGATTATTTTTATTACAACAAACTTTAAATATATGTCGAGAAAAACTCGAAAGCAAGACGATTACGTTCTACTATTAGGCAATTCCAATGCTATTGTATATGTGTTTAGCAGTTCTTATGAAATCTTTTTGTTAAAGGGATTTGTTTTAATGGCAAAAAGACACGGTCAATAGCCCTTTGCATGTAAGTATACAATAAATAATGTTTAATATTATTTATCTGTTTTAAGTTATATCTGTTGATACAAAATATATTCTATATTATAAAAAATAAATCATGATTTAAAATAATTATTTATGAACTTAAACAAGTATGAAAATCGACATTTTATTATGAAAAAAAAGGAGGAGCGCATGTATATAAGTTAGGAAACCTCTGTGTTCAATTATCAATCAACATATAAATATTGCATGAAATTCATTGTTGTTAAGACGGTCAATGATATTTTATATGTATGTGCATATGTACAATAAATAATAATAATTATTGTATAATCAAATTAAACTAGTTAGAAGTATCTACATAGTATTTTTGCCAATAGAAACACATATATTTTAGAAAAAATATAGTCTTATAATATACAGATGTTCGGGCCGAAAGATCTATGGTCAATAGCCCTTTGTTTCAGTTGACTTTTTTGAAATTATATATATATATATATTAATTTTGTTCTTTCTATTTCTGTATATGTTTTTTTTTGTACGACTGATGCAATAAACATTATTATTATTATACAGAAGTAATATAACAAATAAATTATTATCAAGATTTCCATATTTTTCGTTTATAATTTATTATTACGGAAAATTTTCAATTTAAATAATAAAATACTAAACATTAAGATTAAATAGTGACTATGAAACAATGTTTCGAAATTAATATAAAAATATTGGAATGCTTCAATCAATCAACAAGCGTTGATATATTTATTAACAGTACCTGCCATCGAACTATATAACTTTACTTTTCAAAGCTCTAAGAATAACACCAAAATTCAGTGCAACACTGAAATCCAGCGGACTTCTCTAGTCTTTATAATAATGTTTCTTGTCCTGCGCAAATTCTACTTTCACCCTTGTGTCGAGGATATTCAAGGATAGGATATGCTATGATACTGTGTTTCCAAATTACATTTAAAATGATATTATTTAATGCACATTATATTAAAAATAATATAGTTTATATTACGAGTATTTTTTAAGATAAAATTAAAAATTCAAATTAAAGTGCAGTATTTTTTTTTACTAGATTATCAGTCTTAATTTTATACATCTTATAATTTTCAAATAGTACTCTTTCGACTAGAGATCCTTTTTCCTGGATTTTTTTTTATATTTAAAAGAAAATATATAATGTTTCATATAAATTATATGATTTTTTTAGAATCAACATTAAATTATAATTAAATAAAGCCCACAATCCTTCGAACATCCTCAGTGATTATAATAAGTAGAGAAAGGAATACAAATGTTATAATTTAATGAATTAACAAATAGTTGAAGTTTTATGAATAAATATAAAAATGTAATAATTCCCGCTTAATTTTAAATGAAATTTAGTTACAGAAACTATTCACCAATAAGCATCATTAGTTGGCGCAAGCGTAGAACACGTTTTTCAGTTGCAACAGCCATTGTGAATCGCCGTTCTGTTTATTGTCAAATTTTATTCCTGGTTGTGCGTATAAGACAGAAAATCAGATTTGAGTGATTTCGATTTAATATATATCTCAATGTAAGAATTATAATTATATTTAATATGCGTTTTATCTTAATTATTTTTTCTTGTGAAAATGAAATTCCCAAAATAGCAATGAGAAAAGAAAATATTGATTTTATTATTTTTTTTTTCTATATATTTTGCTATCATTGTGGTGCTCACCAAAATAAATATATATCGTAAATTTTAATGAAATGACAGCGATCTCTTCGTAAATAGGACATAACCTTAAAGTAATACAAACTTTGATTGTATATTTTGAATTGATTAACAACAATCCTAAAATATATAACAACATTATATTTTTTTCTAGATGCCGATCATAAAGTTAACATCCTCAGATAATGAGACCTTTGAAGTGGATGTTGAGATTGCAAAATGTTCTGTCACCATAAAAACTATGTTGGAAGATCTTGGCTTAGAGGAAGAGGATGATGAGCCTGTTCCATTGCCCAATGTGAACTCAGCTATTTTGAAGAAAGTTATTCAGTGGGCTACATATCATAAGGATGATCCACCACCACCAGAAGATGATGAGAATAAAGAGAAGCGTACAGATGACATTTCTTCATGGGATGCTGACTTTTTGAAGGTTGATCAGGGCACTTTATTTGAACTCATCCTTGCTGCTAACTATCTCGATATCAAGGGTTTGCTTGATGTTACTTGCAAAACAGTTGCTAACATGATTAAAGGAAAGACTCCAGAAGAAATTAGGAAGACCTTCAACATCAAAAATGATTTCACTGCAACGGAGGAAGAGCAAGTGAGAAAAGAAAATGAATGGTGTGAGGAAAAATAATCTGACTGTCAACATTTTCATCCAAATGTATTTATTATTAACTATTAAGCTATATAATCAATGTCTAATAAACAAATGCTTTGTACATCTTCAAAATTAAAAAAATACATATGTCAAAAAAATAAGTTATGGTTTAATGATATTCTTTATTTTTATCTGTAATTTTAATTTAATAAAGTTATAGTAAAAACACAAAACAATTAATTTTAATTAGTTTTTTACATGCAAAAATCTGTACATTGGAGTTTAATATATCATGAATACATTTTATTGTCAAACCTTTACCAACATTGATAAATTAACTATGCAATTTACTCGTAAATGGAAAATTTATCCCAAAGTAATACATAGATTATATAATTGATAACTAATTTAGTAATAGAATTTCATAGTATCATAATTTTACTTTAGTTTAATTGTAATTAAGATTATATTGCGTTTTACTACTAAACGATTATTTGAAATAAACGTATAATTAAAATTCATTATTTACATAATATATATATTTAAAAATATTAAAATAATATTTTATTATTAATATGTATTATATTCATTAGGTACATATTTAAGTCCTGGAAGATATCCAACCTTGCAGCAATTTCCTTTTGTGCTTTTTACGCATAATGTAGAACCCATCACAGCTCCATAAATTAGAGCAAAGTATAATAATATTAGTGTGCATAGTATTCCCAAAAGCATATATCTATATCTGTACAAACATCCAGTGTAAGAATTGCACCTAAAAAATAAAACATTTTATATAAATTATTACAATTTGTTTGTATTTTATTATAATGGAAGAACCAGAAAGATGATAAATTAATTAGTAGATTAATTAATAGACCAATGAAAGTAGTCGATTAATAATAATTATATAAAATTGAATATGTGTTTAGTAAATATAGGTATGTTTTACATAATTCAGTAATTGAACACAAATTAGTAACGCACCATTTTACATCGACCAAATATAGCTTTACACGTTTATCCACTCCTCTAATTTGATGTCGTACCAACTTAATTATTTGGCATTTGTGGTCACCGAAGCCCAATAGTCTTGTGTAATCCAAAGTGTTATCGTCTTCTATGGAGTCGGCAGAATACGAATGGAAGGTTTTATCATGAATATCCATTCAACTGATGTTCTGCAATTGTCATTTTGTAAAGACAGCTGCCGTTGCTAAGATAATTTAATAATCATATTTATTCCTAATCTCATTCCATTGAATTTATGTTTACAATTCGAGAATATTCGAGGATTATTTATTCTTTAAGTAGTTTCTATTCACATTAAATTGTGCGCCTCGCAATAAAGACGTAATCGAAATGTTTTTTTAGAGTCCTCGAAAACGGGTATTGTTTCATGAGTTATTACGGTAAAATGTGAAATTATTTAACGAGCGATTATCAACAGAAATTCCAAATTTTTGAAAATCTATCACAGTACAAACTGAGCACCGTCTTGAAAATCAATGTCTATAGAAATGATTTTTTATTTGATTGACCAGATGAAAAGCAACATAAATTCAAAATAAATACTAATGTAAAATATAAGAAGAAAAACTGCTGTTAATAGTCATTTGTATATTATTGTACAATAAATTATGTTTATTATTATAACTAAAACTATGAAAAAAAGTATGTAAATAAATAAATATAACTAAATATTTTTGTATTTCTGCCCAAATTTGTTTCTATAAATACTTAAATAAACTATATACATATTAAAATCTAATTCAATAAGATGTAATTGATATTTTAAAATAATAGGTGTACGTATCATGAGTTGACACAATTAGTTTCCGCAACAATCTGTAATGCTTTGAGTATGCAATAAATATTAAGATATTTTCTGAAAATAAAAATTGTTATTTCTTTAATTAATTTTTACTGGAAGCAATAATTATTTTTAAGTAATAATTAATTTTATTATAATTTAATAATATATTTTATCATTGAAAATGTAGTACTATATTTACTTTCTTAAAACTATCCCATTAATTAAACTTATTTTTTAACTTGAAATGCAAAAAATAATAAACAAAATTTATTGCAATGTAAACATTATTAGTAATTCATATCAATATTAAAAAATGTCATGTTGTCCAGAGTTATAAACCATGGTCTTTCTATCTGTGAAGTTAACATTATACAAAATATAGATGACACAAATAATTAATTGGGACCAACCGTTCAAAAATTATTTAGTTATATTTAATATGACATTCCTTCAATCTATCCAAACAGATAAACTATGATTAAATATGCAATAGCATTATGTCGAAAGGGACTGTTTTATCTACCTTAAATATAAAATTTCCCTCTATATAAATAATGTGTGAATCAACTTGTGTAACGTAGATATGCAGTATGCGCTTCGCGTTATGTATGTACAGGTGAAGAGAAACCAACATACAAACAGGTATAGTTATACGTATATTTTGTCAGAAGTAGGGGCAACGAAGCATGAACCAGTGCTTCTCCACCATACCACATGTTGATGGCAATGCCTCCAAGTAACCATCAGAACTAGTCTATCCACTATAGACTAAACAACACTTTCCGTGGGTTCATTCATTTTTTTCTTTGTAATTATTAATAGTGAATTGTTCCGCTATCTGGTTCAGTCAATCGATCAAACGACTCAGTGAAAATATAACGATTGTGAATGGAAACGTACATTATTTTAAGTGTAATACGCTAAACAACAGAGCTTAGGATTTAATTAACAATTGACACAAGTATGTACAATAATATATATAACACGGGTTTTCGCTACATATCACGCTTTAATTACTTTTTCCCAGAATCGTTAAATTTCGAATTATGCAATTGTTCGTTTTCTATATAATTTTCTATTCCGATGAAAGCATTATATTTTACATTAGTAATGTAAGATAAATATTTAAGTTTTTCTATCAAAGTGCTATCGATCGAAGCCTTCCTGTAAAAAAATATATTTTTCGTATATTATAAATAATAATTTCATATTGTTATATATTTTATTTCCACTTGAATATATATTCCGTATTTCAACCATTTTCTTTTTATTCAAACTATTAAAAACATATATTCTTATTGAGAACTCAGTATTGCATTATTATGAATTTGTTCGCCAGAGCGTCACAAATTTAAGTAATTTCTCATTATTAGTGGATGTATTGCATCTATCAGAGCGAAAAATAATTGAGTTACAAACAAGGCTATTGTAATTATATCAATATTGGGAATAACTGTGATTATCTTTGCAATTCATATAGATAATGCTGAGGATAATCTCAGGGTTTTCGTATATATGTTAAAAATTAACATTTGATCATAAATTAAAATATTAGCAGTCTTTATGATAATTATCGATTACATCGATGTGAACAAATGAATTTGTCTGATTAGCATAACACAAAGTAGGTTTTTCTTAAGTATATTTGATAATTATAAAATATATTTTAAAATCTAAAAGGTGTGTCGGGTGAACCTGCAACCACTTGCCGAATTTCCAAAACAACTGCCGCCCGAGGAGTTTATAAAAGTAGGACCTCGTGAGAAAGTGTAAATACCTCCTCACACGTACAGTTATTTATACCAATGCCTTTTTTTTACTGTAATTACCATAAACCGATTATTTATTAAAATCTGAAAACAATAAACACGAGTTTTGAATGGGTTAACTTAAATATAACACATTAATATTGAATCGTATAGCTTTCATCAATGATCACTTGCTCTTAATAAAATATTTTAAGAAGCAACTTTCACTGGCACGAGAACACGATCTCTACTTTTAGTTTTAATTTATAAGTAAGTTTAGCTAGTCATAAGTAGGACTAATATGTTTGCTTTCAATATAAATCAACAACTTTTATTATATATAATGTGAAATAGGATTGAACGGCATCGACGATGACGATCAATGCGCATTTTCTCATGCTCCGAGAGAGAAATTGTATGGGCAACTTAAAGCATAAACTGATTGTTTTCTCTGAACGTGCAAATTTTTGTGACGAGAAAGTATTTTGTTTCTAAGAAGTTGAAATACTACCGCAAATCTTTCCTAATTGTTAATTTCTATGTAAAATATTTTTAATATTCATATTATTTTGTATTGTTTTGTTGTAAAATGAATTCAATTGTATTGTGTTACTCATTAAAGAATATTTTAAATTTTGTCATTAATTTTTTAGTATGTTGATGATGGACTACAAATCGCAATATACGGCCTCGGTGATAGGATCGGATACATTATCTGATAGTGCAGCAAGTAGACAGCCAAGCAGGATTCGTACAATTAGACTTGTGCGGCCAAACTATGGTGCATTGCCTACCACAGGATTGACTTGCAGACACGGCCCCAATCTTGGATTCAGCATCAGAGGTGGTAGAGAACATGGCACTGGATTCTTTGTATCTCAAATTGAATTGGGATCCGTAGCCCATCGTCAAGGTTTAAGAGTAAGTTTCATATTTACATTATAAATTCAAGGAATATAAATTAAAATTCAAGAAAGTGGCAATTAATGCAAAAAAATAATAGAAATACATATTTAAATGAAAAATGAAGATAAAAGGCGCTGCGATTACACATTTGCATATGCAAAATCAAAATCGATGATAAATAATTATCGTCTAAATTGAATAAATCATGTAGTAAGTATGAAAACTACATTAAACTTGAATAAATATTAACAGTACATAATAAAAGATTCACTCGGTATGTTAACATTTCGTGATCGACAATAACGGTTTGATCTTTTTTCCTAAGTTTGCCTCACGATTTGTAAAAGGTTGGTGTGTTAAAGGTGCATATTTGTTTTTCCTATAACGCAATCAATTTACATTCAAATAATATATAAATTCAATATTATTACAGGTATAAAATTTATAACATATTTTACTTAATTACTCGAATATAATCATTGTGTTCTATATTATCATAATCATATCATATTCAGTGCCCGTTACCAAAACAGACTGGAATACCACCCCAACAATCTCGCGTTATCCCTCCTAGACAATAGTGACACCCCCCAAAGACACAACACTCTCGACGAGTTTTATAGTGCCGTCAAAATCAATTTTTATTTGGGTTGTTATTGTCATTGAATTATTTCTTTTTAGTTAAATTTATAATTGTTTATAGGAAGATTTCCGATGGGAAATCGTTCCGCTCCATGCTTTTATTTTTTTTTCTGTTTTTATTTTCTCTTTTTTTGTCTTGGCCAGAAACATTCAACTGCCAAAGATGTTGGCAGGTTGTGAATGAATAATAAAAGTTAAAAAAAAAATAAAAATATTATCATATATGAAGCAGCTAAATTAAATAATGTCATTAAATAAATATTTAGTTACTTAACTATAATGTATTGTATATATTAGTTGCATAGTGTATAATTAGGCATTCCAGGCAATGCCTATGCGATCAGTAGTTTGCTGAAAGTTAGGAGAATTGTCTATTAATATACTGGAACCTTGAATCTTACTAACTTTTCTATGATACAGCCTTGGTCTTGGATGGCAACATTAAAAATGTCTTGGGCTATAAACAGCAGTTAGGTAGCTGATGATAGGAGGATGAGAGTACAGTACATTATAAGATTTGCACATCTCAGTTGCAACGGATAATTTTCTTAAAAATTACTTGGTGGGGTATATATGATTATTATTTTTATATAACTTACCTAATTCTACGCTATATTATATTGATTACTAGGAATGCCTTTATTATACACTTTGCAGTTAATAGCAAACCAACCGATATTATGATAAATTTAATGTCATAAGCTGATAATTTACAAATTTTGTTAAATACAAAAATATTATGTTAACATTTTATAGCTATTAAAAATTACTTTCTAGATCGGTGATCAAATCATTCGTGTAAATGGATTCACCGTAGACGACGCCATTCATAAAGAAGTTTTGCAGTTAATTTCAAACTTCGTTCATGTTTCGCTCAAAGTCCGAAGTAAGTACTGAATTAATTATATACTAGAAATGAAATTAAGCGGTTTATTTTCGTATCGATTACATCATCAATAATATGCTTCGAGAAATGCAAATAGTTCAATGATGGACATAAGGAAGAAAGTCGGGTACCTCATTTAAGTCTACAATATAAATACATTGACATTTCATTAAATAATTTAATAATTATTAAATTAATAAATTGAATATGAATATTACTATCATAATGCTACGATGGTATATATTTAAAATGTTGTTGCAGTAAAAGTAGGAATTCTATAGTTATGCATGGTATATGGAATGCCGATCTTTTAATAGAAAGGCAGGCGTTTGTGGTATGAGATAATTTTGTTATGGTTCGATGATTCTATGTACCTGCAAACCGTGGATATAAATGATTGATTTGTCTGACTGATATAAATTTAAAAAATAATATTTTCAGAATTATGCTTTAATTTGGAAATTTTAATTCCAAAATTTAACAAAAAAAAAGTATATAAGATTTTTATTTTTCAGGTGTCGGTATGATTCCAGTTAAAGAGTAAGTAGAATTTTATTTAATAAAACTTCACTAACTTATATAATTATATTATTTAGCAAGCACACAGATCCACTTAGTTGGCAAATCATATCAGAATGCAATTCCTCTACAAGATCATCCCCTCAACTAGGCGAAAAAAATCAAGATGTTATGATTAACATTTTAGTATCGCCGCGCTCAAAGCTTGGATGTGGGTAAGTGGACTAAATATTATGATAGTAACACGATTGACCATTGTTTTGTTTTTAAATTAGTATATGTAAAGGACCAGAGTGGAAGCCTGGCATTTTTATTCAATTCACGAGGGAGGGGGGAGTTTCCAGGGAAGCAGGTCTCCGACCTGGTGATCAGATATTATTCTGCAACAATGTAGATTTCACTGATATTTCCTTCAGTGAAGCAATACATATAATGAAAGCATCACATAAATTAGACTTAATTGTACGGAAATCGGCAGGTTCAGAACTGTTTCCGGGTGAATCGAGTGGATATAACAGTTCAGCGAGTTCGGTTACGGGCGATCAGAGTCCTTCCTGGTCAGAATCCAAGCGTCTTTCTATTGTAAAAGAGGAGTCTTTAGTTTTAGAAGATAGATTGACTAATTTGGAGAGGCTTAAGTGCAAGAAATGGGAAAAAATGGAATGGGAAGATTTGGAAGTAGAAGATAAATTCTATTACAAACCAACAATTATTAATTTATCGGAATATGGTACTACAATTAAGAATAACGGTTCACAGTCTTCTAGTCTAAATTTAATAGAAAACAGCAATAAATACGCAGGAATGAATTTAGTACCAAATCAACATGAAATCAAAACAACCATTAATGGATTATACGAAGAACAATCAAAAAATAAAACAAATAAATTAAGTAAAACACCTTCTGTTAGCAGTTTAACAAGTATGCAATCGACGACAACTAGTCTATCTAGTGCAATTTCACAAGAACTGCAACGTAGATCGGAGGTAATAAAGATTGAAGATTTCATTTTCTACTAAGAAACTTAAAATGTTATATTTGTTTTCAGAAAAATAGAAATAAAAATAAAGAAGCAAGTATTGATGATAAGATGCAAATTAATAAAATGTTGCGCACTTCTAATTCCGAGAAGCAACAACAACACAATAAATTAATGGATGAATTTAAAAAGGCCCACAGGAAAATGTTCAAGTCTTGTGAGAATTTGGAAACGGAAAGTAATTCACCAACAGATTTGGTAAGTTGTCTTCTGAGAATTAGTGAATGAAATATTATGATAATATAAAAAAAATGTCCAAACATATTATTCTCACTGACTGGTAGCTTAGGAATCATGCAATTCTCTTATTATAATACTTATAAATTAAAATTCCATCAAACAATACTATTTCTACGGGAAGCGTTCCTACATTTCATAACAATTATACCATGTGCGCACATTATTGTTCACGATTCCGAAATTTGTTGAATTGGATAATACTAATAATAATTTATTGCTTGTACTATTGATGCACAAACCAGTTTCATGGGCTTAATTAGTCGGAAAACATATTTAATATGTATTTTGTGCGAGTTAAATATAATTTCAAAAGCATGTCGGGCTTATCAAAAATGTTATCATTAGCTCATAGAGTAAATGTTGATATATGAGAAATGTAAAATTATTATGTTGAAAAAGTACTATTTTTCTGTTTTTATTTTCTTTTTTTGTATATGTCATAAAACTGTTCAAATCATTGCCATAATTGTGGCAGATTGTGAATGATATATTAAAAAAATGTACTCGAATAGAGAATTAATTTTGTAGAATATTTACACGTAAACATTGCGTCGTTATTGTTATGTAATAAGTAAAATAGACGACTATATACATCAGGATTTCACATTCATTCCGTCAGTTGTTTAGAGCGTTAGTACTGCAACGATGTACATGCATGTATCGTTTATATGCTCATCAACTTGATTTAATTTATATACTTACGAAATGGAAAATACCGAAGTTAAGCCACTTGTAATTATACATACATATCAAGTAAGTAGATTTTGCGGTTACAATAAATATGGCTGAATTATTTTAATTTAATATTTATATACATACTTAAAACAATTATGCGCCTTTATAAAGGTGGTAATCATATATATAATGTAATCCCATGTTGACTTAATATTTAATGTTCCTATTACAGGACCGATCGGAAAATATAAAGATAACAGACAGACTAACAAGCTTCACTACAGAAACTTTACAAACAAAGCCATTGACTCTAACGAGAAATGCCGGGTCGGCTTGTATACTGCCACCTCCACCTCCGCCACCGGTGAGTACATATTTATGTAGTGTACATTTCATATAATAATAAAATTCTCATTAGTTACCAACTTATAATTGCCAAGATAAGAACGACGAGAGTGTTATTGAGAAAGAAAAACATAAGGTTCCTCCTCCGGTTCCTGCCAAAACATCCACGTTATCATTTTATCAACCACCGCCTTGCCCAACGCCAGACTACGACTCACTCAGTATAGACTCCAATATAAACATTGCAAAAAATACATTTGAACAATGCAGAAAATCCAATAAAATCGCAAACAACGATACAGTAGAAATGGTGTCAATTGAATCATCCAAAATGAATAACACTGTACATAATAAACCTATTTTGCCCAATCCTTGCTTTGCGAATGCCGTACAAATGGTTTCATTGAAGACTACAAATGAAGCAAAATCAGTAAGTGTAACGATTGGTGAATATCCAACGGGCAGCACTAGAAAAGTCCCCAGGAAATTTGAATTTCTACAGAACGGAAAAGATAAAATCGATAAAGCAAAAGAACAGCCGATTACAAGTAAACTAGCTTCGGAGTTGGTCCAAACACTGAACAGATCTAATCTGAAGAAGAAGACCGAAACTACAGTAAATATATAATAGACATACAATTGGCAAAAATAAATGCAAATATCATACTTCATTTATTGGCATGTGCTATTATACTACATGTCAATATAACTGAAACCTAAGCAAAAACTATCTGTGTACGATTTTAATGTTTGCAATAATAATAATATTCAGATATTTATTGATAATAATTATAATCACAAAACAAACAAAAAATATCTAACATCATCTCTACTATGAGAAAGATATGTTAGATGTAGTTATATAATATGTACTGTATTTATATATTCAATATATTTAAGTTATATTATAATAAAAACGTATATTATTTATATTGCAAATAAGAAGCATTTGAAACTGTGCGATATTCTTTTTTGTGACATATTTATTATTGTTGAATCAAGAATGTGTAGTTTAACAAAATTGTATTCGTCTGTAAGTGTCATTTTTAAATGTCATTAATGTGTATATGATATAATAGTCAATATATAGTCTAGTATAAAAATAAATAGCAATAATGTTTTGTTATTTCACAAAATTTAAGTCATGTCAATTAACAGAATACAGAAACTGTTATTTTCTGAATATTGCGATTTCGAAGACATGGTTTTAGTTGAAAGTCCATTTGCTGAAACCACGAGGGACGGGAAAGGACTTAGACAAGTACATCTTGGTATGTTGTGTTATATTATATCTTAATACGCATACTATATTTATTTATATTTAGGTTTAACTCCATCAAAATTGGTATTAGCAACGGATATCATACCAATAGCAGAAGATACGTCAGTCACCTACATGGCTGGTGTAGATCCAGATATTGAAACTTTTGAGCTAATTGCAGTTTATCCAATTGATTGTGTTAATTTGAGTGTGTTCCATCGAAGAAAAAGACAATCACTGAAAGCACGATTTTGTAATAACAAAATCTTATATTTCGAGCTGGGTGGTTTCGAGAAACGCAACGTAATTGCAAATGACTTAATAACTAAACAGTATAATTTGCACATTTTAATACATTAGATGTTTTGGAACCTATGGTGTGAAAAGGTGAAATTTTTAAATCCGCAAGATCCTTCTTCGTCGCATTCTGAAACATCTGTTGCCACGTCGACAACAAATAGCACTCTGTACTTGATATCTAGTAAACGTTTTGCAAAGGAAACTGGAGTACAGCTTTGGTGTCGATATGCATCTGCAGATACAATTGGTGTTAGTAATATGAATTTTAGCTCCAGATGTAATAATTTAACTAAGAGAAATATAACATCAAATATTTTTAGATAACGCCGCCAAAATGGACAGATAAGCATCTATATTTAGGTAAACATTTTGATGAATCTCCTTTAAAATATACACCTGGATCTATGCATCCTACAGTCGAACAATTTGTACGTGCGAAAAGAAGGAAAAAAACAATTTTTAATAATAAAGCTCTAATCTCTTCTCTAATCCGCGATGAATTTGGCGACGTTGATGATGATGATGAAGAAAATGATAAGTAAACTAATATATTTATATTAAATGATAATATTTAATCATATTAATCTATCGAATAGTTTTAACTTCATGGCAATTGATGAAAACAAGGCTTTAATAAATAGATTTTCGATGGGCGTTACTGAAAAATGCGAAGCAGCATTGTGTTTACCAAACAAGAAAGTCTCCTCTGATTTTTTAATTAGCGAGGAGTCTTCATCTGTTCAAGTATTTTCAAATTTCAATATCATAAAAAACAACATAGCTTATTTAGTTTCCAGTCTATAGACACTGTGTTGTGTATGCAATTCGAAGAGGAAAAACGTGACAAAGATCTTAACGAAATGGCAGAAACAGCCGTGCAATTATGGGAATTTTACAAAACTTCACCATCGAGTTTGAGTAAACGAGAAAGAAGGCACAGACGGAGATTCGCAATTTCACCGCAGCCCCATTTTTTTCATGGACTTGGACCATGGAATGTTAACCACGGAGAACGATTTTCGTTGCAAGTATAGTTATAACTTTCTTAAACACATTATTCTCATTCTGATTTATTTTTTTCTTTTAATGGATTAAAAGATGAAAAGGGCAGTGTCGGTAGTTGCTATAAAACGGCAACCGTTGGAAGCAGAATTACGATTGTCTATATCAAAACGTCAGCTAATAGCATCCATATCCTGCGAGACTTTATATAAAAATGAAAAATGGATAAATAATAGTAATAACATAATCAGGTCTTATATTATAATATAATGCATATTTATGTGATTACTATTCGAAATATAAAACTTTAGAATGCCTCCAAAGTTACCTATGATACTCTTTTGGACACCAGAATATTGGTACAGACCTAGAAGTGCCAAGGACTCATATCAAGAACTTCAAGAACATATGAAAAAAATTAGATTATATCATCAACGCATAACATCAAAAGGTGAATACTTAAAGAATTTCATAACATATTAATAATATGTGTCTTGTATGTTATTAGCTAGAAAACGTCGTCTCAGTCGTCTCAGTATGTCTTATAGACGACGAAGCGTTGTTATTAAAAGTCCTGATGAAAACACAGATACTGAAACTGATGAAAACACGAAAAGAAATAAATCAAGAAGATTATCATTTGTAGCGGCATTCAGGAATTCGTTCAAGAGCGATAAAGGTAACTGGAAATGTATAGTATCATAATTAATATCTAATAGTGTTTTGTTGTTGTTGGCACCGTAAAGAATTGTACGACAAGGAAACATCGTTGCAGTTCTTAAAAAGGGTTTTGAAAATGGAAATATCCCTAACGGCATGGGATTTTGATTCAAATACATTAGCTTATCAATTGACTTTAATTGATAAAGAACTATTTTTGAAAGTAACACCTTCTGAATTTGGAATTCTATTATGGCAGCAATCTTCAAAAAATGCACCAAACATAGGAGCTTTAATCGCATTTTCACATAGAATAAGCTGCCTTGTCGTTACAGAAATATTGAAAGACGATTCAGAGAAGGTGCTTTGTTTTTCTGATTTAGTATTTATACAATAATAGTAATATTCCAGATACGAGCTAGATTGGTTGCGAGATTAATAAACACGGCTGAAAAGTGTAATAAAATAGCAAACTTTCAATCTTGTCGGAGTGTACTTTGTGGTTTACAGAGTCCCCCAATATATAGGCTATATTCAATGTGGACATACATACGAAAACGGCACTCATCTAAATACGAGTAAGTAATATTATCTTTATTTGTCTATATCAGGAGGTCGGCAACCCGCAGCTCCGAATACGCAAGCAACTGAATAATAATTGCTTTGCGATTCTCTAAATCATTGGTAGTCAACCCTTGTCCGATGCTAAATTAAGTTTCGTCACAGTTGCGTTAAATTCAAATTGTGGAACCGATGGGCGGTTAGAAAATTTTACTATTAACAAGGACTTTGTTTAACAGATAAATATATATCATAATAAAATTTCTTTAGAAATAGATTTTGAATAAATAAATTGTTGTGTTGCAGAACATTTGAAAAATTATGTAGAATATATAGAGATCCGAGATTATCAAACTACCAAAAAACGTTTTATATCGCTAGTAAAGATTCCCCTTGCTTGCCATTTATAGGCGACCTAATTGGAAAATTACTGGACAGAATACCAGAATATGATTGCTCAGTGGCAAATACACTTGGTAGGTATACATACATAAGTTACTTGTATTGCTAAAATTGGGTAGTTATTTCATATATTTTCAGGAATTAAAATAGCAGTTAAGCAGAAAAAAACTATTTTAACGGGTGACGAAAAAAGAGACGATATTCCGTCGTTGCTAAGAAAGTTACTGAGTTCAATGAAAATGTGGCAACCAGAGCCCGATAAAGATGAATGTAAATGTGATATAATCCCTGGGAATGAGAAAATAAATCAGTTTAAGAGTTTGTCGGATTATTACAAACCGCTCGACTACTACGAAGATAATAGACTGCAATGCCTGGAAGAGAGCATAGAATTGTTAGAAAAATATCAAAAATCTGCTTCACACTACATTTACACAAAGAATGACTTAGCTAGAGAGTATTTATTAAAAGCAAGGTATAGAGAAGATAAAGAGAATTTTGCTCATTCTTTCACTATAGAAGCCCTAAATACTGATTAGTTATTATTAGGGTAATAAAACTGTATTAGTAATTGGACTTCAACAAATATAATCTATCTTAACTTAATAAAGGTGAAATGGTTATTAGAATAATTAACAATTTATCTTAATATTATGTAATTTATTTTAAATAAAGTTGAATTGTTTAAAAAACAAATATTAAATTCAAATATCAATTAAAGAAATCTTCAACCTCTGCTAATTCTCTTTCTTTTGCCTGTTCATGAGCCCATCGATTTTCTGCAAGTTTATCACTTAGTGTCCATTTATGGTGATAAATTGGGGATCTGCAGGTGGGACATTGTTTATTGCCAAAAGGTGGTGTTTTCATGTATTTAATCAAACATTGCATATGATACAAATGACTACAGTATATTCTCTCAACATGCTTTGGACCATTTTCATTTAATTCCAGGTCCTACAAATATAGTATATATATATAATTGATATAAGTTAATTAAAACTAAGGTACCTTAGGATCAACGGTGAAACAAATGTCATTGCAGTATTGACAGTTTTCATATGGCAATCGTTTAATGCAATCTATTAGAAATTCAGATACTTTTTGCAAAGAAGCACTTGCTTTAAATATTGGTTCATTCCTTTTTTTCCTCGCAGGGGGTTCTACACACTTTCTTGCAATTTCTTTAGCTTGATGCAACATGTGACGATAAAATGCTGGTGGAAAATTTGTCTCAACACTTTCAATACTATAAGAAATGAGTTGTTAATACTGTTGATTACAAATATATTACTTACAAAACAGTCTCATCTGGATATTTATCTGGAACCTGTAGCTTGAAATTATTAAAATAATTACCATTTGTTATTCTTATAACAACTTGTGATGTTCTTTGTTTTAATTTAATTACTTCATTTGGATCAGAGAGTTGAGATTTGAGGGCATTTATTTCATCATAGCAGCAACACAACGGATTCTCATCAAGAAAATTTCGAAGAAATATTAATATAGTTAAAATTTGTGGTTTACCCAAAATTTTCTTGGCTTCATGTTCACAAACACTTGTCAAACCAATTAATAATTTTTCAGACAGAGTTTTACTCTTCAACTCAATCAAAATTGGCGTTTTTGGATAATTATTTGTAAATTGCATACATGATACAATCGTTTTGAAAGCTGTACATTTTATTTCAACACGAACCATGTACCGAACACACGAGACCAGCCGTGAACCTTTAATTTTCTGTTCACACAGTTTCTTAATTTCGGATAACTCATCGTCAATAATTCCCATATGTAAATTAAAACAAATTTACAAGTTTGTTATGCACTATCATAAGCACTTAATTAACCTAATATATTAAAGTACACATATAACTTATTTTAAATATATATGGAGAGTATTCTTCTTATTTTATTACAGATATGTTTCGATCAATTAGGATTTGATGACAAGATGTATGATAGTAGAAAAATGACACAAGTCGAAGATAAGCGGTTAGGTCCACAGCTTTTATTTTAGAGATACATCTCCTTAATTTACAGACGTATTTATTTCCTTTTCCACTCTAGTTAGCACCAGCGGTTGCCAACATTTTTGATCTTATGGATCACTAAAATGTTAAATCCCGCGGAACACTAAACTTAAAATATTGAAGCCCACGGACCACTACCATGTTTTTTTTCATAAATATAAGATTCTAAACATGAAATGCTACTTACACTTTTTCGGGTTTAACAGGCTCCACAATTTTGTTGGTTTCTGGTAATCGAACCAACAACCGTTCGTATCAGATTTTCGTGATACAGGCTACCATTGGCTACCATAGCCACACAGTAGCCGTGTGACTATGTACACTTGTTTTTACACTGGGCCTTTAATAAACACATAACGTAATAAGGCGAAATTTGGTAAAACGCAGAATCAAAATATAATAAAAATTGTAATTATATTCAATTTACAGCATCAAAATTATCTCGCAGGCCACCGGTTTGCAACCGCTGCTGTAGTACATCGGCACTCATTCCGAGGCGCTACAATGGCGTCAAATAATTTAAATTTTGGATAATTTCTAAACAATGCAAAAATTAAATAAGCTTACTTTCCAATAAACGGAATATAGTAGCGTATCTAAGACTATGCTTCAGTTTTATCCAAGTGTCCAAGAAATATACATAAATTTTTCTTGGTGAAGATAGTTTTGAAATTGTCAGTGTCTTTTATTTGTCATTAAGTAGGGTAACATGAGTGTTATTCGGTTAGGAAATTGATTATAAATTAATAAGGAAATATAGTAATCAAACTGGTTTTAAACACTCAAGAGACCAAGTCTCATGAAAATCCTGTGGCTAGATACCAATGTGATGGGGCAGTTTAAAAATAGCACTAAGTGTAATTTAAATTCTGATCATTTCCAACAAAACCTTTTAATAATTAGTACTGTACAATAAGGTGTATACCTGTGAGATTTAAACTAAGTAACAAAATTAAATTCAATGGAAGTAATTTCCTTTGGTTTACCAGACCAAATACTTGACAAAAGTTTTTAATTTTATGTTAAATATTGTTATTATAATAGTTTCTTAAAATTGTATTTTGTAATATCTGTCGCCCACTGATAAATAAATACCATTTACAAATTTTATGTTTTTGTAAAACAAGTTATTTTATTGGAATTTTTTTAAAAGATAATTTCGTATTTTTTGGTCATTTGTTAAAATTCTCAGATATTTTACAATAAATATATAAAATAATGTTCATACATTAAGGTTAAAAAAACTATATTTTATAACAGTGTATAAGTTAATCTATATTTTACTTAAAAATGTATTAATTCAATCATTTAATAAATTGTCAATATCTTTTAAAATATCTTCCTCGGCTTTCAAATTAACTGAACCCATTTCGTAATCGTCATCTTCCAATAATAAATCGTCCAACTTGTTGGAATCAAACCTAACAATACTGCTGTTATAACTTTCATTATTGTTTGTACTATCATTACTTTGGTTTCTGATTACAGGTGATACAACACATTGAATACGACTTGATTCTTCTGAAGATCGCCCTTCAATCTTCGATGTGCTGCTTACTTCTGAATCAGAATAATCCAACTTTACTAACTTTGCATAAGGTTCTTCGTTTTCGAAGCATTTTCTTTTTGCCGTCTTGTTTTCCAATTCTACAATTTCATTTAAAGAATATACTTTTGTATGGTCTAATTGTTCGATGTTTCGTTTTTTATTTAAGACAATTTTTTGCTTTCTAGCTGGCACAACCTCGATTGGAATTAATTCGACGTTCCTTTGCTTGCGCTTCCTTATTTCTTCTAGGGAAAGAATTTGAATTTTACTGATGTCATTCTCCGTACTTTCTTGCTGCTTGCTACTATTAATTCGTCGCATTATTCGAATTCGGATTTTCTCGGCGTCTAAATCTTCTTTTTCTGTAGAATCTAGTGAACAATATAAGTTATTTTCATGCATAATGTGGGTCTTAATTACACATACCTGCATATGAGTAATATGCTGCAGATTCTGCTTGTATCTTCTCTAATTTTATTTCTTCTAATGTTTTAATATTTACTATTCGTTGTTTTTTAGTAGGAGATTGTGTAGGGGCGGACTCATTATCAGACTCTGCAAGAATACACGACTTGTTATTTAAGTACAAAAATAAAACATTTTTTAACATACTTGTTAAAGAAAATATTGTACATAATGGTAGTGCATTCTTGCAGAGACTATCATTGGTTTCGTCAATTCAATAGAAAACAAGATTGTATTTGCTTAGAAATTTGTATAATATATAAATAGAGATATAACAAATATATTCCATAACAAAATATCGTCAATTCAAAAAAATATGCTATACATATTGACAAAAAAGAATACCAATAAAAGCCCCCAAATTGAAACCCGCTCATTTTTACTTTTATTATTGATGCTTAACGTTTTTGGTTTCATTTATTTAGCAAAATAAAAAAAAAAAACATTTAATAACATAAAACCTACTCATTTTCAATACTTCTTATAAATACAATAAACATTTATCATTGAAATATGTCTTTCTTTTGTGCTACAGAAAAAAAATCAAGAATGCACTGTTATAACAAAATAATATTAATTCCTTATATAAAAATAATGCAGAAAAAAAATTCTTCATATCACAAATTATAAGCAGAAAATAAACTGCTTCAAAAGGAACTTACTATATACAACTTTTCAACTAAAATGTAAATATAAAAAAAATATCTTAATTGAGTATTGGACAAATAAAATAAATGAAAAGAAAAAGAAATGTAACTCTTACATGCATTTTGAACAAGATATATGAAATTATATTGAATTATAAAGTAACGAAATATATAAGGAAAAGAAAACGAACCATTGGCAAAATACAATCTCAATTACAAAGTCTCATACCTTCTTCAAAATTCACAACTAGAGGATCAACTACAGGTGCATAGTTATCATTTGATTTACTGCATAAATCTGAAAATGGAAAGCAACTTCAGAATTATAAAGAAAATATGTTGCTTTCACTAACCAATTTCCTTAGGGTCCGGAGACTTAATGTCACTTGATTCGCCATCACTAAGAGCCTTTGATGATGCATGCATAAATGGACAGTGAGGTTTCTTACAACCTCCTGGTTGTGCTTCCCAATAACATGGGATAGATTTTCTATTTTTCTAAAACAAACAGACATGAATAAAGGTCCATATGGATAATGCAAAATTAAATTTACTCTAAGCTCCATATGTCTGAAATTACAATGTACGTTTATACATTTTCCTTCTTTCCAAAATGAGCATGTTGTTTCACATCCCAAAGCTGATGGTTCATGTCTGAAAGTACAATTATCACCCTGTAAACAAAATAAATTAAACTAAATATGCATATTTAACTGTGTGAGTGTATCATACCTTTGTACAAGTGGAATAATAATAAAAATAGCAATCGTTATTTTTTCTGGGAGACTCTAGATCCGTCATCTTGTGGAAGAAGTTATCCAAGCTGTAAAACCCAAAGACCACATTTAGTTTGAGGTTATGTTAAAGAACAAATTAAAATAGCGAATTTATTAATAGACAATAATCAACATCTTAATAGGTTTACCAATAATAATCTTCTGGCATTTTGCTGAAGTAAAATAGCGATATTTAAATGAATTTAAAATGAATTTCAATCTTTCATATGTTAGAATACATGTGTATATTTTTTTTTGACACTTACCTTAAAAAACACTGCAAATTTGTCGTTTCCTTTTTTTATTGAATGAATCAAAATGCACAGCACAATATATTTATACCTCTACAAACTAGAATGGCTATTAATGCCTCTTAAACAATTTGATAACCAAATAATAAACTCTGAAACTATTGGTAGCCAACTTAATACAACCAACGATATAGCACGACCTCCCTTCACTTCGGCAATGCTACGAATTAATACATAATATCCAACGTAACCAAATGACGCGGGAAACTTTAAAAAATATTTATGAATTGTGTGTTTGTATTATTTATTTATTCGAACGTCATATACAGACCAAATAATTTCGAGAATAAATAAATAGAGAAGAAGATAAATATGTGTTTAAAATGACTAACAACATAGTAGGTACTGCCACATAAAAATTAGTTAAATAATTTAAAACACAATTACGAACTCTTCACGAGCCAGGACCTGCCTGCAATTCATACATTTAAGGAAGGTCTCGGTAGGATGATTAAAATTACGTAATGGTTAAACACCGCTATACAAAAGAATAACATTTAAAAAGCAGATTGTGAGATTCTCACGAATTTTAGGATAGATCTATAAATCTGGGAACTCTCTGTTGATAGCAGGGTACAGATGGACGTTGGAAATTACAAATTTTTTGTACTGTGATCATTCTGAAGAATAGCATAGTGGCTATATATGAATATGCGGTTAATTGATTCTGCCATATCACAGGTACAATTTGTGGCCAGATCGCAGTCTAATTCCAGTCTAGCAAACCACAGTCTTGATTCTTAAATGCCATGAAAAATATTCTCTACCTTTGGTGATTGCCTCCCTCTCATAGTACCTCTGCTATCTGTTTGTTTGGTCCACACCTATACTAGCTTAAATATTAGAGTATGCGACCCTTGTTTCAGTTAGTTCTTTTTGGTGACCATAATTTGCCACCTTTATGTTCATCTATCTGAGTCGCTCTAACAGAATTTTAATTATTAAAATAAGGGCATTTACTTTGTGATAGAATCTGAAAAGATGACTTTGGGACAATAATATTTATCTATCAGACATACGGCTCTGTATATCGCAAAAAGTTCCGCTGAAGCCAAGTCCACTAGGCGACCGTTCTCCTCAACATTGAATCCCTCAATATATAAACTATATGCCACAGACCTTGGGCCTCGTTGAGCTGATCCATCCGTATAAATTTTAATATACTGTTTCCACCTAACTTGTTTAAAACATGAAAAGTTCTGAGTTGTTTCCTGCACAAGGATATGTTAGTACGTTTTATCGGATCTCCTCCATCAGAATTGTAGTGCCAAATTGAAGAAACTATATCCCTGGGTATATAATTTGACCACTGATTTGTTATATTGTAGGCTTCGATGAGATGTAGGATACCTTTACTTGGCCAATAAGGTTTGTATCCAAAATAGAAGGCTCGTTGGATTGCACTGAAGGGAGTGCAATCTCCCAATGCCACTAATATACATAGATATTTTTGGGTGCAGCTTTTCCATCTGATTTTGAGGAGAACCCCTCCCACCTCAGCATTTAAAATATTAATTGAGCATGACCGGAATAAACCCAACACGACTCTAATGATTTTATTTTGACTTCCCAAAAAAACAAGTATATAAAGGAGGCGTACTCTAGTTTGTAGCACATAAACACTTTATAAAAAATATGCATAGTAAATGGATCCAAGCCCCATCCGAACCCAGATATAGTTCAAAGCACGTTGATACCAGAATCTCAAATATGTTTGGTCCACTGCAATATATTATTATATCATCTGCATATCCGAGGATCTCCACTACTTCCACCGCTATGACTTCCGAATCTTGTAGATATATATTCAATAAGCTGTTCTTCCCTTCAACTTAGTGTCTTTGATTTTTACAAAAGTCTCCCCATAGGCAAGACTAGACTATTTCGTACGTTAATTTGTTTTAGTACGGATTTCAGGATTGATATGGACACATTATTCATAAAGAAAACAACCATTGGGACGGGACGAAACTAGCGTAGATGTCAGCCAACAAGGTGGCAATGTTATCCTGTAAGCCTGGAGTAAATGTTAGCAAGAATTCTCCCTTCCAATCTCTATTTGGTCCATCATGGCTCACTAACTTTACAGATTGTCCTCTTCTACCCCTGATTTTCCTCCGTTGAGAATCCCGGTTCAGGGTCTCGCAGAAATTATGAAAACTCTCTCTTCTTTCATTTCAGGAGTTCGGGGAGGCGATAACCAAAACCAAAATGTTGGGATTATTGGACACATTCCGGCTGTTGGAAAACTGTAGGTAGCTCAAGGTATTTTCCCTTGTTATTCTTATTCCGACCTGGACGGCATAAAAGCGACTTTGCATATCTTCGGTGGAATTATTTTCATTTTACTTTTGTTGGATGCGTCCACCACACGCTCATTCTTCCGTTTTCTGGACCAATAAGTGCGAGGCCCGATTGAATTTCTTTTTCGGGGCCCCTCAAACTTTAAATAACAAAATGAATTAACAGTTAGAATTTACATGTTTAAATATAGATTTTAAATATTTATTTAAAACAAAATCCAAAATCTAATTATAAAAAATCTATGTAAGTGGAATTTTTATTTCTAGTTATTGTAGTTGTGTATGGCCATTTTTTTTTAAATAAGAACAGTTTTCTATAAAAAAATTACTAGAAAATCATAAAATTTGAAATTTGAATTTTTTTGGTCAGAATAAAAATTAAAATTCAATTAAAATTAAAATGGAAACGCAAAATATTACATTTTTCTTGCAAAAACTTGCATTAGATAAACGATAGACACATTTATAGAAGATTGTGAAAGATTATTTAGAGATAAATCAATTTTAAATATAGAAGAGCAGCTTATTTTAAGAATTTGCTCAAGTTTTAGAGAAGAAGCAGAAATTTTAGTTAAAGGAAAGAATTATAAAACTTGGAATGAATTAAAATATTCATTATTAAATAAATTTGGACCAGTCATTGATATTGCTTATTGGAGGATTAAATTATATCTGTCCCATCAGCAAGTTGACGAATCAGTTTTTTCATATTACTATAGAATTAATAAGATTTCAAATAATGTTAAAAATAGTATCCATCACACATTTAATTCTGATATTGCAGAAAGGCATGATGAATTACTAAAATTGGAATTACTAGAATATTTTAAATTAGGTCTTATTCCTGAAATTAGGGAATTCGTGTCAGTTAAAAATCTAGATTCAATGGAAGATGCATTAAAATTTGCTGAAAATAAAGAAAATCAAATCAAAAAACAAATTCGCCAAGATAATTTATATTTAGAATAAAAAATGTTTGAAAATATATGTAATGAACGCAACTTAAATTTTGACCAGGAAAGGAAAATTAATGAAAATGAACGTAAATTAAATTTTGATCAGGATATTAAAATTAATGAAAATCATATTAGTAATAACAATAAAAAACGTTATAGTTTTAATCATTGTAAAATTAAATTTGAAAAATGTTTTATTTGTGGAAAAAATAATCAAAAGAGCTGTTATTTCAGACATAATTATAAAATGATAATTAAAAATAAAAACAAATATACAACTCATGATAGGGAAAATATAAAAGAATATATTCCAATAAAATTTAAAATTAAAGAAAATAAAAGTAATGGACCATCTGTAACATTTAAATTAAATATAGGCAATAAAAAGGAAACAAATTTTTTAATTGACACAGGATCCGATTTAACTTTAATTAAAGAAAGTAAATTAAATAAATCATGTGAAATAACTAAAGATATTACTTCAATTGATAGTATTGATGGAAAATTTGAATCGATTGGTAGTTGTCAGGGAATTATTCAAATTAATGACAAATTGTTTAAACATAATTTTATAGTAGTACCGGATTCTATAGATTTATTGTAGACGCGATATTAGGAATGGATTTTATAAATAAATTTAATGTACATTTGGACTTCACAGATGATTCATTTTTGATAAATGGATACAGAATTAAAATAAATATATAAAAATTAAATATATTAAAAAAATACTTTAACGCCAAAA